ATCTGACTTGACTTGAAATACAGACAGATGGATGAATGGATGGATGATCAGATAGGTGGATTAAATAAAACTTTAATGATCCCTGTGGGGAAATTGAGCTTCTGCTGCAGCAGAGAACTGGAAAATGGTCAAGGAGGCAAATAAAGAGTCCTGAGAATGATACAAGTGAACACATGAATAAAATAGATTGTAAATAATACAGGAATGGGTGTATTGACAACCTGTAGCTTTACTGACATAAACATGCTGAGGGTCGTCTTTTCCTCAGCGTTTAACTCGATTTTGTATTACAGTATATCTGCCCTAATTAAAGGAACTCCGACAGATGCACCATCACATCTTGTTTATGGTCATTATGCTAATGTTCAAAAATTAATGTGGTAACTTATTGATGTTAAAATTTAATTATTTATTAATGTTTCATTACTTAATGTAACATCTTTAATAATTTAATTAGCCTTCTGTAGCATATTGTCCAACCAAATGATCTAACTTCCTGTGTCCACTGACTCTCTCTCTTCAGTTTAATTTAGCATCTTAGCCTTGTAATAGCCATGCTAGTGGCGTGGTTTGCTGGTTTGTTGGTTGGTAGCTCTGTGTGATGGTTGGCCAGTCGGTTGGTCCATCACTTTGATCCAGATCCAGCTAGCTTGAACTCTAGTTCCAGCTCATTAGGAGACTCTGTGTGCTGCTTTTCCACCTTGTGCCACAGTGGAACAGGATGAAGTTTGTACCTCTGGTCAACAAAAAAAAGTTGGCTACAACCATATAGCTTGCACCTTTTTAAATTGTGTCCTGACATTTGCTTGGTCCACCCATAATGAAAAAAAAGAAAAAAAGACTTGTTGCATTATTTGCACAGACCACAGGCATGAGAATTAGGTAGACTTGTAGAATTCAGGTAGCCTGACTTGTGGGGAAGTAAAGGTTAAATTATCCAAGATTTATGGATTTATTTTTCATTTTTTTGCCTCATTCTGTCAAAGCCTTAGTAAGAATGAAAATACTCGAAAAAACGAACTTGCACATTTTATTAAGGTAAGCTTTTGCTAGCGTAGCTTAGATTTCTAGCATTGGATATCAGTCCACATCAGTCTCTATATACACATTTAACCATGTATTTTTTATGGTTGTTTCTTATGGTTTATAGTTTCCTGTAGCTTTTAATTAAATTCATGAAATAATTTGATTCAAATATCCACTGTCCTGCTCAAACAAACTAAACCATAGGTCAAAATGGCAGAGTTTAAAACAAACCCCAACTGTATTTGGCCTGACTTTGCACATACTGAATACAAAGGGAGTTATATATCTGTTTTTATTCTGTGGTCAGTGGGTCATTTTGCCAAATAGTATGGTTGAGATATGACCAGCTGGATCACTTAACAAGATATATTGTGTGTTATAAGTACAGAAAAAAGTAACTGTTGGGCAGCGTGAAAGGCATTTTCCTTTCTTGTTTTTGACCTAAAAGACATTTCTTCTTTGTCTTATGTTGTATTTTTACTTTAATGTAGCTTCCTGTTGCCATTGGCCTTTCTATTGTGAATCTAATTGTAGCAGGTTTGCTCATTCTTCTTCAGGGAGGGGCAGTCCTCTAGCATGTCAAGGATGTTGTGGTCACTGCTTTCACTGTACAGATGTGTCGGGCTTACAGGATCAGAATTTTAGCCCTGTCTTTTCTTGGTACTGTTTTTCCATTTGAATCGAACATTTCTGATTCAAATACTTATTTTATGTTCTCATCTCATTTTGAGTTTTGCTCTTTGACAAATATTTGTGCTGCTGATTTTAAAAACTGGAAATAGCAGTAATGAAATGAAAGCTGAACTCCAATCTAATGGATGTTTCAATATTTGTTTAAGTGGTATTGTTTGCATGTGGCACATAAAAAATACTCATTTGCACTTAATTATGTTTAGTCTCCTGGGATTGGGAAATTGACAACAGGGGCCAGCAGCTTGTTAGTGACTAATGTATTATAACTAAATTGAAAATATGGTCATAAATACAAGCAGTTCATCAGAGGATACTGAATAAATACATACAAATATGACAGTCTGAAATGCACATGACTTTTTTCACATTTGCGTGAATGCCAACATATAGACACACACAGTGCCCCACCCTTGGCCTGGATAACATGGCCACACACTAGCTTGCTGTGGCTTTGTTAATAGGGGTGGGAGATTTGCTGTGGGAGAATGGGGGAGGGCTTTTTTTTCAAGGGGAATCCTTAGCTTACAAAGCTTCACAATACCCCCCCTGGCTAGTCGTGTTCCTGTCTACGCTTCCAACAAGGCGCTGACCCCTCCTCCCCCTGCTGCATCCCCTCGCCTTCATCACTAGAGCTTCCTTCACACTGTGGGCGCTGTGATGCTGATAGGAAAAATCGGCAGATGGCGAAACACTTTCTTAGGGCATTTTAGGCATCCTTGGTTTCTAACATCAGTTTCGTGGCATCTCCTGTTTTCATCAAAAATGTTATTGGTGTTTTGTACATGAATGTAAGCGCGTGCTTATCAGCTTAAAAAGCTTTTTTTTCCCCTTTTTTTTTTGTATGCATGCATCCTACGTGCAATCTTACAGCCACTGCCTGTGCTCATGACCAACAGAAGGAGCCAAAGAAGCTCACAGTAAGCTTATTAATGTCTCCTGGTTGCTCTCCAGTGTGGGCTTGCTAGTTGCTATAGCAACCAAGCCCTAGATATTGTTCAGTAAGGGAGATGTGTAGATGTAGAATAAATATAAACATCACCCTGTAACCCTGGCCAGTGCTTTTTATGCAAATTAGCCCATTTCACTGATTATCATTTGTGTTTATAGTATAATTTATTTTGCGTTATAAACAAGGAATATATCGGCACTCTGGCTGTTCCTTTACTATACTGTACATTTACATGATATACTTGCTTCTGACTCACAGTCTGGATTTTGAGTATAACCAGTATAACCACATGTGAGGATCAAATCCAAATTCCGATGCTCATCACAGAGCGCCTGCAGAAATCAACAGGCGACAGCACCCTCCATCTTAAGTGCTGATGTGTGTTCACGCCCAGTCAAGCTGAGGGAAATCAAAAGACACTGAAAGATTAAGGAGGTCAGGTTTTTACAGCTCCACTGAGGGAGGCAGGGAAAGAGGCTTTACCAGCCAGTGACTACCATGGAAACAGAATGGGCTGCTTTCACAGAGACCATCAGATACATTATAAGCTGGTAGATTTGTTCAAATGTCAGATATCCACACTCGGTTTCAAACTCAATCAATCAATGATTGCTCAAGCGGAAGTCTTCTGTTTCAACATTTGGTTCAGTTAAGCATTAGCTATTTAATTTGTTTTGGTTTTGTAGTTGACCTAAATGCCACTCTCTTCCACAAAAGTTCAAGAGGCAAATTCTGGTCTGTCACTACGGCAGCAATAGATTTCATGGTCATCTGTAGCTAATAGTCTGTTGAGGCTGAAGATCATATCATTACAGCATTGTCCTATCTCTATTTAAACCCCAGGCTCTTAGACCACATGAGAAGCCAGGCACTCAGCCAGAAACACTTATCATCCTGTCATCCGTTTTTCACTAGCTTCACAGCTCAATTGTATTGTACACTGGGCATCCACGAGTGCTTGGGATTTGGAGCCACCAGAGTGACCTCAAGTGAATCTGAGTTTTGAGTGAACTTAAAAAATGTTCATTACTAAATATACAAACATTAACACAAAATAGAATCAGTTGACCATATATCAGCCACAGATTTCACAAATGTATATTACTTAAGAGTTCCAGTCTGTGGAGTCTGTATTAATATTATATTGAACAAACAATTTCCCTGGCCAGTCAGATAAAAAATATAGATTTTACTTTTGGTATATAACAGTTGTGTACATAGCTGCAGATGATAATGTAGTACCAGCAGCAACCATAAAGCAAATGGGTATAAATGTATACCCTTCAGACAAGTTTATAAGTGCAGGATGAGGTAAGGGCCAACAGAATAATTTATATTATAAAGTTATATTTGTCCATGAAAATTAATCTCTCATACATTAAGTTGGAAGAAGCTGATGTTGCATGCCGGAACAAAATCATCAACCACCAAACCAAAAGCAGATTTACTCTCCTGTATCTGGGTCACAATTACTAAATAATTAAAAATGTAAAAATTTGTCTGTCAGGATAGAAACTTCTGCAGTCATTTGTGTACAGTATGTACAGATGACAGGACTCAGCCCTGAGGTGATCCAGTGAAAGGGCACAACATATGGTGCCATTAATGCTGACATAAAGCAATCTGTCTGTTCAAATTAAACAGTAATTTTGTAGTTAAAATACTATAGGACTGGGCTATGCTTAAAACTAGAGGAGAAAACTCATAAAGCAGACACGCCTGATGTCTGGTCCCTCAGGATGCATAGAAATTAAATAGGATAAACAGCTGTTATGGACACAGCTATATAATCATTATGGCAGGTATGGGATTTATGATTGCATAGGAATATATGTCAGCACATTTAATTAATGTTACCATGGGCAAACTTTTATTGGCATCTTCAGAGAGAACCTATGAAAATTAAAAGCTAGTGATTCACGATTCGGTAGTTCTCATATTGAGATTATAATGCGTAGAAATGCTGAAATGTATTAAACTAAGAGCTAAAAAATTTTGAAAATGAATGACAACAGAAGACAGGAAACATATTTTGTCTACATGTCACAATGACTGGTTATTCCTTATATTTAGCAGGCCAGTTTAGGAACCACTTTCTTGCCTAGGGTGGCTCCTACCACAGTAAATTTATGCTGCAGTGCATTAAATTCTCTAGCATTTGGCCAGAGGCTGATTCTAATTTCTTAGAATGCAGATTGAGAATAAGGTCTGTCTTTTGCCTCAGTGATGGTAAAGGAGGGAAGATGAAGATTCAGTTATGGGTGAAGTGACTCTGAATAGCATTGGGTACAGATAAACAGTAAGGCAGGTCAATATTTGATGCATGCACTGGTTTATTTCCTCTTTTTGTCAATGGTACACTTACAGCAGTGGATTTCAGTCTCAAAAACCATTTGAGAACTTTACTCATGACTCCAAGCTGCCACCTACTGGTTCAAATAGGTATAGTCCAAACATGATGGTAGAGACACTGTAACATTACATAAACCGCAACAACCAGTGACGTAATCTGCCTTTCAAAACAGATTACACTTGTCTGACATGATAGTTAAAAATAAGACATGAATTAGAGAGGAAACCATATCAATACATCATGTGACACACACACATTGTAATATTAAAGCACAGATCTCCATCCAGTTTTTTAATAGTTAACCTGTCAGCGTCTGACAGGCTGATGCACCTTTTTTCTCCTTAAAGGAAACAGCAGCTCGACTCCGTGTCGACGAGGAGCACAACTCTAGAACAGCAGAAATGGGAAAATGTGATTAACAGTGATTAAGTTCAGCTCTAATTACGTTCCCGTCAATAAATCAGATTATTTGGCAGCAGTGGAAGAAGTAACAAAACACAGTAACTTAATAATATACAATATGAACAGGTGATGTGCTGGCGACAGATGAAGTGTCTTTCATCGACATTGTTTCAAAGCAAGTGACTGAACCTTTGACTGAAGCACAGGCACACCAGTCGATGCTTCAGAGAGAATAAAATAGCAGTTAACTAAATGTGTTCTCTGCATTTTCATCGTTTTAACTGTCACCATTTGCCAAAACCATTACAAACCGCTGCACCCAGATGATGCATTTTAGCATCACCGTCATCAAAATCAATATACTCTGCTGATTACTGTTGAGAGAGAATGTAAGACTTGACACTTACTTGATGTGGTGGCTCTAGATGAAGGGCTGTCAAAGCACTCATCACACTGGCTGGATGGTAAAAGTCTTTTGGCTGCCAGTTGACACAGATTTGGCTTCACTTTAAAACGTCCTGCTGTCACCCGACGAAAGAAATTGTCAGAAGTGGCCAAATTCTGTCACATTCAGAGAAATATGGCTTCTGAACTGTAAAATGTCCTTGCCATGCTATAGAGCATACGGTTTTTACATCTAACCCCATATTGTAATTTAACTGTATCTGACATACAGTGATTCAGATCAAAGCAAAAACTACAGAAGCTGTGATAGCACCCTGTATTTGCCCCCCTGCCCCATAAGTCTCTTCATTTCATTTATTTATGTGACTCCATACCATGATCACATGGTATGGAGCACAAATGAGACATACATTAATAACAAAACACCTCTATCACCCCGGGTTGTCTCACCAGGGTTGAGGGCCCTCTCTGCAGCTCTGTGCTCCAGGTGCCTGTGGAGGATGACTTCTGCCTTCCTCTGGTTTGTGCTGATGTCAGGCTTAGCCATGATCTCTGTTATCCTCAGGTTGTTCTTGATGGCTTTAGAGGCCGTGGAGCGGGCCAGTGTGGGCAGCAGCTCCTGGTACTCTTGGTCGGTGAAGTCTGATTCTGGGCCCTCAACACCCCAGATACTGAGAAGGCAAACTCATGAAGATTATAATTATGCAGGAATATATTGTTATATTTGTATCTGTTTAGAATTTGTGTTATTATCATTTTAGCATTGTGCAAATGTGCTGTACACCAACTGACTGGCATCCTTTTCAGTTATGTTTTCACAGTTTATTTGGGTTCAAGTGCACTAGAAACTGGTTGGTGGGTTGTTTTTCTTGTTTGCTTTTCATTTACCCTGTGCTGTTCCTCTTCCAGTATTAACATTCTTTCATTTTTAGTCAGATATCTAAGAAAGTGATGTGTGTAATTTGTAATAGCAATGTCCCCGTTCTTTCAAGAAACATCAGTATTTAGTGAAATCTGAGTGTAACAATCAACCCTGTGACAGTGTTACAGGAAAGTTACACTTATACAGTTAATGTAACACATTCCTGGGAGGTGCATCAGCAATTTTCAAATCATAGTAATGTCTCAAAACAAAACAAAACCCTGGGAAACTTGTTAGCTAATAGCACTTAAGCTTGAGTGTCTGACTTGTTTATGTACCAGTATCAAACTAAACTGTAACAAATACACAAACTTACAATGAAACATTTTCTAACCTCCAGTTATACATAATATGCTATATAAACCTCCTATTTATCTGGTAAAATGTTTGACTCTGGCTCAAATGGTTGTAATTTCCTGTCCTGCTCCCAGTCAGCTCTTACCTCCTGTTAGTTAAAATAGTATAAACCTCCTTCACCAACAGCTCAGCTGCTCCTGGTTTACAGTGAATGGTTCCATCAACAACCTCCTTCCTCAAGTGCAAATTCAGCTTCTGTAAAGACTGGGACAATAACCAGTTTCAGTAAATTAACTTGTTGGGAACATGAAAAATTAATTTAATTAATTAATTTAACCACATGCCAGCTGAACTGACTAAAGAAGACATTGCCTCCCCGCTCCATTATATTTTTATACGTTTCCCCCCCTCGTCTTACCCGCTCTATCTGGCTCCAGTTCTTCTGCTTGGCAGAAAGTGATGTTCCTTTGTCATATGAATGCTCTGGAAAGTCTTGGGGGTAATAACGAGAAAATATCTCTGCCACAAGGTAACCACTGGAAAAATCTCTGGAAATAAAAGAGACAGACTTAGTTTATTTACTCTACCTCTTTGAATGATTGGCTGGTTTTTGATTATTCTCTTAATATTTTATTTATCTCACAAGTCTGTGATCTGTGTGTTGCTACTCCTGTAACTGAGATTTTTAGTCTCTGGGAGGCCTCTCCAATATTAAATATGGCAGGCTCACAAGAAATGCTCAATCAAAACGGGTATGGAGTAACTGTTAACCTGTAGATGTTATAAAATTAAAATATCCTGAGTAGCATAATGTGTTAAAACTCTCTAGTTAACACTGGAGATGTTTCAGATCAGAAAACCTATAGCTAGCCATTAGATGTATAGCTATGTTTAAAACTGGGTTAAATTTAGTTTAAATGTGATTTACTTCGCATTAACATATAACATATAACCAGGTTTGTCAATTAGCATGCCAGCTCTGTCATTTTCAAACGTCTAGGACTTGCAAAAAGCTTTTCAACAGCATTTATCAAGGTTTTCAAATGTAGACATTGAGGTGCACATCATCTTTATATGTGTTCACTGGATAGTGGATATGCTTGCTGTAAGTTAGTCGACAGTCTGTAAATCATAAGACCACTTCTTTACCTGCGCACATTCTTCAGATAAAAAGACAATTCGAGGCTCTGCAGCCACTTGACGATTTCTCTTGGCAGTCCTGCTTTTTTGGGACACTGTGCGTAAGACATGCTGCTCAGAGCCTAATTAAACCTACAAATCTCGTTTTTGTATGACAAGTATAGAATATATATACAAAGAAAGAACTGACCCGTCAAGTTTCCTCAAGCCACTACGGCTTGCATTTGACGCATTTTGTTTACATTTCCATGGCAACGAAGCACTTCTTTGTCCTGGTTCTGTGGCAGCACAAACAATAGATAACGGTTTGCTGCCCTCTAGAGGATGTAGCAGGAGCACAGAAAGTCACTATAATGTAGTTGTAAGCAGAGATAAGTTTATTAATGATAACTCCTCATGTGGATACCCATACGTGTAGGCTGCTGTATTAACAGATAATAAATGACAATATAGTAAAACACAGTTGTAATACTATAAAATATGCCTTCAATAGGAGAAGTTATAACCACAGACAAATACTTTACTTGTTTATAAACTGTTTATTAAATGTTTGTATACCAACTAGTGGTATACTAAAAAGGAGAACTTAAAGTGAAGCGCTAAGTGCCAAATAAATAAATAAAATGGTTTCTTATTGTCTTATTTATCAATGAAGCCAGGTAATGTAATCATAGAACTGAAATCATTCAATAGAAATTTAAAACTCAGTTCAATATTATTAAATATTATTTCATTCTGCTACTTTATATATATGATTATTTAGTTCATAATGTCTTTGGAGCATTATTACAGTAGTAGTAATGTCTCAGCAATAGAAACAAACACTTGCTGCTCCACCCACTCATATTTTCCATCTGAGTCTTTCCGATAAGGTCAGCCTCCGCGGGTTGTCAGTACTCAGTAATCCAAGCTTAAACTTGTCAACTATTTTTGTTTTAGTATTTTTGGATACGTAAATATCCCACTGCACTTCTACATCAAACACCAGTAACACAGCACTGTATCTTGGAAAAACAACAAATTTTGGAATGCGCTAGGTTTCAAAAATAAATTTAATTTCCTAGTCATGTGCAGTGCATTAGGTATCAAATGCAAAACTAAGAATACTCAATCATACATATATTTTGTGTATTTATGTGGCATTATAATCTTATCAAAGTGTACCACTCACTTGTAGCTGTTGCAACTATCAAGATATCTTCTAAACACCGCAAATCTGAATAGTAAATAAATATGTATTTTTTTATTGTTATTTTTTTTCATTATATATCCAAGGCTAAGCCTGCAGGCTTCTTTTAGTAGCAGTATCCTGCTTCACATTCATCCAGGTCCACACATACAACACAGCTTGGTACTGTCATCTACTCAGTGGCTGCTCTTTGACTAATTTCAATTAATTATTCTTACTGCATTTCTGGCAACTAACATTAAAAGTGGGAAGAGCTCATGGAGTTGATGTGTTGTTTATGTCAAAGGCGTCTTTCTGAGTCCCATTTAGACAGTTTGGTTGTTCTGTCTATCATTGGTACTGCAGGTAGTTTCTTAGTCTGTTGGGCAGGGGGAGGTGGGAAAGAAGATGGAGTCTGTCACGGCCGACGCAGTTCCTGATGCACTGACGACACAGCTGGCTCAGAAGTCGTGGTGTAGCTGTGAAAAGGAGACAATGAAAAATAATTGAGGATGGTTGTAGGATTAATGCATAGACTACTTCCAAAAACATATTAGCTCAGGTAAGGAAAAACGTATATTAAATCCCAGAACAGGACAAACAAAGGTCCAAGAATGCATACAAAGCCAAGCTACAAGTCAATCTTTACCTTCATAGAGCAATAGGAAGCCCTCTGTAAGACTGCTGGGTGGCGCCACATCTACTGGCCTCTGACACTCTGTGTTCCTGGCATTAATGTCTGCACCAAAGTCGAGCAGCAGCTTCACTACCGCTGTGCAGTCTTTCTCTGCAGCTGCATGTAGAGGCGAATCCAGGGATTTGCCTTTCTGTACATTGGCACCTGTACGAAGGACAACTTGATTCTAGACACAGTCCAATCAGAAAACTTCCAAAGTTAGACACTTTTGCCATTATGTACCTAACATTTCCTACAGATTTTACTTTCAGTATCCCTGAGAGAATTCATATGAGCTTGTTACTTTCAATCAAGCAAGCAGTATGGGCACACAAATAACTTGAAAATGTGGTCAGTCAGTTGTGGGCTACATATCATTGCTGTGTGGCTCCTTGCAGTACTGAAACTGCAGCGTGTGTTGTGTCTGAAATGTTTCTTATTACAACTGAAATTCTCCTTATATAATCTCTAGAAAGAGGAAAAAAAAACTGACAAACTAACACCTACTGCACAGTGTACCGTTGCCTTCATAATTTACATAACTGATGAAAAATAACACTGTTTTGTTGGTGTTGATTTTATTACTCTTAGTTTTAATGTAGAGTCTAAATGTTTTTTCAGAGGCTTCTAAAATCTAGTGTGCATGCATATGTGTTTGTGTATGTATTTCCTTGTCTGTGTACTGTGTGTGTGTGTGTGTGTCTCTGTCTGTCTGTTTGACAGCATGATTACGCAAAAAGTACTGAACTGATTTGCACCAAACTTGCAAGGATGGGACATGGGCCAGGGGAGAACCCATTACATTTTAGGGCAGATCTGGATAATTTACTATGAATCTCAATTTTTTTTCTCTGAAGTCTGGTGTATGTTGTTTGACATTGGCCTTGGCAGAGCTCTGTGCTCTTTGAGTGCCCTTCTAGTTCAGGATGTGTGGCTGTCTGTATGGAGATGTAAAGATCCACACTGTGCTGTGAGCTGACCTTCCCTCAGGAGTTTCCTGGCACACTCCAGCTCTTGGCAGACGCAGGCTGTATAGAGTGCTGTGCCCAGGTGAGGAATGTCCATGTCCACATCTGCCCCCCAAGTCACCAGAGCCTCCACACAACCGTAATGACCTGGAGGTAATGGAGCATGAAGACAGTAATCAGTGAGTGACAATGTGAGATTATTCTCCAAGCTGTCCACTCCGGTCATGTTGGGATTTACTTTTAAAGCTGTGTCTCGCAGTGAAGGTTTGTTAGAAAGAGCTTTATAGCTCAATAAAGGACACAAATGACAGGTTGAAAGACAGGATCAAGTGCAAGTTGTAATCAGTAGTTAGAGTGATATGTTGGTTTATGTTTTATTAAAAATCAGAGTGGATAAACATTGGTATTGGTTCATTGAGAGAAATTTGATGAATTGCTTTGAACCAGAGTTTACTTGTGACAACTAACTTCCACTAACTTAAGTTGTACAGTATATGCAAAAAATAAGTAAAAAAAAAAAAAAAAACTACCTGACATATAAGTTGATAAATTTTCTTAGAATATTTTGTCATACCTTTGCTGGTAGCTTCATGGATGGGTGAGGGATGGTACATGAGACTCTGAGGTTTTGCTCCATTTTCTAACAGAATTTCAGTGCATGCTACACTGCCCACTGTACAGGCGTTGAACAGAGGGGTGACTCCATCAATTGTAGAAGCATTGACCTGTAAACACATTTTCTTTTTATTGTTATTTTTAGACCTTGTTTAACCATGCAGGTTGACTAATGGCAACAGCCTGGGGGGCACAGTTGAAGGGGAGCATAAACTTAATAGCTCTACAGTGACTGTAGATAGAGAGCGGTGCCTTGCACATTTGTTACCCTACCCGGATTTTCCCAGCCATGGAAATTACATTTGACCTGTGCAGTTTAGCAACATTAAAGAGTCATAAGGCCAATATATGACTTACATTTGCTCCTGCATCAATGAGAGCTCGGGCACAAGCGACGTGGTCTCCAAGACAGGCCTCATGAAGCGGCGTCACATGGTCTATAGTCAGAACATTCACATTGTGACCCTGGAAGTCGAATCAAGCAGCCACAGACATGTAGCGTGTTAAGAGGCATTGAGTAATACATGACCTTTGTCAACCTCTGTTGGCGAATCCTAGGAATTGCAAAAAGATCAATAAGGCTTATCTCCAATTATATAACAGACACATCCTCCTATGTGGTTATGGCTCTCAGTAACTGACAAACTACATATTCTCTACAGTCACATTTCAACAATAGGGATTAATGAGCTTTCTAATTAAAGTGCAGATCCAATAAAAGTCTGGTAAAGAGCTAATGAATCACCATGTAAAATTCTGTAATGATATTGCTGCTTTGTCATGAGCTTGTCTGAGTTGAGAACAAGGCATTGTGGGCTTTGAAGCTGAAACGGCTTGATCTCTTGTGGCACAGTCCTCCATCTGTGAGCAGCTGAAAATGCACGTAAAAGTGGAGATTGCAATTTGAATCCATTCCCAGTCAGTTTCTCGTAAAGTTTCTAAGTCTACGGACCAACCCTCAGACACTGTACATGTTTTTATGTAATATGTAACATCAAAAATATTTTATGTACTGCCTTCATACGCTATTATTTAAACTACAAGATGTATATAAGTGTCCAGATTTAGTTAAAAAGGTGCCGATAGATGAATTTAATGAATCTGTGAAAGGAGGTGCCCCTTTAAATAACTCCTGAAAACTCTGTAGAAACCGCTGACTTTCTTCCAAACCTCTGTCTCTGTATCTGACTGGTAATCTACAAAGCTACTGAACCAAATTTAATTGCACAAGGGATAGTTACAATAGACCCCATGTGTACAGAGGAGGGGGGTGCAGGTGCACATGACTCTCCTTGGATTGTGTTCTCTTCACCTGTAAAATGAGGGTCCTCAGGGCCAGGAGGCGGCCCTGACTTGCAGCATCATGGAGGGGTGACCGGTCTGCCCAGGATCCTGTGATGGGAATAAGAATTCAGTGTTTGCTTCTACTTGCATTCATTTTCATTTACCTATTTACAAATGCAAGTATTCCAGCTGCCCTCCAGTGTTAATGACAGCTAAGTACTTGCACATAGACATTTGCAGAAAATATATAGAAGATAAAAAATTAAGCACGGTGTACCAGTAAAATTGTCAGTAGTAAACTGATATGGGTCATTTAAAGTGCTTAAATTTATTTATTTTGTGCAACAACAGAAATTGAAGTTAATTTGATTTACTTTTATTTTTTTTTTACTTTACATTAGTAAATAGGCTACGTGCCGCTGTCTGCATGTCACCTTCCATCTCTCAGCTCTTCAACTCGTAAATAAGTCTGTCTCTGCTTAGCTTATACAATACACTGTTTTGCTGCACTGTATAAGAGAAAGCAGGAGACCACATACTCTACTGTTACTGAAACACGGCTGAGAAGTTTTCATAACATTCAAGCCTCTCTCTCGTATTAATTGTCTGTTAGCATCTGTAAAGCCTGCTAGTTATCATTATAAAAATTCTTAGTGTTACAACAGCAATTAACCTTGTTCCGTGTCTCATATTATGCCTTCTGGGGTCCTTGAATTTGAGGGAATAGGGCTTGGGAAGTCCTTGAAAAGTCCTTGAATTTGATGTTTAAAGACCCCGACAATGGTGATTTTATTTTTTTAAGAAATTATTTTACTTAGATTGATATTTTTGAGTCACCAAATCTCTATTTATTTATCTTGTCTTGTATTATAATTCCTTTACTAGTTAACCGTTACAGCTGCTTAATGAAATCCCAACCACAAATATATTCATCAAGTTCATATTTGACCCTTTCTGTTCATGTTTTAGCTTTCATCTTCCAAGAGTTAATGCATGGGGCTGGGTATTATTATGTGACTAATGGTGCTTGAAAAGTCCTGGTGCATTAAACTCAGCGCATTCACAATCCATTCACGTGACAAATTAATATAAATGTGACAAACTGGCTGTAGCTGTTTTGATGTAAATTAAAAATAAAGTCTCCTTAAGCACACCTGAGTCAATGTCCAGAATAACAGCCGATGCATTCCACACATTATCATCATCATTATCCTCTTCCCGCATTTTAATCATAATTTATAGGTAATAATCAATCTAATGTTTCCTAGTAAATTTATGCTATTGTATTCATGAGCCTATTTTCCTTGAGTGACACTAATTTGAAATGCGGTTGTAAAGAAGCAGTCATCAAACAGATTTTTTAGACCAAGGAAGACCATGTCTACAGCGCCGTGACTAATAACCTAAGCCTGGCTAATTAGTATTCCATGGAGTGGGTCCACTTTAAATTAAACATTCGTTTGAACGATAGCTACAGATTATGTTGTCGTCGCCGTGTCTCTTCCCCCAAAACGTGCCTTCGAAACCGCCTGTCCCTGAGAATGTGGAGTGTTGTTTTGGTTGCTGTCTGAGTGTGAAAGGGTGCACTGCATAGCTGGGAATGGAAACTAGGGCAGGAAGGGGGTGGTGAGGGAGGAGAGGAGGGGGTGGGGTGGGGGTGGGGGGGTATCATGACTCTGTTCTATTAATACATTAGAGAAAAAGAGCTGTCAGCCTACAGTGTCTTCGGTTAATATTGAATGTACAGTTCAGGGTTTATAAGTAGCTATTAAGCTAATAAGAGGAAAGTAGGCTATCATTCATATCTACAGTATGTATTAATGTGAGTACAATTAATGGCTCTTATACTCAGTGGATTAGCTATGCAGTATTTATAGCTCATTTGTAAACACGGAAATTGTGAGTGTGTGTGCGTGTGCGTGTATGTGTGTGTGAGTGGGGTGTACTTCTACTTGATTTTACAACAAACAATATTCATATTTTCTACCTATCCTATGACCTTATGTTCCTGAGGCCGAACACGTTTCTTGTTGTATAGTGTAAACACAGTTGCATTGTGGTTGCACTTTCCACCAAATTTAAAAGCACAAATATATATGATGCAGTCAGTTGGAAAATTCAAACCACCTTAAGAAAAAACAACTCTTAGGCTTTTATGGTTTTCTCAGAGTACTCACTGTGTTGTTGACCATAATCATAGAACTCTGCTGATATCCTGGCCGCCTCTTTACGGTTCCCACGGACAATGTAGAAGTATGTCAGCAAGTTGAGAGAAATCTTAACAAAGAGCTTAAAGCAGAACAGTGCCAAGATGCTGAGGTAAACATTGGACAACTGGGCCGTGAAGGGCTTGTTGGTTAGCTCCTCTGTTTGGTCTGACATTTCCTCTGGCACGTTACACACGAGCTTTGGTTCTGATGAAGGCAGGATCAGATGCCACTCCAAAAAGCACAAGAGTAGCCTACTTTTTCTCCCAGTGTACTGGCTGGTTGGCTGGACCTGACAACGCACCGGCTGGAAAAAAAATGCTTTGCAGCTGCTCCTGTGCCTGAGAGCAACTACTGTAGTGCTATTGTACAATGCGACTGGGTATTGGTGTGTATGGTCAAAAGTAACACAAATTTCAGTGTAACACAGTGCCTGTGCCTGCCAGAAATGTTACATAAAAAGCATTTTTGTAAATAAATCTATGATGGTACTTAATTCTAGATAAATGACATGAGTAAAATGTGTGCAGGATTTTTTTAAATGAGAGTATTTGAATATGGATAAACAAGGTTAAAAAAAAACAAAAAAACTTTGTTGCATAAGTTTGAACGCATGACAGTTTATTTATGAATAATAGAGATGAAAAACATTTATGCATTTTTATGTACATTTTAAGTCATAATAGTATTTAATTTTAGATGGAATTTAGAATATAAAATCCAAGCCAACAACACCAACAAAAAAAAAAAAATATTTGGGATACCAAGGTACAAAGTCATTACACATGTGGAGCCTGTCAACAGGCACTGTGAGCAAATTTTTCAAATTTTGAACAGATAAGAAACAGAAGTCAATGATACATCTGCCTTTAGATTAGAAGTCTAATAAACTAAAATAATTTTTAATGTTTTTTGTTTGTCTGTCTGTCTGTCAGTCAGTTCTAAACCCTATCAGTCCCAGCTAAACGCTGTCAATCAACATATCAATAACTCTGGTCCTTATGAACTAAATTAGCTATTATGCTTACTGGTAACACATTCCTCAGGTGTTATTATGGCAATCCAATCAAAGTATGGATGTATCTCATGTACAGAGCTCACTGAACAGTTGCCTCTGTTATATATTGTTGATGCTTTTGTAAACAAGGATTTTCCACTTCTTGTGAAATGTTTGATCTGATTTCAGTTAAAACCTGAGTTTTGTTTATGCATTAGCTATGAGGCTATTCTGAGCCCATACTTCACCAAAAACCTTACAGTTGTCACTGACAAGTTGTGTTGCTGTTGTGCAATGAACTTATATTTCACAACTTTACAGTTCTAATAAAATGCAGTTTATTCTAACAGTTTAATAATCAGGGTTATTCTGAAAAAGTGTGCGAAGCATCCATATTTAAAGCCAATGGGAAACTTATAGAAGTATTTGAAATGCTCTCCCTCCTGTGAATGATGCGTTTTACTTTCCGTTTTCAAAGAAGCCTCTTGATCACTGCGCATGTGCCAAAATTTAACCCGCACCTTTTCCGCGAACATATAAACACTCGTACTTCCCTGTTTTTTTTTTTTTTTTTTTTTTTTTATCAGTGTGCGTTTGTAAGCGAGATTTCTTCGTCAAATGAGGGGTCGCCAGGTGTTTGTACTTGTTATAATCACCGTTTGCACACTCGTCTCTCCTCCTCTGCGTTGTCAACATGTCAACTCGGTTGAGACTCGGAGTAAGTTGAATGGCTCTGCAGTTGATTTCGTCTCGTTCAGAGAACAGTTTCGCCGCCGGTATGAAGTCAGCAGCGAGGAATTTAAGCGTCGTCATCTCTATTTTCAGGTAAGGGCTGCGGTAAGAGAAAGGGAGACAGAGACGTGTGGAAAAGCTGTGTTTACACTCCTCAACTCACTAAAAACAAACGTCACTACAGATCACGCCCACTCAAGTAGATGAAGGAAATGTATTTGAAATGTTGACTAATTCTGCATGAATCGTACATTATTATAGAATTAATTTTAATAAATGACGATAGAGTCAAAATCCTAATACCATAGTGTGACCAAGTTTTCAGTGGTGGAAAGTAAATGAGTGCATTTACCTAAGTACTCTAGGCCTACTTGTATACAATTTTGCAGTGTTTGTACTTTACATGAGCATTTCCATGTCATGCTACTTTCATTCAGATTTCAGATTTTTTCCACACACATTACAACACATTTCAAGTATTAAATCAGTGGTGACAAAACTGGTAATTTAAGACCATGATTTGTAAACGGCTTCACTAAAGAGACATTTCCCCTAAACTTTAAATTCCCCAAAATGTTTTTTCAGTTCATTTCAATAACTGCTTGGGGTTCAAAAAGGTAAAACTCTCAAGAACAACTAGAACTTAAAGGTCTAAATGTGTGAATCAGAACTTTTTTATAATTATTAGTATTTATTTTGAAAATACATAATCTCAGAAGTCTGCAGATTTATTTTGTGGCACTTTGGAAGGAACTGAACACTAGGTTGGGAAACACTGGATAAAAATAACTACATATAAAGTGCTTAAAACTAGCTCTAACTAGCAGAAAAAATATAGTAATTTATCAGTCACACAGAAATTGGAATTTTTAGTAAATATATCTGAATACCTCTTTCAAGTTCTGCATTTACAAATTACTCTAGTTGTCCAGAATTACTATGAGCAAGATACTTAAAATGAGACTTTGAAAGGTGGTGCTGTCACAGGGTTCAGGATTTACCATTATTTCATAATTTTCACTTGTGGCCACTGTTCAGTGGCCATTTGAAATATTCAAATACACTACTTGAGTAAATGTACTCTTTCCACATTTTTCTTTCCCAACACTGGTTAGTGATCAAATATTACAATGCAGATAACTAATTTGTTGTAATTCAGACTCACTCATGCTGTGTTATGTAACAAAAAGAAGAAGAAAAATCATCTGTAGCCCTCCGATTTTTGCTCTTCGCTTTTTTTTTCTTCTCATTATCATTATTTTATGCAATAAATTACCACACTTTAATATGTCGATTGTGTTTTTGCAGGACGCTACGAAGCGACACGAATTCCTGAACTCATTTTCCACCGCACCACGGGCTGCCAAGTATGGCATCAACCAGTTCTCTGACCTCTCACAGAAGGAATTCAGAGGTAGACTGTATTTTTTTGTCACATATTTTTAAGTTTGCAGGATGAGATTAGGTGCATGGACTGTATCTTTGTTTATTGAATGTACTGAACAGGTGTAAAAAAGCTGAAAATGCTTCTCTGTGTGTCCAAATCATTTCTTCACAACTCAAGGTAGTTCATCAGATGAAATAGATTCACATATTTATATAGGTTCAGTTGATTGGTTCAAATGTAACTGAGCATGCTACCCCCTGGATGACTGTGCTGAATCTGCACAGTCATTGTTTACATGCGTGTTTGTGTCCAGGAGTGACTTTGAACTGTATCTGTTATCCACAGATCTCTACCTGCGAGCAAGCGCTGACAGAGCTCCCCTCTTCTCTGGACTGAAGACGGAGGGGCTCCCAGCCAAATTTGACTGGAGGGACAAAGCGGTGGTGGCACCAGTCCAGAACCAACAAGCAGTACGTTTTACACAGAGAGATGATAGATATAGTGTATAGACAGGGATTTACTGCAGGTACAGAGACACAGTTGGGTTAAAACTTATTAAATTAATGTCTGTTTTTTTGTTTTTTTTTCATCAAAACATTTGATCATTAATGAAAAAACAAACAGATGATGTCATAACAAACAGGTGGGCAATAGGGAATCCAAATGTGTGTAAGGGCACCCATAACAGGCACAATTATACAGCCAAAACAATGATGTTCTTGACAAGTGTATCCCTTGCTTTTTTAGTTTTCACCAATACAAAGTTTATGATTTGCCTGATATGTTTTTCCCATAAAAAACAGTTCAATTACTGAGTTAAAAATGATGAAAATCATGTATTCCTTCTCCCTCTTTGAATTGTTCAATTTAAATGTTTCACTAGTGGACACATGATGTCTCCTACTTGACTGAAAAACCTTCCAAACCTTTTGTGATATCACAAAAAAGTCATGATTGGATGTGCATAACTCAAGCACAAAGGAACCGTCCCCCTTCAGAAGATGAAGGTCAAACATGAAGTAACAGAAAGCAAAATTCATTTTTGAGTGAAGAGCGACTTTGGTAATAGTAAAGGAAAAGAAGGTGAAAATGACAAACTAAGTCATTAAATTTGCTCAGAGAACAGACTGGACCTGGGGACACAAACAGGGAGAGGGTTGGTGAGATGGAGCTGTTGCTTGTCCTCACAGGTTCACTCTGCGCTCTTTTTGTCCTTTACCTCTTCAGTCATTTAATTTGCCATCGGGGATGATATTTATACTGTAAAACTGTTGTCCTCAGGGAGAGACATAGCCCGTACAGGAAAAAGCCAAGGCGATAACATATATTTTACTCTCTTGAATTCAGGTAAGGTTTACCACTCCAGGGAGTGGTGTCTACACATGACCACACTCACCTACCACTTTGCTCTGCTGCAGTTTTCCTGCCCAGATTTGCCCTTTTTCTCTGGCTTTGTCTGTGAACCTGCCTGGGCTAAGTTTCCACATCAGACAGCGATATGGAAAGTCAGAAAATAAAATGCAGTACCACGCACAAAGACACAAAATATTAAGCCCCTCACATCTCATAAATTCAGCTTGATCCAGTTTTCTCTTCCCTTGATTCCACTTTTATGACTCAAGTGCATTTCAGCGCTTTCAAGGAGAGAGCAGATGGTCCTAATATTTTGTATACTCAGCACATACTTATCACCAGTCCAAGTAATAATGACTGATTTTGGTTTCGGTATTGATTTTAAGCCATGGAACCATATTGAGCAACAAAATATTGGATTTTTACATGGAGGGCTCAGGCTTTCATCACATTTATGGGAATTTATGCTGAGCAAGTGAACTGAACATAATCTGATGCTGTAAATGTTGCACAGGGAAATTGCACTGTATGTTGTCTCAGTTTCAGGAAAGCAATAACATGTATATTGGATATGAAGTGTAAGGGCAACTTTTGCTATCAAAATAGCTCAAATGATCCACAGCCTTAAAACTTAAGAACATTAACTGAAGCAGAAATGAAGATTTTGCTCTAGACACAGTATACCTGAGGTGTTTCTGTCAGTAGATGGCAGCAGAAAACAATTAGTCACAGTTCACTCAGACTGGCCAGATCATCTCATCCCATCACCATGTACAACATCCACACTCACTGTAGATTCCTGATCAAAGGTCTTTAAAAATTCAGGTATTAATTTTAAGAACCATCACATTCAAACGTATTGTGATTTGGAACAAATCTTTGAAGGTTAGTTGCTGCTTTAGCCACCATCCAAATCCAAATACGAATTACAGAAATGATTGGGCCAGCAGGGTTATAGGGGAGCAGAGACCATCATTCAATGGAAAATAAATATTTACCTTGCTGAACTTTCCTCGAGCAAAACATTGAGATAGGCATAAGCAAAACAATGATTTTCTCTTTTGGGGACTGTAGGATGTGGTGGTGTTCTTAGTTTAAATAAAATAATTGTTCAACCTTTCTTTGTTGTTTTGTTTTTCTCATTATTATAATGTTACCTTTGCAGTGTGGGAGTTGTTGGGCATTTAGTGCGGTTGGTGCCATGCAGTCCGTCCACGCTATAGGAGGCTCGCAGCTGGAGCAGCTCAGTGTGCAGCAGGTTCTGGACTGCTCTTTTAAAAATGGAGGTTGCAACGGCGGCTCCCCATCCTCTGCTCTGAATTGGTTAAAACAGGTATGGTAATACTTTTACATAATATAAGGTCTTTAACATATTTTCAGGTCTTTTAACAGACAAAATGCAAAGGTAGAATAAACCTTAACTTCCACTACTTCACAGGCACAAGAAATGTACTGAATATTTCTGTCTCTTAAGTGGCTGTTTATGAAAGAGGAGACCTGTGTTGATGTTTTAAATGTTGTGTTTTAAAAAAAAGATTTTGTTATGTATTTTAATCAGAGAGAAATGTAGTGGGAGAAAGCAGAATAAGATTGTTGTTCTCTACAGTTCCTGCACCAGAATCTTTCATAAACAAGATGAATGGATAGCTTGATTTTGTATTCAGACGACACACTCGCTGAGATGAACTATTTTCTTTCTAGACCAGAGTGAAATTGGTGCCTCAGTCCGAGTATACCTACAAGGCCAGGACGGGAATCTGCCATTTTTTCTCCCAGTCACATGACGGCGTTGCTGTGAAGAACTTTACTGCAAATGACTTTGGGTAAAAGACACATTTTTGCAGGTTGTCTATGAGCAATAAAGGCTAAAAATTAACAACGCTATATCTTAGTAAAATCACATGTAATTTTAATGTGTTTTTCATAAAGTACCAAGGACAGAGCAGAGGGGAAGGGGATTGGTCCTGCGCAACGACAGACCACAGTGTTTACTGTGTCAACACAGACATGGATTGCTCATTAGCTCAGAGGTTCTTGACTCTGGGCCAGTTATTTTGGCCCAAAGGTTATCTTGAGGTAAAGTGAATTCAGATCCTCTTTATTTAATATTGAACAGGACTGTGACTCACACTCATACTCATACGTGACTCATACTTTTTTTTTTTTTTTTATTAGCACAGTATTGCTGTATTGCTATCATCAGGGTCCTCTGTTAGAGTTGATGAGTTTTGATTTTGATAGAGTACAGTTCAGAGTTTTTGTATAGTTCCTTTCCTTCCATACAACATATATCAGATGTAGCTTTTTATTTATACAATTGTTAATATGATCATATTTTTAGAATGATTTTTAAACAGGAATAAACTGTAAAGCAGAGTAAATGTCAATGTCATACTTCTACTAAAAGACTCACCATCCCTTTGACCTGCCACTGTCTTCACAAAGGTCAGAGTGCTGGGTCATGGAGTAGAGGGGATTGTAATAGTAGTACTAGTAGAGGGGCTCATAAGCCAGATCTTTACTACTGCATGGCAAAAGAAAAACATGATCATAAAGTTTCAACAAGACAACACCCCACCTGAAGCTGAATGGGATGCAGAATGGCTTTATTCAATATAGTTTTAGCACAGACTTGCGACTCCACGACGCCTCCGTGCCCCATATGTCATAAGCCTGGCAGAGCAAGGCATCACAGCTATCCTCAGTGGGAATTGTCTGGTGGGAAGGACAAGATGTGGTGACACAGGACGCCTGCATATGTCATAGGGAATGAGAAAAAAGGCAATTTTATGAATGAGAAAATGTGCAATACTTGTTCAGAAACTGGTGCACCGATTGGATGAATGAGAGGAAGCGGAGGGGAAATTCATCATATTCCCCCCCAACCCCTTACTTTACACTATAGTTTACATGATAATTCCTCAAAAAAGATGTGTAATCCCAAGGCCACACATGCCACCAAAAAGTACAGTGTTATTTATCTGTTATTCAGTGGTCAAGAGGAGGCAATGATGGGTCAGCTGGTGGAGCGAGGTCCTTTGGCTGTAGTCGTGGATGCTGTCAGCTGGCAGGACTACCTGGGAGGAATTATCCAGCACCACTGTTCCAGCCAATGGTCTAATCACGCTGTTCTGCTTGTTGGATACGACACTACTGGTACACACTGCCACCGCACTGATCATGAAACAGAATCGTAATTCAAGAAAAAGGAGATTTTATATTTTACTTGCGCTAGTAGTTACCTTTTTAGGTCAAGAAAGTTTTGAAAACCCCAGGGCCTGTTAAGTAATTTAAAGCAAATGCACTAGGCAAGGGTTTTAGGTAAAAATATGCCAGTCTTAATCAGCTTTAATCACAAATTGCTTCAGTAACAGTGTCACACACACACACACCCCCCCCCCCCCCCAATTAAGAGCTAAAACAAAAGAAAATAGAGAGAGCAAGATATTTTATCAAGCCTTTTAGCTAATGCTTGAGTCCTCATTTTATAATTTTCATATATGAGATGAAAAGTCTGCGAGCGAGGTGAGAGATAGTTTCATGTTTCCAGTGAAAATTAACATGCCTTCATTCTGTAATATACTTGATGTTGTAGTAATGTGCCTTATTAAGTCGTGTCAGAAGATGTCGGCCCTCACTTCTAGAAAATCGTTGAAAGAGCTACGTGTTAATATCTCACGCAACATATTTCTGTAGTATTAAGAAAGACAAGAATTGAAATCAGAGGATGAATCTTGATTATTATGAAAACAATTTTTGCAGGGTTTACAGTGTGTAGACTTCACTTCACCTTTGGCCTTTTTCCTGTCCTGTTGTTCCTCTTTAGTACACAATGATTGGAAATGTGCTGGGTTGGTAAACATAAGACTTGTGTGTGTTCTTCTTGACGTCATGTCACAAGATTTCTAAGTATAGAAGTTCTGATTACTTGGACGGTTACCTCTTAAAGCTTTGTTTCCCACGTTTAAAATACAAAATCACTGTGAGAGGTTGAAAGGTTTTAAACATGCAAAGTTAAACAGTAGTTTTATCATCAGTATGTGTTCTCAACCATCAGCCATGACACACAGCAGGGTTTATATATTTTTTATCATTAATTATTTCACACACGCTTGCGTTTTGTGGGTATTAAACAAGGATGTCAGTGATTATGTAACAGTTTAAAGTGGTTGCAGCTGCAGTGCACACACAAGTTCAGACAAACAAACACACACATAGTCACACACACCTAGTGCTCCTTTACCCTGTAAATAATTCAATCCTGAAATGCATGTTGTCTGTCTTAGGGGACATTCCATACTGGATTGTGCAGAACTCCTGGGGAACGACATGGGGGAACGAGGGTTATGTTTATATAAAAATTGGTGACAACGTTTGTGGTAAGTATGATCTCTGCCTCTTTTCATTTTCTGCTTATATCTCCTTTTAGTCTGTTGTCTGTATGTAGCTGTGCCCACCATCCCCTCAGGCATTAATGCGGCTTTCTTTTTTGTCTTCCCAGGTATTGCAGATTCTGTGGCAGCAGTTTTCCTTTAAAAACACTGTGTATATTTTTGTCTGTCTCACTGTGTGTTTGTGTGTGTGTGTGTGTGTGTGTGTGTGTGTGTGTGTGTGTGTGTGTGAGAGAGAGAGCGACCGTGTGTGAGAGCAACCGTGTGTGTGTTCCTGGCTGCCAAAATTGAAATCAGTCATCTGTTTGCCTTCAAGTGTCACTTTAAAAAATGCTTTTATTGAAGTGTCACCATCTTGCATCACCAAAACAAAATAAATCACTTCATATGTTGATAAATGTTGGATAATAACTGAGTGATTAACACACACCACTGTAAAACTAATAAGAATAGATGCACTGTACAAAATATGTATCTTATTAAATACATAAGGTAGATACATGTCATGGGTAATATAACTCAAGTTTATCTATACAGAGATCACATTAATCACTGCATAAATACATAACAAAATTAATTTAACCATATAGAATACTATACAAAACACTTCTATAACAGCTACATTATTAACATTATGTACAAATTTTGTGGTTATAGTTTAACATTTACGTTGTACAAATTGTTTTATGATAGATGCTGACATTGATTTATTTACACAGAGGTTTGCACCTATACGATATCTTATTAGTCTGAAACAGCTCCATCTCTGACACCTTCCCCATGCTGGCATGACAGATGATGCATTTGTAAAAACTCCTCATCACCACCAGTTTGATCACTGCTCTCACCGATCCATTTGCTTTCAGGTCAGTTACTGTGAATTAGCATCATTTTATTGAGAAAACATCTAAGCAAATCTTATCAAGGAGCCATCTGCTATACTTTGTGAGCAGTCAGGATCAGAGATTAGAGTAAAATAGTTAAAATGGACATTTGATTGATTCAGGGTCAGACGCTGTGCGACAGGTTCTGTGGCCTGATGTAAATAATGAACTAGCAATTTGCTCTTTTGTTCTTTTTCCAACATAATTTTAGGATATTTGATGTGCAATGGAAAACAAGAGTTTTTACCTTTTACAAATTTTGTAATTCTGTACACTTGTTATTTTTCTGTATTTACATGCCAGAGAGAAAAAAAACCATCAAATTAAGATTCAAGATGCTCAGTGTCCTTCATAATCCTATGTAGTATTTAGGTATTTTGTGTTAAAACAGGACGTATTGATTTCTTGAGAAAAATATCATTTCTGAATGTATGGACTTTCTCAGGTACACCAACCTGATGTTATATCTTGGCTCACTATACTGAAACAATGTGTTTCTTTGCATGTTTTGATGGCCACCTATTCACATCTGCCACTAAAACCTTTCAGCTGTGCAAATGATCCACTGTTGTGAGGTCTGCTATGGTGAAAAAAAGGAAGCCGGGACGGACGAGTGAGGTGCCCTCTAGTCTGAGTCTTCACTGCTGCAGTAGGAGCTGTCGCAGCACTCGGCCATGTAGAGAAAGGTATGAACATTGGGATTCAGCTTGGGCACCCAGTGGCGAGGCACCAGGAATGTGGCCAGGTTGAACAGATCCACAAACACTTTGTAGCGGTCACTAAATGGAAAGAGCAGAATGTATTTAAAATTTTACTCATGTACTCAATACATGTACAATATAATTACGCATCTGCCACAAATTGTACTCTGAAGGACAAAAGCTAACTTAAACTGCTGCTAAAATTGAATGAGTACTGAATCAAGAACTGGTGTTGTAACTTCCTCGAAATGAACTTTAAATACAGTTTGTGCATGTGTGGATGAAGTGACCACATGGCAGGTAATTTAGATAAGCACAGAGCAGCAGTATCCTGTCCTTACCTAAATTAACTCTGAAGTGTTTAAGATACTTGAAGTGTAAAGTGTTTAATCAGTTGGTTAAAGTTTATAGCACACAATACCTGACAGTCGATCTCAGGTAGTGGTAGCCAGATGAGCCCCCTGTGCCGGCTTTGCTGCCAATCATACGATGCACCATGCATACGTGATTGTCTAAAACAAAAGACAGAAATATTCAGCGTGACATGAGCGATGTTTTGTTCTCTGCATGTTTCATTTGAGCTGTAAATTGTCTGGACATAAGAGAGGCATAGACAGTTAAAAATGTATTTCTTGGGAATAGGTTGTTGGGTTGATCAGCAGGCGTGCAGGATGTTATCCAATTCTTCTGCCTCTGAGGTTGTGAACTAACTTTAGCTCTGTAAACTTAGTCAACCCTGCTTTTGGGCAAAATATTAAAGCACCAGTTTTCTGTCGAAATTTTTTCTTTTTGCATTTTTCTGTTCTGAATCACAGCAGACAGAGGTGCTATAGTACTTACATCTCCATTTTGTCATCAGAGTGTCAATGTCCATGAGGGATGTGAGCAGCTGGAAAGGAACCTGGAACCTCGGCTCCTCCCTGAAAGGTAAGAGAAGACTGAGTGGTGCTGATAGCAGTTGTAAAACAAGAGCGACTATCACTTATTTAATACCCATAATTTCATTAACATCTTGAACCCAGGAGTTTCACATTAATTATCGCCTTTCGGTGACTGTTATATGACTCTCACGGAGCCTTAATGAGTGTCGTGACGTTACATCCTTACCACAAAGGTTTTTAAAAAGCTGGTTACCACACCTTGTGCTAAAACTGACAAAGACACTCTAATGAGTGATGAAACAGCACAGAGAGTCCAACTGCTAGTGTTTATAGCTGCTGGATATCACATGACCTGGATGGCTGACAGAGTTTTAAAAACCGGGATGTGACATGGTAATTTTAGTACCCCTGCCTCAGGAATCTGAGGTGCTCTTAAGCAAGATGTTAAAACCTGAACTGTCACAGAGAAGTAATTTTATTAATCTTTATTATAACGTTATGAATCCGAAGCACGCATAACACAGATACACTGTGTCAGCAGAGTTTCATCAGACCACAAAAGGGAAGGAAACGCTGTAAAAACCACAAACCTGTAGAAGTAGATCATCAGGGCACCTTGTAGAGCCTTGTAAGAGAGCCGCCTCTCACCTTGTTAGAAAAATGAAAAAATATATTACTTAAAGTAAAATTGTCTTCATTCATGTAGTTTTGTGCGTGAAAGTTCATAAAGTAATACATAGCAGACACACTGCTGTCAAATCTAGACCAAAAACAAATATGTGAGCCCCTGACACACAAGGGATGATACAATTAATTGGATAGATTTTCAGTTTGTAGAGAGCCCTCACCTTTGCTAAGGAGATGGTCATGACGCTTTTCATCAAACAGAGAAGTGAAGAGCTCTCTCTGTTTGACCAGCTCAGCCATCAGTTCCTCCTTCTCCTCAGAATCTGTCATTTCCTTTTCAAAACAACAACCCATAAATAAAAATACAGTCTCTTGTCAATCATCTGTGCACTCCAGGGAAAGTGAAAGAAAGTTTTTCTTCTGAAAGTTGGTAGTCATCTCTTACCTCGATTTTCTCCTTCTCTTGATTCAACCCATCAAATATATTGATTTCCAGCCTCTCCCAGAAATTGAATCCATCCACCTCCAAGCCAGGAGTTCTCTCCAGCCACTCCTGAGAAGAGCAGCCCAAGGTTTTTTTTTTTTTTATCACATTCTACCCCGTTCAGTAGCAGATGAGCTTATCCACAGCGAGAAACGGCAAACACAGATTTGGAAAAACAAAGATATACAATACAATAAAGTGATCCCTGCTTAAATGAACTAAATCTAAAAATCGATGACCATACGCAGGCGGTCGGCGGTTGTAAGACGTACCTCGACTAGCTTTAAGAGTGTGGGCTCCTGTTCAGTGGCGAGCAGCATCTCACTGTCATGACCTTTGAAATTGTCCCTGTAATGACGCCTGTTGTATGGAACCCTCAGGTTGTCTGGGACCCCAATTTTGTTCTCCAGCAGCCGAAACTGGAGGCTTTGGAAGCCTGAGGCTGGAGCCAGGTATTCCCTGCACACAAACACAAACGCACACAAGTAAGCATACATGCACACAGCACAGACAGAGTGCATCTCATAAATTTTTTAGAGCTGAAGTAGAGATGCCCAGAAGTTAGTTATAAGCTCACCTAAAGTCAAAAAAGTCCAAGGCTGTCATTGTTTCCAAAACCGCGAACTGGTCGACCAGCAGTCTGAATATCATTACAATCCTGTGGATGCGAGTGTTGACTTTGAGCATATTGCGTTCGTCTCGGACCTGGAGGAAAAGTAAAATGTGTAGGGAAATAATTGCTAATCATAGTAAAGCTTGTAAGTATATATCCTGAAACAGGGAAAAAAAAAATCTAATTACTGAAATAATTAGAGTTTCTGACTTTTGGCGTTGCTCTAATTTCAATTTAGAACATCAGCCTTGGTGATGCACAACATTTCTTATTTTTTCCTGACTGAGCTCCAAAGCCAGAACGACTGAATAATTCCTATTGAATATAACTTTCTTTTCAACAGAGGTACTGCAAGATCTGACTAGCACAGTGTTCTCCTCTCTGATGATTATGTTAAGTTATTCTACTTCATGATTTCTTGTTCTGAGCAGCATTCAGTGTTCCAACACTGACAGATCACCTACAAAACATTTGAAATTAGTGATACAAAATGTTCCTCTCTGCTCCAGAATAATATCTGAGAGGATACTTACTTAGACTATGTATTATAAAATAAAATAAAAATATTTGTTTATGTTTGATACAGGCTAATTCAGTCTCTTATTTTTTTGTGTGAATACAATCACACAGATTCAGAAATGTGACTTACGTGTCCACTGATGAAGATCTCTCGCACTGAATCAAGTTCAAACAAAATCTGTTTGAACCACAGTTCATAGGCTGGAATAAAACACAAAAAAACATTGTAGTGTAATGTTACAAGATAAAAAAAAAAAAAGTGAACAGTCAGGGATTACAAGAGCCATGTCACACTGAACTGCATTGCAAATGCCGATTTAAACAAGTTATTGTCCTTTTTTTTTAGCTATACAATATTTAAATAAGTGATAAATCTGCTGCTTGGTTGTTATAAATTGGTTGTTTTATTTAATGATTTGTATGAATTTCAAGCAGCAATCTCCCTTTTTTCAAATGAATTGCTGAATTTATAAAAAAAAAAAAAAAAAATGAAAATTTTGAAACTGAATTGCAAACATTTCAAATTAAAAGAAAAAGATGAATATAGAAGAAAAATATAAAGACTAAATACAAGATTAAAGGAACAATTTTATAAAACTACAAAGCTAGTTTTACCTTGATGGGTGACAATGAAGAGGTGCTCATCATGGATCTTATTACCCTTTACTTCACTCTGCAACACCTGGGCTGTGACAATTTTGTCGAGCTGAGGGTTGGAAAGAAAGAAGCCATTTGGCTTAAAAACTTGACCTTAAAAAACAAATGCAAATTCCGATACTTATCTTTCATTTAAAAAGCCAGGCACAGAGACTGATGCATATGATAGGTGGTGTTTTCTACCTGCAGGTAGTCTCCATAGATGATTCCTCCTTTACTGGCTTTGTTAACCCCGGACTGAGAGGCATCCTCATCGTCTTCTGGATTTGGAGGCTTGTTTTTGAATAACCTGCAGTGTGAAGAGAGAGGTGACCTGGTGTTTTCCCTGGATTAAACTAATGCAAACTGTTAAGAGTGTTGCAGCCAGTGGAATTAGAAAAACTTCAATAAACATGGAAAGTAAAGCAGCCAAATTCCTTGAAAGCCCTATTTTAGGTGAAGTAACAAATTGTACGTACAAATGCCTCTTCTCAAAATACGGACATCCACTCATGACTTGTCCAAATCAGCTGCAGTAAAGATGTATTCTTTTTCCGTGACCAATATTTACTAAAATTGTATTCAACGCAATCCAGATTTTTAAAGACTCAACTCATCCAATCCCTCATGAGGATGTGGTCACCATCCGGCCCGCCTCTATTTGCCCCATGTTTACCTTGAGCCAGGACCACCTTCTGGACTTTGTTTGACCTGTTAAAAGAACAGTCACAGGATCCTTTTCAAATAACAAAATGCAAAACAACAAACACCAAATACATATAACTTATATAATAACTAAAATAACAGGAAACTGGATATATTCAGCAGAAGATTTTATAGTGTAATTATTGTCCAAGACCTTTTAGCTAAAATAACAAAAGTCAGGAAACTTCTCTGTGGACTTTGTTGTCTTGGTCAAAGAGTATCTTCAGTGACACTCTGCTGTATGTATGTATATGTGTGTGTGTGTGTGTGTGTGTGTGTGTGTGTGTGTGTGTGTGTGTGTATATAAAATAACAGGTTTGGGGTCCTTGCTGGCAAACATGATATGTATTCATTTTTATTTTAGTCATCAAAGCTTCTAAACAATAAACTTAATTTTAACTAAATGAAGAATTATATGAAAAACTCAATTCTGCCAAGAAAAAAAAAAACAACCTAAACCTCAACCATGTACCAGGGTAAAAGGGTGGATTTCTGTTTAATCCTAAAAACACACTTGCTAATTATAAATTGCTAAGAGAAAGAAATGTTAGTTAAATTGGAGTTATGTTTACTATGATGGCATAGAAGTAATTTTTAACCAAGAATTCTTGGATTTGACAGTCTTTACCCACCAGCAAACCATAAACACTGAGTCATAAATGTAAGCTGAAGTCTGTCTTCATTAACCTCTTCCAAACTGCATCATAGTGCTCTCAGGGAATTACTGATGCCACTCTATAGGTCATTGGACTCATCTGTAAATATTTGCAATTTGGTTAATAATTTATTTACCTTAGTCACACAAGGTTATTGTGAGTGTGTGTGGACTGCACGTAATATGTTCTGAAAAAAAAAGTACACTATGCTTATGTTTGTGTTGTGTCCAGTGAATGGGACAAATGAGATATACTGTACACACTGCTCGAGCTGGAGAATGTGACCAGCCAACGCATGTTAGCAGCTGAAAATGTCATTCCAGTTCATGGGAAATGTTTATTTTTTGTTTTCATCCGCAATTGGTCGAATCGGTAGAAAAATAATGATAGGCTCGTCCCTCCCACCAAACCACTGTCAATCACAACAGGCAAGTTCTTTTTGAACAACAGTTAACCCAGTTTCATCAGAGTAAGCCTCAAAATCCACAATCCTCTAAATCTCTTCAAGATCATTAGCTCCCTTGTTTTTCACCCACACTCTTTATAGACTTCTCAAGTAGAGTCCCAACAGCCTGTGCAACTGTCCTCAGATGATCAGAGGGATGATAACAAGCAGCTATTTCTGAATTGGGACATGGTACAAGCCTAGCAATATAAAGCAGAGGAGTGAACAAGAACCACCCCAAAATGCTTTGTTCTTGTTCCCATTTAGCCAGGATGAATGGGATGCTAGTGAAGAGAGAGGGGGTACCTTAGATGAGAGAGCTGGAGACCTGTCGGTTTAAGTCTTCGAAGCTTTAACAGACCTGTCCATCTCACTGATATGATGCACGTGTCATTACACATGATCTCCAAGGTCTGAGTGAGACACTCATTAGCAGGGATGTGGCCTGTATCTGCCTCACTGCCATGGAGCCTCCAATGAAAGTTAAGCTGTTTTCCTCTATCTAGGCCCCCAGTCCTTGAACCGTGCAATTACGGTTTCCTGTTTGAGGTGTGTTTGTCAAGTGTCAGCCCTGCTAGTGGCTACATCCGTCTTCATCTCTGCATCAGATTTAACTTGAGGCTTTTTGTGACTCTCAAGCCATTATGAGAGCTTCAGGAATAATTAACTCCTAAAATCAATATATTTGTTAGAACAGAGAGATAAACTAAATGTATTTGTATCAATAGAACGATCAGCCTGTTGCTGATCTTGTTCTCTGTGTTCCAGCTACCCTGTTGGAAATAATTATTATAAATTATTGCATACTGTAATAATTCCGTTTAGAATAATTATTTTGATCTTGACATAATATGAACTAATGTCTTCTTTGGATCATTGGGTCACTAGCTGCTCAGATAAAAATTATATCTTTATTAATAAGAGTTAAATGTAAAAATATAGATTTTTATCTGATGTAATGATCAGATTTAATCAACAGAAGTCAGATATAATGACTTCTGTGACCATGACTACGATGTCTGGTTGCACACCACATTTACACTGTACACTGTTATCTTGACTTTTATATATTTTTTACAGTTATTATTGTGTACTTATTATTTTTAGTGAATTGCACTGTCTTGGATTAACAGGGTTTAGTTGTACAAAAATACAACAGTAAAAAGTTGTGTACAATGGAATCAAACAGACAAAAGGTATTTTGTTAATGTTTAATCTATAGTGATTATATTGCAGGTTAACTATTTATCTGTATTATGGGGATATTATATAACACTATAATGACCTCAGCATTTTGGTCACTACAGGTTACAGTAAACTAACTATGATACTTTATCATGTATTAATATATATTACAATCCTACAGGGATTTTTGCTTGGTTGCGGCTACATAAAGTGATAAGGATTCACATCAAAATGAGTGACAACATAAGTGGTAGAAACTGCTGTATGTCTGCTGCTTATAGGTGATTCCCATATCGGAATGATTTTTTTTCTTTGATGCTAATGATCATCTTAATGACAGTTTAGGTTATGTCAAGATCACAAGATTGTTGCTTTGTGTCCACAGGAAAACGGAGCTCATATAAAAGCTCAGAATACAAGGTTTTCATCTTGACATAAAATAATTATTCTGTGATCTGAGGGGAAAGAAAAATCCTGTCAGCCCTTCTAGATGCCTGTGGTTCACACATTGTCCTTGGAGAAAATTCCAACAGTTTGATTCAGATTATTTTTGTCACCTGTGTCTGCAGAGAGAAGATGTTTTTTTTTTTTTCTTTTACAGTACATCTACAGTTTGGTACCGTATACCAGGCAGATTTTCATAACACAGTTAGGTCATGAGTGCAGCTGCTTGATTAATCGTAGTACAATGAAACATGGCCTTTCCATTGTTTCTTTCCTTTTAAACATTACATGCAAATCCATTCAGTTCAGAAGCAAAATGCAGTAAAGGGCAGATTGCTTCGTGGTTTTGGAAACTGCATTGTTGGGATTTTTAAATAATTTTTTTTTTTACTATCTGCTACAGTTTGAGATTGAGAAGGTTTAACTCTCCCCTCATTAAATTCATACTTATATGTTTTAAAAATCTTTCAAGGAAACACTTCAAATGAACAGACATGATTTTTTTTTTTTTTTTTTTTTGCTTTCCATTACAATGATTTTATTTTGTTTATCCACAGGTCCTGTTGGAGTTTGTGAAGAGACAGTCCACAGGTTGTCAGCAAGAGGTGAGAAAAAGCAATAATGAATATGTCACCTTTTGTGCTTGTGAAAATGTAATAATGCTGCTTGGCAAAAATAGTAGGTGTGGTAAAAAGTCATGGAGGGACATCAACACAGAAATGAATTTTACAAAAATAAGATGCAGCAAATGTGTTTTAATGTTTACATCCCGTGAAGGGGAATGTAAATTTAGACTCAAAATGTGTGGTTCTTTTGGAGAAGTAATCAGTTACACACTTATTTTATTTACTAGAAGCTCATTAGAGCTTGGCCTGACTATTTTATGTTCATAATTATCTAATCTGCCTGGTTGATGCACTTGATCGTCCGTTGCTAATATCACATTAATAATTGCAGTATTACTACTATAAATTCAACTTCACTTTAAATTACTGCAGATTTCCTTCCTCTAAGCTTTACATCATATGATCTTAATTGATTTTGAGTGGGGAGCTTTTATAAAAAATTCAAACTTGAGTGCAAGCTTGTTTCTTAAATCCCTACATCCGACAGATTTTAGCTTGCGTGGATGCAAAATTTATAGTTAAAGATGTTGGTTCACTGCAGTAACAACCAGTTTGATATGAGGCCACTGTGCTGCACAAAAGTCCAAATCATCCACCTACATAAATCCCAGCTGTATGACGCCAAACTCAGGCCTCATATTTGATGTATAGCTTTCCCTTCAAGTCATTGTGACTCCAAAATGGGAAATATAGCTTGCAAAGTCATTTCATGTTTGGTAGTGCGATTCCATATGGCTACCTCTGTGTTACGTCCATTAATTGAGGCTTGACTGAATTATGAAACAAGGTTCATTTTTCCAGCGCTCTGATGTGGTTATTGCATGATGCTTTTAGGTCTTTGATGTTCTTGCAAAGTCGTGCCATCTCTTTTATATAAGCCTTTGAAGTAGGTCTAGTTGCACTGCGTCGTGATAGGCCGTACTGTTGCTTCGGCAGTGCCTTCTGTGGTCACAGTGTGATATTGCAGCAGCACTGTGGATCAGTTTCATATTACTGGTTTATCTATTCCATTTGATGTCTCTTTAAATTAACCTGGAGTATCCAAAAGTGATTATTTTGGGTTTTTTTTCCTGAACATCTGGCCCATTAATCACTAGAATTTGACTGAATTATTTGAAGCTGTAGCTCAAAGCAACAATGTTTTTCTGTCCTCTATGAAAGTGCAGTGGTGGCTGCTGTTATAACAAGTGTACTGCTACATGATATGTAGATAAACAGTCAGCTGGATGACTGTCTGAACTATGCACTTTGTACCACTAGGGAGCATCAAAGGACTTTTAAGAGAATGAAAGATTTGAATGCTTCGTATTTGGCAGAGCTGAGTTTGTACTTGAAGATTTTCCAGCAGGGGTTTGGTGGGGTTCGAAGCTCTTTGTATGGATATATCAAAACAAATGGGGGTTCACTGTAATTTCAGTTTAATAAGATATTTCGTTATAAGTTGGTGGTGAAGAGGGGTGGTATACCCAGAGGGAGTCTGATGAGAACTTCGAAGGCATGTATTTCAGATTTTGAGCTGAGCAACATTCAAAGAGATGTAGTTTTATAGAGCTCTATATGCCAAAGCATGTTTTTTTTTTTTTTTTAAATCTCTGAAATGACATAAAGAATCTGTGGGCTGCTGGAGGAGCAGAGAGGAGGTCAAAAACAGCGGCATAAAACAACCTTTGAGTAAAGAATATTCTACTCCCATTTGGTTTGAAATGCTGTTTGAAGTTTACCATGAAAAAGAAATCACTTTCATATGGAGGGGTTGTTTTCAGAATTATGCATGCTATCATCAAAACTCTTCTGTGCTTTGAAGAATAACGTTTAGCATGAGTACGGCAAAGCTGATCACAACCTACATATAATTTAAAAAAATGAGCGATTAAATACACACACACAAACGTATACCTAACATCCTCTGTGACTGCGATGCTGACCGTGTAGATTGCGCCTGTATTTCAGGTTAGTTGCATTAAAACTTTCTGCAGCTATTTCAATTGAGAACAGCCTCGAGCAGCTGGCTTCAGAGTAGTGCTGCATTTGTCTCCTTTGGTTCAGTAGCTTAGATGTATTTTAAATCATTAATGCAATTTGTGATTTTGATCATTTTTTTTTTGTAACAGAGGCAATAAATACATAAACATTTGGCAAGACTTTCTTAAGCATTATATCCAAATAAGTGTCTGAGTAACTCAACATCTCAGACCACATTCAGTCACTTCTGATATTCATTTTCAAACATAAAAGCTGTTCCAATTCTTAAAAAAACAACACACCCAAAAGAACCCCAATATCATTTTAATCCATGAGTGCATTTAACATTCAAAAAAATTATACCTACCGAGAACATGGATGTGATCTATATTTGGATCCACTGTAACCTTGTTTATGTGAGATGGGTTCATGAAATATTTGTGTTGATGAAATATTCATTGGACAGGAAGCCAGGTCAAAAGGCATTATGCCCAATAAACATTAAATTTAGTGGAAATAATAGTTGACTGCATGTTATAGATACATCACCACTTGTAAATACTTGTCACTACATGCACAGGTTTCTGTTAATTACTTAAACAGAGCATTGTGAAGAAGCCCCACATTAGCCATATTAGGAGGAACATAAAAAAGAAACACATGTCTGGAAAAATCTAAGAAATTAAAAAAAAAAAAAAAAATCAAAATCCGCTGGACTTTATTTGTTATGTATAAACACAACATAAATTACTGTTAATATGACTAGTACAGACATTTATTCAGTTTCTTAAAAAAACGCCATAAAACTCTTGCATAATTTACAAAACATGGTGTCCCTGTGCTATCCACGACACAGCTGTGCCTTTGTCTCCCCGACAGTTCTTCATACCTTTACTGTCCTTTTTTTTCACAATGAATATTGGGTATTTAAACATGGAAACAGTTTCTTTTTTCCATTTAAAAGCATCTCAGAGAGAATAAGACATTTTGATGTTTACAGTGCTAAATCTGGTATACATAGTGGCTGTTTGGTGAGAATCTGTCTAATGTCAGAAGTCTCTGGTTTAAAAAAACAAAAAACAAAAAAAAAACATCTGCTCAAGGACACTGCTTGCTCTCGGCAGGTGAACTCATGAGCCCCGTACTTCTAGAGAAGTGCAGATATGCATAATGTAAACATTTCCTTTGCTCTTAGAATACTTTCTGTTGAGCCAGACTTTTCTTGGTAAAAACAAAAACAAACATAAGACACCTAAACTAGCTCACTGTTTCTCCAAAGACACCACTATTCCTCTGTTTGAGAGTCCAGAGTCCAGAAGGCTTGTGCTACAGAGGAACTGACCTGTATTTTGCCATGTTAAGGCTTGGTGTAGTTATACATTTACTCTGTAGTCCCTAGGTCACAATGCACAGCATTGCTTTTGACCACTTGTATTTTTTCCTTTTTTTTTTTTTTTTTTTTTTATAAAAACACATGGACACTCAGGATACATATCGGCAACCTTTGATTACAGCTGCTGTTCATTTTGTCCGCTAGTATGTCTCTACCAAAATGAAGTCTCTTTGGCAGAAAATGCACCTCGTATTGTTACCTTTTCCCAATTTCACTTTGCCGAAGAAAATGGATGTTATTAGCGCTGTCTGCTAACTCTGGGTACTGCTCGATAGAGAGCACGTAGTACCCATCATAGCCCAAAACTTTTCCACTACTCAGAAGCTGCCTCTTCTCCCCCTCTGTCCAGGGGCGGACCCCCTCCTCGCCATCTCGCACTCGTTGCTGTTCTCTTGCCCACGCCCCCGCAAGGGCGCGCTGACGAGCGAGCTCAACAACTCGCGCTTTCTCCTCGTCCACCGTGGATCCATAGCGGATATGAAGAGCTAGAGCGCCGGCACGAATCTCCACATCTGCAAAACGGCGAGTCCGACTATCCATGACTGTGGTGGACTGGGAGACGGTCACATTGACACCGTTCTCCAGAGTCTTGTGTCCACTAGTGAGGTGCAACGCAGCGAGGTCTGCGTCCGGAAGGCCTGGCTTGACAAAGTAGTGCGTGTCCCGTCCTTCTATAGTGAAGTGGAGGTCTTCCAGATAGAACGCGTTGTTGAGGATTGTCGCAACTTTGATACAGTCCTCACTGGCCACGTTGAGTGTGTGAGTATGGATGCTGCCCTTGTAGATGGCAAACATAACAGCTCTTCCGATGGGAGACATTGCTGCTGAGAACCACAGCCAAGACTTTTCACCTCTGCGACCTCGACTGAGATGGACCTCTGGCAGCCGCTCGAATGACAAGAGCGAGTGGGCTTGTCTGGTTACTTCCTGCTGGACCCCAGAGATAGACTGTAGGAAAAGTGCAGTGAAACGTTAACGCCTGAACATGGCAGAACCTGACTCTCCAGGCCATTTAGAACCAGCTACTGCTCTGCTTCAGAGAGTTTTTCATCCCCGTCTTAAGATAATGGTGTTTTTCAAGCTGTGTTCTCAAGCCAAAAGGAGATAAATCCCCCATGACAATTTTACAGCAACACTTTTTGTGTTAGGGCATTAGACTAAAGAAGCCTAGCATAAATAGCTTCAAAAGATTGTTTTAAAAGTTTATTTATTTATATATTATATATTATATCAACTTAGACACTGTTGAAGTGTGTTCAGCTAGTAACTAAAACAACAAGACAGAGGAAAGTACACTTTGCTTTTATTATACATATTATTATGCAAATATGGCCCAATTAAAACTGCTATTCTATGAAATGCATAGCAATCCAATTAAGAGATGGCAGCATCAAAATACTGATGTAAAAGAAAAAAACAAAATTGTTTTTTGTTGTCTGTCTGAACCCCAACACTATCAAAAGCAAATTGCCTGTTGGCTTGAGGTGTATAATAGTTCTGTTTATTTTGTGTTCACCATGCATAAGAGATATTAATTATACCCACCGGCAGATCATCCCAGAGCTGACTCTTCCTCAGTTCATAGGACGGCATGCTTAAATCAAATTTTGGGACTGGAAACCCAGGAATGGTGTTGTGAAGATGAAAGCCAAAGGTTACGAGCCAGCTGTTCACATCTGTGCATGAAAAAAAAATGAAAGGCAGAAAGTTCCAAGTTACAACATGGAAACCTTTGTACCTTACCTTATACTTTCTCATTAGCAAAACCATTTGTTTGTTAAAAATGTTAATGCTGTATATTGGGCCAGAACAAATGCAGGTTTTAACCCAGTTTTAAAAAGTGTCATTTAAATGCTTGAAACATTTACTTTTAATCTAAGTATTAAAAAGAAACAACAAACAAGTAAAATCTATAAAGTAGAGCTACAAATAACCCTAAATTCATTAAGATCAATGACCATTGCAACAATTGGCTGATTTATTAATTAGCCAATTGACAATTAAAAGGCAACTGTTTTGATATCTGTTATTTTTTCAAGAAAAAATGCCAAACAGTCAGTGTTTTCCAGCAATTAAATTATGAGGATCTGCTGCTGTTCCTTGTCATATATCATAGTAAACTGAATGTCTGGATCAATGTTTCAGATACGACGAGGATAACAGCTGAATTTGCAAATTATAATGGGTATTTTTCACTATTTTCTGACAGTTTATAGATTAATACATGGAGAAATTGAGCAGCAGAAAAAAAATCGATAGTGAAAATGATAATAAATCATTAGTAGCAGCCCTAATTATCATCACTAGTACCAGCAGGATCAACTGCAATATCACTTACCTGCAACATATTCTCTCACTTCATGGACTTTGCTGATGGGGTTGTTATTTCTAAACATGTATAAATTAAAAGGAGCAGGCTCTCTGCCAACTTTTTTCCAAGTAGAGACATCTGGAACAGTCCACCTTCCAGACATTATATCATAATCCTGCTCCCCAAAGTGCAGCAGTTTGGTCAGGGGGTCATACAGTCCTCCGTGAAACCCTAGCACGAGCTGGAAGTCTGGGTTTGAGTCGAAGTAGACCTCACCGTATGCCGTGTACTGGAGCTGTTTGACGAGGAGTCCGTTGCTGGTGAAGACAGCCAGAGGTGTGCCAGTGTTATCACAGGCAATGTAGAACTCCTCCCCGCTGCTGATCTCCATAGCAAAGAGATGGCCTTGGAGGTCATAGTAGAGCGAGGTGATCTCTGAACTGGAGTGGTTGTATACATGTGTAATCCTGGCTGGGTAGCTCAGGTCTGCGTAGAAATACTGCAGGTGTTGGCCCAAGCTGGTTTTGGTGGAGACTCTGCGGCCGAGTCCATCATAGCGATACTGAATCGTCCAGCCACCGCTCTTGCTGTAGACCCGAACCAAGAGCCCTTTAGAGTTGTACTCAAAGATTTCTGCTCCTCTCTGACGAAGGAAACCGTCTTCATCCATTCTGTATTGGATATCACCAAGGCGGGTGATGCGGTCTCTCAAGTCATAGCGCAGAGGGAGAAGTCTAGCACTGTTTCCTGCATTCAGCAGGTGCAGATTTCCATTAAGGTCATACGTATAGCGCCACATCACTTTGTCATTCAAGTATACGGTCTGGAGCTGGCCATCCACGTCATACTCATAGCTGTACTTGGTGGTGTTGGCAAAGGGACCAATCTTGATCTCCCGCTTGGTGACTCGGCCCACATCATCATACTGGAAAGTGATCCAGTACATGAGTGAACGAAAGATCTCATACTGGATCTCCTTGATGCGTCCGTGTGCATCAAAGTGCTTGGTATAGGTCATGACTGCAGTGGAGATGATCTGATTTATATCATAGTAGATCACCCCAAACTTTCCAAACTGCTCAACTTTTCCTGAGATGTCATCAAACTGGTATAGATCGATGGGTAGCGGTGTTTCGTTGATGACACCTTGCACACTGGTGACACGCAGACTGCTGTCATAGGTGTAATCAAAACGTGCATTGACCATGCCATCCTCGCTGAAGCGGAAAATCTGTCGGTCCACCAGGGGACCCACTTGGCGATAACGAATGGAGCAGATGAAACCTTCATTCTGCAGGTTGACGGTCTTCAGCACACCCGCCATCTCGTCATAGGTGAAGCTGACCCTTGTGCTGTCGTACAGTATCTCTGAAAGTTTATTCTGCCGGCGATACCTGTACAGGACCCTGCGTCCTGTACCGAGGTGAGCTACCCTCAGTAGGAGGCCATCTTCACTGTAGTCCACAGCCACTGAGGCGTTGCTCTCCGGGGGGTGGTAGAGGTTCCTGTAGTAACCCACTGAACGGATGGTCTGCATTGTGTAGCGCGCCACACTTGGCATGGTGACAGCAGAAAGCCGGTCCAGAGAGTCGAAATCAAATATGTACTGGCGCTGACTGTGGAGCAGGAGAACCATGGACTGAGGGGAAAAGAGCAAAAAAATAAGTGTTTTCTTGAGTTACGTAATATTTATACATAATATGTTTGTAATACCAGCCAGGAAGAGTACAAGCAGAATGAGAAGACATTTCCTTTTTTGAGAAAAGGAGAAACAGGATGTATGTAAAATGCACTAGGCTGTTATGAGACAGTGGCTACCAATTGTGCTGCCCATTGTCTAATCTGTTAATGCAGAATATACAGCTTTAGTTTTAAAGTTATAATAAATACATTGAAAATTATATATTGATCTGAAATACTTGACATGCTAAACATGCTAGTGTGGAGGGAGTTTACTCTTTGAAATGTGTTCAACTGTTAATTATTGTCTATTACAGTAACACACACTTGTTGACATGAGCAATGTTTACTTTTAACTCCAGGTCCACAGAGACTAGTTTACTTAATTTACAGTATATGCAGTTTGGAGTGTGTACAGTCTTCTAAAAGTTCACCACCTTTTCTGTTAAAATGTCATACCCAGTCATCCGCAACTACATTGAGGTTCCCTGTGCTCCCTGAGCTCTCTGTGTTCCTTATGTCAGAGTGTTGACATGTCTTCTCCAGGTCACGCAATGAAAAGACGCAGCCAGGAGTGAGTGGCTGAGAAAATCTTTTTATTTTTGCGTGGTATACATGTTCTATAATATACTGTTAAAATCATGATTTAATGTATGTAATTTAGCCTTAGTTGATTGTTCTTTTTTTTTTCTTAACAAATAAATTGTTTCCAAGGTGTACACTAAAGCCAGGGATACATGTGAAAACGACTGCGTCCACCAACACTGACACATTTTTAGGCTTCAGCAACGAGAAAGGAGCACATATTTAACAACTGGCTAAATACAGAAACAACACAATGGGCAACAGACACGCTGTGATTACAGTCGTTAGGCAACTGCTAAAATCTTACAAGGATATCAATTGTGATGTATTAAAAAAATGGCCATTCATGCAAAAGAGTTTACCTCTATAATTTGTACAATTTGTACAGTGCATGTGAAAATGGCAAAGACACAAAGGAAAATTGCTAAATCTGGAAGAGATGACGGCAGTAAAGACTAAACTGTGCAGAGAGCTGAAGGTGAGGGAACTTCATCAGCACTAAATGCTGCACTAAATTGATAAAGTGGATTATAAATTAATAGCTACTCTCATTTACAGTACACCCCACGATTTTGCCATTTGTTCATTTGTTTTTGTAATTGGTTCTAATGCTTGAACGCATAATGTTCAACGGTCTCGATTATAGATTTTGTGTGGGGTGTCCGGTCTTTGTTAGCTTCGGCTCGTTTTCAGGTCCCGCCCTGCTTTACAAAGTAGGATGAGAAATATGTCCCAGAGGTGGGGACGGTGAACAGCCACACTGTTCAAAACATTTCTGGAGACCATTTGTCCTCTGGTTGCCCGAGAATAGACCTTTTTTCACAGCAGAGAGTTTTGACTTGTCATATCAGTAAAGGCACAGTTGTAATTAATAACATTAACAATGACTCACTTGTGTTAAATGTCTCAGCTATTCCATTGAGCCACAATGCACATGACAATAGGACTTTCTAAGTGGAAGGCAGACATTATTATGTTGTTAAAAACACCTGCTCTTTTCCTGCTATGACGTGTGCAAGTGTCTGCTGTGAAAAAGGTCTATTCTTGTTTACTGAGTAGAGTGATGTGTAGCTCCTGCATAGAAGCTTCATGTTTCTGTGGAGGCAGATGTACTAAATTTCTTTTATATCTAAGGCTTGTGAATGATGCTCATAAATCTGCAGTTGGTGTAAAATGATTACTATGTTTGCCAAGTACCTCTGTAATAAGCAGAATTGTGTCAATGGAGCTGGTGATTATGGCAAAATAAGTGTCTTCAGGGTGACCTCTGCTACATGTCAGGGTCTTGATTCACCCTGTAGCGATAATGACTAGCCTGCAGTACAATATATCTTATATATTGCCTCCCCTGGTCATTTTATTTTCTCACCTGCTCTAGGTAGGTGTAACTCCATATCTTCCCATCAGCAAACACCCTGGAAACCAGGCGGCCCTGGCTATCATACTCGAGTCTCTCAGTGGTGGGACCTCTCTGCAGGGCACTGATTTGCCCGCTGCTTGTGCGGCTCACATTAACCGGCAGTAGCTTACTGCTGGGCACCCAGAGCACCGGGTGGCCTGCTGTGTCGTATATAATCTTTAAGAGGAACTTCCTGTGGTCATCATAAATCTTCTCTGTCCTCAGGGTGCGATCATAATCGACAGAGAGTATGTTCCGCCCATTCACCTGTGGGAAGGATTTGATTTAAGGTGTAAGACAAAAAAAAAAAAAGACAACTATGCTCACTACTCCTACTACTTATAATAATATGTTGCTATTTGATAACATTTAAAAATAATAGTCAACACAATCTATGCACATAAATTACACAATAGTACAATATGAAGAACATATTCTTGGTATTGATATCACTGTTCTTTGTCTGGCAGGCTCCTAAAACTATTCACAGAGATTTCCACTAGTCACAGAGATTAACATCCCCTTCACCAGGCTCATTAAACTGAGAGACACTCTGGCGATTGTTCAGGTACACTTAAATCACAACCTCCTAAATTTCGTGGAGATGAAAATTACTGCGAGGCAAAGTAACCGCCCAAGTTCAGTTCATGAAGTCCTGTAAATCATAAATCTGAGAGTCGGATTCAAAGAAGGAGAAATAAGAGTTGGGCTTATGTACAATACTGGAATATTGATAACCCTCTAATATACAGAACTAAATGTTGATGTCACTCGTAAATTTTTATGGAAAGAAAGAATTGCATAAATATTTTTTTGCAAGGTTATAAAAAGGACAGTGACACAGCCACAGAAATAAAATATCATGTCATTTGTTGGTCAGTTTGACTGATCATCAGCATGAGTAACCTGGGCTGGTTATTGATTCCCTTGCCCTAAAATTGTCACGGCCATGCTCTATTTACCCCTGAGCTAAGCAAGGGCCCAGGAAATATCCACTTTTGTGTCGATGATCATTTGCATGTGCATAAAGAGGAAGAAAAAAAAAAAAAAAATCAAACATACCCTAAGCTTGCGTCCAAACACGATAACTTTCCCTCTGGCTTGTTCTTTGCGGAAGCGCCACTCAACCAAGTTCTGCCCACTCTCCCCTGGCAAGCTCATGTTGCGTCTGGCTACAGTTGGGTTGGCAGCGCCTGCCAGGATGTGGGGCTCTGTCTGGTAGTGGGTGTCCATCCCGTTGGCATAGGTAATCCTCAGCGAGTTGTCAAAGCCAACCTGATAGCTACTTCTACATTGGTCTGTAAACAAAAAGTGAACAAAAAGTACTACTTAGAACAGAAGAATAGGTAATTACACACTGAAATTAATGTTGATAGTTTCCTGAAGTAATTATTGGTTGTGTGTACTTTCATAGTATTTTAAATTAGACAATTTTCAGATCAAAAGAATGAACATCATGTGTTGAAATAACTGGACCATCTGGCTCTGGCGGAGAGTGGAAACCATTCAGACACAAGGTTGATGTGTCTCCCTGACACCCAAACCCACACACTGAGAGAGTAATCATTTACACTGTCGTCTGTCAGACCCTGTGAGCTGTAATGATACACGACTTAAGCTTACTCAACATTGCCCCGGTAACCCCAGAAACAATGACAAATAACTGTTCACAAAATAGCTGCCTGAGTCGGGAAGATGTGTGGCGTGGCCTCACCCTGAGCCAGAGTGTAGAAGGCACGAATGGTTGAGGTATTCGTGGTGATGCTGATTTCCTCCTCTGTCATGGAGCTCTCAATGTCCACCGTCAAAGCGCTGTATATGTCTGTGTACAAGTTATTCACCATTCCAGTGGGGAACGTCACATTCATTAGCCGTCCCTCACTGTCATAGCTGCGTGACAGAAAGAACATCAAATGACAAAGCATTGATATGTATGAGGGATCTCAGCGCCACTGTGTATTCAATTATCAGCTCTTTTATACTTGTTGTGTAAGACCCGTCAACTTTATTGTAATTAAAATGTCACATTTTCTTTCTTGAGAGCAGAAGCGAATGGGTGTCTGTATCAACCCGACGCACAATCCAAATATTTGAAAATGGGAGACTGACATCTCCTCAGCTATCAGTTTTATATAAAAACCACAGGCTTGTAATGAATTCAATTATTTGGATGATTGATGTGTCATTATAATCTCAACTGAATGCTTTGTTGTTGTTTTTTTTTGTGTTTTTTACTTATAGTGAGGATATCATTCATGGTATAATGTGACATGACAGTGAATTACACAAAGGAGAAAAATTCAATCACTGACATGCCATACTACCAAAATAAAGCGTCACTATGATACAGAGTCCAGGTGGCTTATTATAACGAAATCAAATCACTAGTTGGTCGTTTTGTTCAACTTCACTTTTTTTCAAATGTATGCATGTCAACACAACATGCTATTGACCACAATACACATAGCTTAGTCAAGTAAAAAATAATAAGAAAAAGTAGCATACTTTATGGATATTGAGTTATTTAATTATAACTAGGCTTTTTAGAGATCTGAGACAAATGTTATAATTAGGTTTCATTTAAATGTGCACCCTAAAGCAGTTTGCAGGTAAGTGCAGTTACCAATTATAGAGTAAACTTGCACTTAGCTGTGAGACTAGACAGAACACACACAGGGTTATGTCCATGCAAGTACACACACATAGCAAACCATTTAGTCTTTGTACCTCAATGCTTGAGGTTTTAGTTTACAAATAAAAACCAATATAAATATTAGTGTCAAATCCAGTTTTTTTTAGCAGGTAACAAGCTCAAACAAAAGTTTAATAAATTCTTCAACTGCAAGGCTGTTAATACTGCCTCCTCGTCTGTGAGAAGCAGGTAATACTTTTTTTAAATTCCCAAACATAACATTATTTGCAAAGTGAATTTGTTTCCATAATTTGTATTAGTATGCAGAGTATAAAGTCTGTTTCATTTGTAGCATATACAGTTTCCAGATGTAGGAGGCCTAAATTAAATTGCAACCTAAATCAAACAGACTTTGGCAAGTGATAAAGATTCCGCAGAATGATCTTGCTAGTCTCCATTATACTTACTCATAGAAAGTTGTCCAGCCAATCTCTGATGTCTTCGTGGCCAGCAGGCCATTGTTACCATGGTAGGTAAGAAGCACCAGCTCCTGGCCCTGCGCTGTAAGAGTTTTCAATCTGCCATTGGTGCCCATAGTCAGCCAAATCACCTGGTTGTCAGGGGCGACGACACGCACCGGCATGCGGTTAGGATCTCTGCGTATCCTCAAGGTGTTGCCGCTGCTATCGGTAACAGCCGTGATGTCATTCTCTGTGCTGTAGCTGAAAGTATATTTTAAGTCTCCGGTGAGGAGGCTTGCAGTGTGTTGGTGGGTGCCGTTGCTGTCAAACACATACAGCTCCTGGGCATCAGGGGAAGCCACCTCATACGTACTGGCACTGGAAGTCAAAGTTGGCCCGTTTCTATAGATGGCCCGGATGCGGATGTTGCCCAGGTCTGCCACGTAGAGTGTTCCATCTGGAGCTGCCACTAAAGAAGATGGAGCATTGAGCCTTGCATCTTTGGCATAGCCATCCCCTGTCTGGTAACAGTCACAGTTGGCATCATTCTTGCAATCGCAGTCAGAGGGAGCTCCCGCCAAATGCGTTATCTCTCCATCCACAGAAACCTTCCGGATCCTGCTCATCTTTCGCTCATCTGTCTCCGCTATGTAAATGGCACCGTGGAAAGATACGGAGATGGAAACAGCAGATTCTAGAGGGGTTAACTGCGCCCTCTGACCACCTGCCACTCCGCGCTCCAGTCCAGCCAGTGGGCAGTGGATAGGCCGGCCAGCTGCGATGCTCACTTGACCGTTCTCTGTGATGCGTAGCACTATATTGTTGTCCAGGACATATAGTGAGTTGTCCATGGGGCTAATTGCTAGGTCTGTGGGCCACTCCAAAATCACCTGAAACACAGGGAAAATAACAGATTACTCTCACAAGACAATATTACAACATTATTACATAAATTGAAATAAAATGTAATTGCTGCTTACTCAAAGTAATCCTTACCTATTATTGATTTCATTAAATTCTTATTCTTTTTCAGATTAATAAAGTGCAGTAAGGAAAAAAGTACATCTCAAACTTGTATGGTTGCAAGATCAACAAAAATGTAGCAATGTTGTAGCACAACATATTGAATACAAAAAGGCATGAATACATCTCCATTATAATTGCGCACAGGCAACGTCCTGCTCTTTCAAGCTACCCTCAGTTCCTCCAGCCTCAGCCTTTCCTCATAGAAGATTACTTTTATCTTTCTCAACGGGTGAAACCTAATCTATCTGGTTGATGATTAAGACACTGGCTGGTGCAGGAATCAAACATGACATTTTAGTAGCAGTGTAGTCTCTCTTTCCATTATGCTAGTTTATCAAACTTAGGATGTATAATTTCAACGGCCCGGAAGGAAAACTAAATAATGCGATGATAGAACCTTTGGGTTATAAGATAATGTCTTATCCTCACATTGTTTTGCCGTTGCTGATACGTGAATTTAAAGCAAAATTTATTTAAAAGGATATTTCTGACTGTTGAGATTGTTTCCCATCATGCCCTCTCTCCCTCCTAAACATTGAACTTTTAACATGCTGCGACAGAGATTTCAAACTAAATGTAGTATCAAGGCTTTTTTTTCCCCAGTGTGACTATAGTATAGCTACAAAATAACCTTGAGCGTGCACTTCACGCCTTCCCGCTCCATTTGTGCTGTACTAACTGATGCTGCAACCTGAGAGAGAAGCTCCCTATGGGGAGGGGGGAGGAGGGTCGATTAAGTACATCAAATTAAATCAAAATTAAGTAAAAGATATTTCACAGGTCAAAAATTGATAGCAACATTAAACACATCTTGGGAAAAAAATAAGTTAAGCTTTGCCAACTATTATAGTCTATTTGTCAGAAATGTGTCAGTGCATAAAAAAGCTTATTTTCAAACAGCACAAAATGGCCCTCAAATACACAACTGTATGATTAAAACTGTAAAAAATGCTCCTGAATCGTACTTTTCCACAGGGTGATTAATAATAAAACACTCAGCCTTTAAGGCTGCCACTAGTTAAACTGCACTGAGCCATTTCTGTAGCTTGGATGCCTGAGGATCACACAGTCTCGCCAAAACCATGTCTTTATTGGCTCAAACCAAATGACTTGGTTAATTAGCAAAAAGTGACAAGCTTAATCCTTTGTCTTCATGTTCTCTCATGTTCTCCTCCCTTCATGTTCACCACCCACATGCGCGTACTAACACAAACACAGATTGCTTTCTCGTCTGTTTACATTTAAAATGTTCTCATGTTGCCAAAAACACCCTTTAATTTTCTCCCTGGCTCTTTTTTCTTTTAATGCATTTCCATTGTTATCTAATCTCTCTCAAAAGGACACAAGAATTTTTGATATCTGCTGTCAGGGTCACTGGTTTTGACTGTTGCAGTCCTTCCTATCTACTAAGTGCTTTGTTTGTACTATTTCTTTTTGTAAGCTGATCTGCATTAGAACATTAGAAATCTAATTAAAATGTAAATTGGTTGGTTAAAAAACAAACCAAAAGAACAAAAAAACTAAATACTCTTATGTCAGGTGCACACGTGTAAGAGGTGGGAGAACCAATCCCATTCTCGAGGGTCAATACACTTAAAAATTCACCTTTTTACTTTCACTGGGAAACGGGACCCAGACAAAAGCTTGCGAAAGGTTCCATTATCACATGATAAAAACCTTTTTTGGATTTTATTTTTCTTCATTATTCATCTTCAGTCAGATCTGAAAACTCTGAGGGAAAGAAGTGAGGAGAGATATTCATGCTTAAGCACAGGAAGCTGCACTTCTACTTTGGAAGAAATGTCACCTGTATTGCAATAATATAACCTATAGCGTAAGGGCAGGGCGCCGTTTTTATGTCACCTCATTTACAGGTAGAGGGTAAATTTTGTTGGACAAAGGCGGCTGTCGTCAGGTGCTGCAGAAGAAAATGTTTTATGTGCGGCAAACTGGCTACCGAGTGCTGCTTTATTATCATGTCTGGTCTAAGTGTCCTCAATACTGAGAATTTTCAGTGGAACGCTAAACACTAATTCAGCTTCAGCCACATCAAAACAAGCCCCCCAAAATGAGTAATTATTCTTCCCTCCATATCCTCTACCGTGACCTGAAAACTCATCTTTTCAATAAACACTTCATGTCTCCACTTCCTGCCTAAATCAGCCTCCTCCTAGCACATATTTTCCACCAGTACTTTCAGAGAAAATGCTCTACTGTTGCTGAGAGTTGAGAGCAAAAAAAAAAAAAAAAGAGAAAGCATTTTCTTTGTTACTGTTGTTTCTTCACCAAGCAGTTTATACCAATTTTATTGCTGTTCTAGGAATTGGAGCTTATTCCACTAATGTCACTGTAAGTTTCTCTGGATAAGATCTGTCAGTTAAATGCCAATATTTTATTTAACACTTATTTAACCAGGGAATCTTAGAGATAAAAATGTCCTTGTCTGGACAGAAAGCAATAACAATGTTACAGACTTAAAAACATAAAGCAGATAACACAATATCTCTCACAAGATCAGAATTAAACTAAAATGGGATTATAAAACCAGGAATGAAAATGCCATTAAGATCACATCCTTGAGACAAACTAAGGAGGTACTTAAAAAAAACCTGAGGGCAATCTAAAACAGTCAATATAAATAAGTAAGAATGATCTAATGCTATCAAACAAGGAATGAATTATACTAAAACATCCCTGCTCTAATATTCTCCCAAATAGGAGCCAGAAGAGAGAGCACACAATTTCTGCTGCAATGATTTAGATTCCCAGAAAGAGACCAGTTTTTGCAATTTTAAATTTAATTGCAGAGGTTTCTAAGCAGCGGGAGCAGCATGCTAAAAAGCTCTTTTACCAAGTTCAGTGAAGGAAGGTAAATTCTAAAAAAAGTGCATCCGCATGTCTCACTCAGAAACCAGTTTCCCCCGAAAAGATTATCATTTATGAAAAAAGAGATATACTCTATATGTAATATATATTCAGTTATGTAACACTGAATATCAGAGATGAGTCATGGGTGAGCAAACTGAAAGAGGGTCAGAGGGGCGGGGCCACAAGGTGGCGCTGTGACATTCTCTGTGTGGGCATACAGGCAATGTGTGTATAAGTCACCTGATTGATGTCCATGCTGTTGTCACAGGTCAGAGGGCGGGCCGATGTCAGGTCATTGGAACCAAGGAAAGTGGAGATGATGCCGTTCTGATCCACCTTTCGGATCGTGGTGCCATCAACAAAATAAATCAGCCCATTCTTGTCCACGGCGATGCCTGTTGACATCACGTAAAGGGGGGAAAAAGAAGAAAAGAAGAGACAGGAAAAAAAAAAGCTGTGATAACAGGGCAGCATGGTAGATATGCGGCATCTCTGCTTGCATGACTCAGTGGACGGAACACGATGGATACATGTGTCAAGCTTGCCTTCCCATTATTCAGGTCACTGCAAAAAGCACACCCATCAATAATTCACGGGCTGCTTTTCTGGTATTAAATAATTTCTCAGGCAGAAGTGGGAAAGGCTGTATTCATACCGTATATATATGCACTTGCCATGTCTTGTAAACCTCCTCTCTAAAAACGGACCTTGTGAGGTGGGGGTGTCAATGAGTGGTGCGTTTGGGACATTTTTTGACAGCGGCAATCATCAACAATCTGCACACCATTTGAGAAATGAATGAGCGAGGGAGCGGAAATGACAGCTTCGGCCAATTTTAGATGAAAGGGGTGAAAGACAGACAGTTGCCATGGTGACAACTGTGGACTAAATTGTCTCAATGATTGAGTGTCAGCTCAGAGTTGTAAGGTGCAGCAAATCCAGTATGGAGTTACATGCAGTGAGGCTATTTTTCATTCTCCACATTGGTTTTAACACGCTGTGGCTTTGGCTGTAATTCTAAAGACTGAGAGACGCTGGTCTCAGAAACATGTATAGTGGAAGACTGTGCTTTAGTTTGTGGAGGATTTAAAATGTTCTGAATCAGCATTAAGTTCAGTTTTACCTCCAGAGTATGGTTTCTTTTTCAATGAAGTCTTTAAAAGCCTCTATGGAAGGTGAGTGGTTTGGTTTGACCTGTGGCTAGGTCTGCACAAGATTGCTTTCTGCTAAAACATTGACGAGCCGAGGGAGCCCACGGTGAATCCTTGGGAGCTGGCTATTTGACAGTCTGAGATTCTCAGACAGATGAAAAGTGTCACATTTGAGCAGAGTTCACCAAATGTCTGAGAGCAGGAAAAAAAAAAGAAAAAAAAAAAAAAAAAAAAAAAAAAAAAAAAAGGAGCCATCTGCTGTTTCTTCCCTGGTCTCGGCTTCCACCCACTCAATCATTAAGAGTCGCTCCCTCAGATTGCCTTCACTCAAGCCTCTATCACCCAGCTGAAGCTGAGCTGTTGCAGTTGGCATTTAGAGCGGGCAACAACTAGCGCAAAACAATTCATCTTAGCCTTTTCATCCAGAAGATTTTGTGGAAGAGTGAGCAATCCAAGCACAAATGGTCATGTGCCATTTGAATGTGGAGGAACAGGTTGTGCATAGAGGCTATCGACACATGGATGGCTGTCACTTTAGACTTCACTTTCCCAATAGTTGTTTGAGGAAAAAAAGCTTGAGGAGTAAATAAAATTTTAAATCTTAAATGATATTTACAGGAATATCCAATCATGTCAAATGAATCATGCATTATATTTCTGGAGGTTAAAACAATAACCTTTTGTTAGGCAGCAGCAGCATGTTTTTTCTTAGCTGACAGTCCTACCTACTTTTTCTTACTTACTTACAAAATATGAACCCCAACAAAAATTTGTACATTTATATCAGTCATCAATCATTACATTAAAATCAATCAAATCATTCAAAGGCACAGAGCCCAATGCACACATGAATTTAAATCTAACAGTGGCTGATCCCGGGTGACAAAACCATCACTGTGTTCCGCCGCTCCATTTGACTTCAACCCTATCAGTTTCATACGATACCTTTGGGTCCAGTGAGAGACGCCTCTGGAGCTTTGCCTCCGTCCCCACAGTGGTTCTCATCAAAGGGCAGACAGTGTTCACCAGTTCCTGCCACCACCTCTGTGTTCGACTGCAGATCCTTGGTCCCGGTTAAGATTTTCGGTCGGTAGATTCTCCGGGAGTTTGTGTCTGACACATACAGCTGGCCAGTTACTGGGTGAGTTGTCAGGTAATACCGGTGTGCAGGGTTGTTGCTGTATTCAAGACAATAACTCAGTTATATATTGTCATTATAGACACAGAGGATTTTTCTTTACATGCCATTACAGTACAGCCAGACAGTCCAAAACTCTCAAAAAACACCAAACACAAAATGTGTAAAACCTGAATGACTCCTGATGAAATTTTTCTTCCCTCTGAATAAAACCTTTAGGATTATTATCAAGAGTAGATTCCATTATATCTCTCCCTTCAGCTAACATTGTGTTCAGTATGCATTTAAGTAATTTTTTAGAAAATACTCTCAGATTCACAATATTCAAGGGAATGTACACAGCAGTATTTGTTTACAGATCAATATCAATCTTGCATAATTTTTTTTAAAGTGTTATGTAATTAAAGAACCTTCTCTAGAGTCACGTCTTTGTATTTTAATCGCATCTTAAGAGTCGAGAGTAAATTAATGCCAATGTTCAATCAGGGTATTTTCATCGTATTAAGCTGTCATTTAGAATGTCATTTACTGTAGCGTTTTTTTTTTCCAGTCCAATTGCAGCTTAAAATAACCTTATGATGAACCGAGGAAGGAAATAATGTCTATTTTTAATGTTAAAAACTGAAGAAAATTTCCACAGCAGGAGAAAAAGGGCAGAGCCTTTGAGAGAAAGAACAAGTAGAAGACAGAGAAGGTTGAAAGGATGGAAGTCAAACTGAATTTAACAGGATACCACTGCAAAGCAGAAATGACAACTTGTGTGCCAGGTCATTTCAGTTATCATCGCTCCCCTGTGGGGAGAAGCCTTTGGAAATTACAGAAGTGACTGGCTTATGTTAACAAAGTGCAACAACTAATGACATTGCATCTGGTTCTGCTTTTTACAGTCTCATAATGAATCCTAATTAACCTATTTTGAAATATTTCATTTTACAACACACGATTGACTGATCCTTCAATTTGAAGAAAGCCAATTAAATGATTTTCTCTTTTAAACAAATTCTAAACACTGAGAAGCTATTGAATTAACCTTTTCTATTAGGGCAAAGTTAATACATAGCAGTTGCTCAAGTGTCATTAAAGAGCTCAAAACAGCGGCAGTTAACATGAGAAATAGCTTGCTTTACAGAGCAGTCGTAAACATGGCTTCTCTGGTTATACTCCAGCTTAATGGTACCTGAGTCAATACTGGTTGGCTTTGGAAGTGGGATAATGTGATGGCAAAATAAATGTGGCAATGAAACATCTTTGTAAAATGATGAAGATGGAGTCGTAAAACTTGACAGCTTTTATGAGTCAAAGTAAATGCCCAAAATAGGTGGCTGCTATCAAGTTCCTCGAAAGAATTCAGCCAGCCGTACACGAGTAACCCTTTCTTTTACAGTCAACCTGCAGGGGGTGGACACAATAAATGAAACACCTGTATGACATTATGCAGTCTTATAAAACAATCCTGCAATAAATAATACCTTGGTGAAGCTTCTGATGTTAAGTACGGTGCATACTATGTTTTATGGCTAGTTTTAAGGCTTTACTATGTGGTCTTGTATCTAATATTTTGTTAACCTTTTCGGTACAAAAGAGCACCCCAGACTATGGCCACAAAAATTACCTTATTGGCAGCTCTTTGGCAGTCTCTACAAAAACTTGACAACTGCCATTTGACCAGCTGATCAGGTGGTGACTGGCTTGTGGTCCAGATGCTAGTCATCCCCTGATTAGACTACCACAGTGTCCTAATTGCTGGCATTTGCAGGCAATCAGAAGCCTCCAACTGATCCAGAATCCAGCAGCCTTCACATCAACGTGCTCAGGCTTTCACATGTCACTCTGTGTCTAACGCTCCCTTCACTGGCTTCCCGTGGTAGCTCGTAAAAAGTTTGAGACCTTGTTGCTACCCTGTACAATCATTAGTGGACAATCAGCACACAGTCAAACACGGTAGCAAGGTCTCTCCAGCTAAAATTATGCTTCCATGAAGATACACTTCAACATCTCTGTCAAACTAAGAGTCGTGGGTAAAACCTATATATGTCACACAAGTTGAGTACAAAGGAAACAGCCATCTGAAGGTCGCTGAACAACTTCTGTGTTTGTTCATCTGTAGCCAAGAGAAGCATCTTTTAGCTTTTAGTTTTTTTAGTTTTTTTTTTTCAAGCATGCATCAAGAGTATGCTATCTTTTAGTCCCAAATTAGTATGGTAATGTTCATGCCTCTAGTTTTTTTCCTTTGGTCTGGGAACCAAACAGGGCAAACAAGGGCAAACAAACAAACAAAAAAAGATCTGTTGTTGTTGGGATTCACACAAACAAACCAAGAGTAAATATAAGCCAATGGACTGACAGTGACCTGCACTGTTGTGGTCGGCTATGCTACATCAGCAGACATGCAAAGACCTTAGGGAGACAATCTAAACAAAGTTTATTCTGGTGACTGACGACAAATCGTCGCCATCCAGTGCACTTCATTGCACTTCATTGCATTGGATGGCTTTATTTATGGCTTTATTTATTTTCTGAAGCTTTCAAGCATTAGAATAAAATTCTCAGACACAGACACCGATCAAAACGATACTGCCCTTGCAGATGGAGAGAGGAGCCAATGAATTCTGCAGTGAAAAAAAAAAGAAAAAAAAAAAAAAGAAGGGGGGGGGCTTTCAGCAGACACATCAGGCTAAATGGTGTTGATTTTAAATTCATACAACAGGAGCATCTACATCACATCATCTTTTTGTCACACCAGAGGCATTACCTTGATAGCCAACTTAATAAAGTTGTTCCAGTTTACTGTCTGCAGCACCTCTGGCACTTATGGTCAAGTTAATCACTGAGACAACCTAATTGCCACCAATCTGCATAGTCACTTGATCTGATGCTGTCGTCTTAATTATGAATACAAAGCAGTTGTGTAAGCCCCTGCGGGTAAGAGCATCTGCCAAACACCATCACTGGAAATGTAATTATAAGCTTCACAATGGTACTGTTAATTGCAGCACTGTTGTCCTGGACTGCATTATAATGTATACATACAGTATAGGCGGATTAGATATATTTACATTAACATCCTTTTTTAATATTAATTACTTAATGTCTTAAAACTGTTCCAGTGTATCTTGTAGTCATGTTGTCAATAATCACTTTGCACAGTCGTAATTCTTAAAAGACCGTGCACTCTTCTTCTTGTTTGGATGTAATCAGGCTATAATTGGTTTGCTGTAATTACACATAGTAATCACTGGTGCTAAAGGTGAATGTAAAAGGGAGTGTTACTCGTATATTTATATAAAAAAAAAAGAAGATGATAAAGATGATGATGTAAGGAGAGCGACAAGAAAACATGCACTAAGATAAGACACCTACCTGTGTCTAAAGTCTTTATTTCTATGACAGGGTACAAAGTGAGCAGGAAGAGAGGAAGAACAATCAAGAGAAAGAAATTGGTAAATCTTAAACTTTTACCTCTCGTTTTCAAGGTTGTTATTTGCCTGCCTGACAGCTTGCTTGTCATAATAAAAGCTTGACTCTTTTTGACGTCTTTATTCCTTATTGAAACCATGAGGAATAAGCAAAGATTTTTCTAACAAGGGCTCAAAGTTTAGTTAAAAACAGAGTCTGGTAAGGAAAAACAAACAGCTGAAACTCAGAAAGTCAAAATATCCCCTTGAAGAACAAACACAGCCACTGGAGAAAGTCGCACGCAACGACAATGTGTTTGGCAGAAAGTGGCGAGGTGGGACTGTGGCCGAGAGTTACAAACCACAGAGAGGAAAATGTATGCTCCTGTCTCCATAAAACCTCATCCTACATTGCCACTGCTTTTTCTCAATTTGACCACTCATATTGAAGTATTGATTTTGCCACTTGTTATGTTGGCCACTGAAGCCGGACTCTAAATGCAGATTTTCCGCAAAGAGCAGTTGAAAGAGGTTCAGAGAATCCCCATATGGAGTATTTGGGCTCTTGTACAGGAAGCGTGGATCATACATACTAAACACTGAAACTGCTTTGGTCTTTAAATGTTTGAAAGAGGCTAACATCAAATGAAACGTGCACTTTTTCAACTGTATTGATATAAATCTGTATTGAAAGTACCATCAAAATGCATTAAAATTGTCCTTGGTGTGTCTTTTATGTGAGACTAAATTTTATTCTGCAAACACAACATGTCTTCATTGTAATGCTTTGTTTCTCTCCTTGTAAACAGAGTAAACTAGTTGCTTGGAGACACAAACCATTTCCTAAACCATTATTTATCTTGGAAAGAGTTGCTGAGCGTGCATGCTCCTCTGCAGCAGCACCCTGCCTCCCATTCATGCTGTGGTAACCTTTCCCACATGAGGACTGCCTTGTCACTTGCCCCGGCTGATCACCGTGCAGGTATGAATGTTTTTAATCACTTCAGTTTTTCAGTGGACATCCACCCTCATAATCTTAACTCTTAACTTCCACACCGCTTGACGTGCAGCTACCCGCCAACAGTGCTGTGACCTATGTCCTTTCAAGGCAGTCTTCATATGTTTGTCATCTATGTGTCTCGTGTAGGATGATAGCCCAATGTACATTTAATCAACACCTGCTACTTTGAAATAAGCCAACTGGCCGAATCAGTGTCACTGCTGAGAGAAGCCAACTTGGCATGAGGCTGTAAATCATCCCAATTACACGCTGAAGACAGGATGTCTTTCCTAATTATGGAGATGGATAGGGAAAAGATTTCAAATTTCTATGGGTAGGGGAAAGATGTGTGTGAGTTGAAGTCGGTCCACCATGCCATTTTAGTTTCCCTCTCCACATTGAGGACTAAATGTAAGAAATGTGTTCAGATTTTTTTTTAAATTAGGGTCTATTTTTGTTAACTACAGTATGTTCCATGTCGTCTTTGCATCATTTGAATGTTGAAATACAAGCGATAATTAAAAAAAAAAACAAACACTGGAAGATGCAAGGTTCAAGGTTAATTAATACTTAAGCATTTACAACAGTTGATTGTGGGACACAGGTAAAGAATCAATAGGTAACACATTTATATGCACCTAAAAAATCCCTACAACAAGGACTTGGTCTTACCTGAGCTCCATGATACTTGTGACATTGCCAGATGGGTAGATGCGGCGGATGTAGTTGAAATCTCCAACATACAGACTTCCATCGATGCCCCATGCCAGAGCCACCGGCGCCAACAGCTTGTTGCCTTGGGCCTGTCCATTACAGCTGGGGCATGATATGCTTCTGCGCCGCCCGTTCCCCATGACAGTGGAGATCACAGGGGGCTGGAGAGAGATGAACTGGTTCTCCCCACTGCCTTTGTAAAGAATGCCTGGTAGACAAAACAGCAGTTACTTGCAAGTTTAAAAGCATGTGTTTTTGTTACTGGTCGCAGATAAATGGCTCATTATTTATCCTTTATTTAACCAGAGATTCTCTTCTTTTCTACGACAGCCGCAGCTAAAATGGAAACATACAATAATCTACACTCAACAATATTTTACTTTACAATATTATGTGTGTGTGTGTGTGTGTGTGTGTGTGTGTGTGTGTGTGTGTATGTATATACACAGGAGGACACATTAAGAGTCAGATGATAAAATCTATCCCTCTCTGTGTGTTAACAATGGAGTTGTAGCCAGGAGGCAGTTAGCTTAGTTTAGCATAAAGACTTTAAGTAAAGGGAAACAGCTAGCCTGACTCTGTTCAAGTTTAAACCAAAGACACGCCTACCTAATTAGCATGTTAGCATGTCTCGCTTGATTAAACCATACACAAACAAATATAAAAATGACAAGATTTAGACAGTTATTAAGTTATGTTTTTTCTTCTCCTTCCTGTGTTGCTAGGCTAGGCTAACACACTGACATCATCCCTCTGATCTAACTCAAAAAAACACTTCGACATATTTTCCAAAATGTCAAAATATTATTACTATCAGGAAGGACAAAAAAAACCAAACAAAAAAAAAAGGAAACAATACCATCACCTACTTAAATTAATTACACATATGAAACCTACGAATTTATGAGGGGAATGTTACAAAAAGCACCTTAATTTCCAGCTGTGACACATACTGTGGCAGATTATAAGTAATTATCAGTAATAACTACTGAGTACTCATTGGTCAGAATGTAAACATGTTGACAGGCAGCTGGTGTGATACCATTGCAAGATGGTCTCGAGTTTAGCTTATAAATGGTTACTACTTTCTATAAGATGGCCAAAGTAAAACATAGTTGGCTTATTTAGCTTAATATGCAGGGATATATTAAGACATTTATTTCAAATAGTTCTCAATCTCCAAAGTGTGAAGTAGCTGACTCCAGTTATTGAAGTCTTAATGCAAATTCTTGGAAGCATTAGTAAAACTAGGGTTACTTACTACATTCCTTTGGCCTTAACTAGGAAGTATTTTGTCATAACAAAAAAATATAAATGTGTGGTTTGTTTAATATATAATTTAAGGGTGTTTAATTAGGCTCTCATAATAACTTTTAGACTACAGTCATCCAAAGTATTAGATCAAGTAACAGAGATCAGATTGAAATAGTGCAGTGAGCAGTTGGAAGTACACAGGTATCCGGTTGACTATCAATTTAAGTGACATACCCTAATAATTCTGTCCCATGCATTATTCTAGAACTGCTCCACCCTCCACAAAGCTAAAGTATATTTGATGTAAAATTATGTTCTTTTTACTTGACAGGGAGCCTGTCTTCTCCAGGTCACAGAGAGGTGGTGAACATAAATACAGTACACTGTACCTCCCCTTATAACTGCGCGTATGTTTCACTGAGAACTTGCTGGCTTTTTTTTTTTTTTTAGGGGGGTTATATAGTGGGACTCTCTTCAAAGGGGAAAAGCACATCAAAGGGAAGAAGTGCATGCTAGAAGCACTTAATTATTCACATCCAGCAACTTGTTTGAGTTCACACTGCCTCTGTCCTAATTAGTGGATCTATGACTCCACTGAATGGCCACATAATGTTGTTATCCCGTAAGCCTTCATAACCCTCGATGTATGTGAAATCAAGCGTGCGGCCATGCTGCTTGTCCTCTCTCTGATTAGTTCCTCTCATTGATTTAATTGATTGAAGGGCAAATTCAAATGAAGCCACGGTCTGGCGAGACTCTCGACAGGACGATCTGACCAATCCGTCTTTTGTATCCGAGAGCGCTATACATGAGCTTCTAACAAAGACAAATAGGTCCGGGGGACGGCTTTATGCGTGACGCCATCAAATGCGCGACCTTGGGACTTTAATTGATCTGTGATCCATGTGTCTGCTAAATGAATGAAACACACAGTGCGATGAAAACTCTCAGTTGAGCTGGAAGGTTTACACTGCACCCAGAAACATAGCTACAAATAACAAATAAGCTTGGTACTCTGACCAGAATCTTAATGTCTGTTTGTGTAATAGCTCCTTAACATTCTCGGGAAAGACAAAGACGTTTCTCATATCCAGGAGCCTAATGCAGTGTGTAGGACATGGATCAGTTACAGCAGCACAGCCGTCTAGCAGTTTGGCTGGTGTTCAGCTTTAAAACAAAAAAAAAAAAACAAAAAAAAAAACAAAACATTAATGCTGAGGTCATTTTGGCAAGCTGCCGTGGTCCTCTCTATTTACACTTCCATCACAGTTTACTGTACACACAAGTCTTACCATAGGCTATTAGACAGCATAATGGAATGGATTAAATAGACTAATCAATCATCAACTCCCCCCCACGATCAGTCCACACTTAGTAGAGACACTCTACTCTTTCACTTTGATTCTCTCAGACATGCACAACTTGGGCTGCTCTTCTGTGGAGCAGACTGTGGAGTGAGTGAGCAGATTAAGGTTCAGTTCAGTTTTCTTCCCTCAAGGACACTTGGTCATGACACATTACTGCTGATGATTGTTGCGAGGATCAAGCTAGTGACGTCTCAGCTGGAGAGCTGCTCTGATGGGAATTTGGTTTCTGACTATCCGGCGCTCCAGGCCGAAAAGAAGAGGACTTCCAACAGTGACCAGACTAAAATGGCTTCAGAGTCTTTAAAGATATGTATGTATATATATATATATATATATATATATATTTTTTTTTTTTTATAAATTTACTTCCCTCTGCTCTGAGTTTCCATAAAACTGTAAACACAACTTTCTCTGAGACGAGACGCAGTTACTGTTGTTATGTGAGATAAGCAGAAATACAATTTATACAAAGTTGTGTTTTTCTGCAAAAGACTCAAACAAACTAATGCTCACTAACAGATTTTGCAGAGGAGACTTCAAGTCCAAGTATAAGTATGGCAGCTGAATGGACCAACCATTAGGGACGTGTCTGCTCATTGATTAGTAAATTAATGTGTGGAGGCGTCTTTGAGTTTTGGATAGAAGTTGGGAAAAAGCAAGAGAAAAAAAAAATAGTGAGAACAGGCTTTTTAGAAACTCTGAGAATCTGTTGTCTCTCTTACTCCAAGATCACTCCGGTACTGCTCCATCCAACAATCACACAGCCTATAATGTAATGTAACTGCATGTCACGCAGCATTTACCACATTATTAAACACTCAGACACAGTTAGGCTCCGACAGTAGTGGAGATTTTTCCAAATAATAACGGGAAGACATTGAAAAACAAATCAAAATATAAAAGTGCATTAAAAAGAAATGAAGTATAATGAATGAAGTGAATGTGACTGTAGAGACGTGGAGGAAACATGAAGGCCATTTTCAATCACAGAAAATGAAGCTGAAGATAGAAAACTAGAAGAGTCGCCGTGACAGAAATATGCTTTCACTCTGCTGTATTCACATTCCTACCTCCTGTATATGGAAGCGATAATTCCTCATTACACTGTCCCAAACTGCAAGGCCTCCTCACTACCTTCTCTGATAATGCATATTCATGCATTGGTGACAATTTGTTCGATTCCTTTCTCAGAGTCATGACAGAAGGTAATCATTTCTTTGATAAAAGGCAAAGTTTAGTCATGTAGTGGGAAAAAAAATGTTTTAATGCCGACATCACGGCTTTCGAGATGATTAATGGTACAAATGCAAGGCCGAACCTCAATACCTGATAAAAAACTGAGAGCGCCCTGAGCAATGTCACCTTGGTGACACATAGAGAGTACAGAGATTGGTAGGGGAGGAGCAGGAGAGTCTTAATTGCACCCTGTCCTTCTTTGTTCTCCCTTGCACTGTGTCATTCTCTACAATACCACCGGGCTTGCACTCATTCGCCATGGTCGAGGCTAAAAGTGGGCAGGAAACATCTTACTGCTTCAAAGTGTGTGAGCTGTACAGTAAGTACACTCTGAGACAGTGCGTTTCTGAACTCTGCCTGTGTCCAATAAAGAATCAGTTCTCTTACACTAGATAGACACAAGCTGCAGATTGGGGGGGGGGGGGGGGGGTTACAGGCAGGAGGACATGACTAAAGCACAGACACCAGCAATTTGCCTTATCTAGTTTGACAGGCTCTGGAGTGGAGGCAGAGAGAGGGAGACGGCTTTTGCTCAGGTCTTTTGCCATAAACGATGAGAGAAAAGGTCCTCAGATGTTTGCAGTGGTGCGAAAATGAAGCAGGAGTCACAACAAAGAGCGATAGCAAATGTCTGGAGCTAAACCGCTGTGCAGCTGCGGAGGACCACCGCTCGCTAACGTGTTGGGTGAGGACATTAGTCAAGGTTTACAGCATTAAAGAATCAATACTGGAGCAGCAATGAAGGCAAACAGTGATATTTGGATTCATCTTCATGCCGACCGAGGATATCGAACTGCATTCCCTGCCCAAAAACCCACGTGAGCCATAAATCTCAAATGTCCAAAAGTGGCTGAATGCAAGACTGAATAATTCAGTTCAGATTGAGAAAATGCATGCGGATAAAACTAGGTGCCTACGCACAACCTCAGTAATAAAAATGAATATGTGTGAGGGCAAAGGCAGATAGGATTACAGATAGGGTTATGATACTTTGATGTGAACACTGTATAAACTAGCATCCCAAAGTCGCTAACAAAACCATTTCACAGTCTCACAGAGCTCACTGTCTTTGGGTCGAGCTAATAGGATTGGAGCATGAAACCCTTTCGGGAAATTGATTAAGCTCCTGTCAGACGGGGGTAAATGAGACAGAACAACACAAGTTTGCTAAACTATTTATGAATCTTTTAAATTTAGTCAGACTTTGCCATTTATTTTTGGGGCGGTGTTGTAACAGGACAAGTGAAAAGTGTGAAAAAGCCTTGGGGAGGCTGCAGCACTTACTGCATAAGAAAAACTCGACACCATCTGGTTGTTGTTTTATTTCTGTCATCAGTGCTTCCATGTACACTTACAATCCTGCACATGATGATTTTTCATGCACAGTAAAATCCAATTTTCTGATAAATCCAGACACAGCACAGCTCAATCTAATAAAGGATGCAGCATACATTAGCATATCACACATGCTGCACCTATCTGTTGATCACAAATGCATCTCACAACAACTGCAACTCCAACTGTGATGCTGCCACAGCGAAGGCTTTGGAGATGGATGTGCTGTACTTTGAGACAGGTGGGATGAAAAGCAACGCGCCGGCAGCAGTCAAGCTAGAGGCATATTTCAGTGTTCTTTTGCGCACTTCACAAACTTCACATTCTGAATGGCTTGACAGATTGGGTTCGGCAATGGGCCCCTATGTCTGTTCTTGTAATGTTCAACAAAGACGCAGGACAAAGTAGCATCAAGGTCTGAACAAAGTAAAGGAAGACTCCCGTTTCAGAAACTGGTTCTCTGACATGTTTTCCACAAACATATCCGACAAAAGACAGTTTGTGCAATCTCGGAGATGTGAGAGGACCTAATATACATGCAGGATGATTTTACTGTGCAAACTCACTGAGTATTATGGAATGGATGTTACTGCCCCTGCCAATTGGTGGGTGTGCATGTAAGATGCTATAAAAGACTACATTCAAGAAGTAGGCAGAGTTCTGGTTGCACAAACCTCCCTCCTTAAAAACAGACTTTCTCTGGTTGCCAAAATATCTAGTAACGGAAATAACCTCTGAGGTTTACGTAAAGCTCGATGGACCAGGCCAAAGAGACACATTGGCAAAAGCCAGATTTATACTGTGTGTCAGGCAGCTGCAGAGGACATGTGAGGAGGCTCCAGAGCTCATGTAAACCTCTGCATATGTGTAACTATTCATCAGGGCTATAGAGATACCACATGGAGACCACAAAAATTGTGATTGGGCAGCTTGTGTTGCTTGTGTTTTGAAGACAGTAGAGACTGAAAGAATTCATTATATATGGCAGTTCAAATTCTGTATCAGCACCATCTATTTTCATGCACAATTAGCCACACAAACACCGTAATGGTGTGCTGTTAAACCAGTGAACCTCATTAACCTCTTCAACCTCACCGGACCTACTGGTGGTGCCTTATAAACTACAATTTAATCACACACTGAGGTGATAAATACGTACCATTTTGTAATGATATGTTGTGTCATTTAGGAACCAAACCTTTGCTGAACCCTGAGCATCGGGCATTTCACTTGAAAGGAAACAAATGAAATTTCATTTTAAAGTGATTTATCCCTCTATTGCACAGAATATAAATGCATCTGTGACATAGTAATTACTGGCAGCGGCTTTTACTGAGAAGCAGCTTCATAGTGATGCACACTCAAGTGTTGATGGCTGCTGGGCCAACGTGCTGCCTGATAAAAGCTCATCTCGAGCTAAATTTGTGCATTTTTGCTGCTTTTTGGGGAATTGACTTTATTTCTGCTCCTACAGAGCTCTGCAAAGGGGAGTGAATCAGAAAAGCACAATACTCCTACCTGTTAGGTGAATGGGGAGACCTCTGAGTGAGTGAGTGTAGGTGTACAATACAACTCTCAAGAGTGGGAGCTAGGAGAAAGGCATACTAGGCCATGCTAGATGTTGCTTTGTAGGGGTGTTAATACAGATATCATTGAGTATCAGGTCATATTGCCTCCCTCTGATGATCACATAAAGGAATATTTCATCTTAAAATAAGTGGTTGAATTTGGTTCATCTATTCTCAACACAACAACCTCTGAAAATCATCTTTGACTTGATTAAAAAGTACTTCAGGACAGTTCAATATACACGTTGACCCACACACTATAAACACACCTCACTGAACCTGTTATGTAACTGACTATAAACAAAAAAACTGCGAAAAGAAGAGAAAGATTGATTGAAAATATCCGTTTCACATCTACAAATTATATCAGCTCTAACATTTGCACTGCTTCACCTTTTCTCTTCCTTAGTGATGAAAATAACAAAGTCGAATCAGAAGAAAAATAAAAAAATCAATCATAGCCAAGCTGAGCTCTTCGGCAGCGATGCTGTCAGTGAAGGAACATCAAAGAAAATCCCCAGACTCTCTGAGACTGAAAGACAAAAAAACCAAACTTACCTTTCTATCTATCTATCTATCTATCTATCTATCTATCTATCTATCTATCTATCTATCTATCTATCTATCTATCTAACTAACTATCTATCTATCTATCTATGCTAGAAAATCTAAAACAACTGAACATCCAGTTACAATCTCCAGTCTGACAGTGAGAGTCTAAGGACTCTGCTGAAGGCCAAGACTGTAACCTTGACTACTTTCAAGATGAAAGGGACACAAATTACATTGGACAACTGGAACAACAATTATGAGCTGGAGTGGGTTTAATGTCAAAACAGCGGCCTGGCAAACTGACAATGCACACTACCCTGAGGCCTAGTTCTTATAATTGCAGTCATATTACTGCCTGCGCAGTTGTAACATAACACTGCGTTTTCCAGATTACAGAGTGTGACCTACTCGTACCATAACCCCGGAAATGACTCAATGCTGTATGTATATCTGATAGTTCCATTATGCATGTTTCACTTCTTTGTGTCTCTGCAGCAGGTCGACAAAGACAAACTCTTGTCCATTTATTGTACTTGGCGATTAAAGTGATTCTGATTGATGTCAGAGCAAGAAATTCATTTAGTTTATAGAATTAATGCAAGAATTAAACATGATGCCTGTTCATCAAAAGCATAAGCCTTCATGAGCCGCCGTGAGGCCGTCTTCTTCCTAAAATAGCTGAGTAGTGTGGAACCGTGGTGAGCCCTGCACCCTGGTGACTTATTCCCTGATTTATTCTATCATTACTGTGAATGATCAGCCCTTCAAAACTCTCCTCTATTATCTCCAGATGGGATGACGAACCATATTTCATTCTGATTCAGATATTTATTGCGGTGATTCAGGGTAAAGACCGCCTGCTTGTAACCCTAAGAGGCCACCTATCTCTACCCCACACGCATACCCACACGCATACTGAATATATGAACATTTCTTACCATTCTGAATGTCCAATATGTGGTGTTTGTCTAACATCCACCCTCCCATGTTGGAGGCATCCAGTTCATAGCCTTGTAACACCGCCGTCCTCTTCTCCCACAGCACCACATCAAGGCAGGACTCATATTCATATCCCACTGACACTGAAAGTAATGACAGCAGATGCCTATGGTGAGCAAGGTTGCAACCTCCTTACCTGACGCTTACGGCAGCAATGAGGCTTGTACATCGTAAGACATTCAGCACACGTTGCAGCTGTTTTCTGTACTTGCTGCTTTCTCATTGACTATGTAATTTTCCCCAGCTGGGATGATTTTAGAAGACCCATGGGGTTTCTGTGTCTCACCTGCGCAGTTTATATTTTATGCACTTTCCTCTCATTTGTCTGTTTTATCTTGTGTAAATGCAAACAAACCACAATGTGAAACAGTGTGTAAAGTGGCAGGAATTATTTAAACAATAAAGGCTCAGATGGAGCACATTACACTCACAAACACATTGGTATGTTCACGGCCATAAGCCATGAGTGAATCCTGTTAATTGTCAGGGTTGTGGGGGTTTTCTCTGAAACATGTAAGCTGGAGTGCTCTAACATTCATCCTTCTTAACGTAATCCCTCAGCCTTTGAAAAAATTTGTGCAAGTTAGTAAAATGCAAGTGCATGTACTTCTGCACAAACAGGAACATGAACAGGAATATGAACCTAAGTACATCCTTAAGATGACACTTAAAATTATTCTTCTAAAAAAATAACAATTGTTCAAGATGTTCTGTTACGTATGATCTGATCAAAAGATTCTGTTAGTATTTGTCATTAGATTTCATTGTGACTATTGACTCCTTGCTGTGGTTTTTCAGACCACTGCCTCATAGGCAATATTCTAATCAGTGCACTGCTACTGAAATATCATACATGCAAAACACAGAAGTCAGCAAAAGAGCACTGGCCTTCAAAAATGCCTCACTGGGGGATTTCACCATTTCACACCACCTTCTATATCTTTATTGCACATGGAAATAAAAGCAGTCCCTGACTAAATAATCCTCAATTTCAAAAAACAAAATCAATCTTCAAAAGTTCAACCAAGGTTCATTGCCTGAAGGTAGCACGAGTATCTATCAGCGAACCTATGCTTACACAACATCTTTAGTCGGCGCTTCACAGCAGGGACTCACCCACAGCCTCTGCCAGGCCGAAGACCTTCTGATTGTAGGCGTCTGTTTTATCCCAGATGAAGGTGTAGGAGAGGTCGGGGAAAGCAGGGAAAGACTTCTGGAACTGACGGCCCATGACGGCCACCATCAGGTGGACCTTCATCAGGCCAAAGGGGAGACGGTCCTGGGTCAGGAGCACCTTGAGGATGGGCTTGTAGCCAGCTGCCCTGGAGCTCAGGTAGACCAGGTTAAGGTCACTGCCTGGTATGGCCACTTGCTCATGAAGGACCTATGAATTTAATTAGCAGTCAGTCTGGTGCCAAATACACAGTGTGAAGTTTAGACCTACTGTAAGTAACAGGAGCAACAGGAGTTTGCTGGTATTTAATGCAGAGGATGACTAATCACAGTAAATTATGTGATGTAATATATAACATGATATATTGCACTTCTGACATTGGGGTTCAGGTCAGAACAAACCCTTATTGTCATGTAAGAGATTTTTGTTGCGCCGATTACAGACATATAGGCTATTATATCTCAGACAGTCCAGGCAAACATCACCAGTTTCTGTTGAGTAGCCAAAACATTTAAAATAAGTTCTTATGCCAAACCACAGACTACATTAGTCTATATGCAAATTGAGCCAACTCCACCGGCAATAAATTAATTCTTCATTATTTGAGTCTGTGAGAGAAATAAATACTTTTACTTGAACACCACGACTCTAATAATCGACAAGTTTCACTCTCTTTTTATTGCAGAGTCCCAATTTTTGACTAGGCTGCATCTCAGACTGCCGTGATACTCATGCTGAAGCATGTCCAGACGATTTGGATTTTTTCCCTAAAATATAACACAGATATATTTTTTTCTAACCACTTTAAACAGTAAAAGCTGCAGAGTCACATTTTGCATTTAGGGATTTTCAACCCTGATTTGAGCCAAATGGATACAAACCAAAATCCTGAGGCATGTAACCTCCATGCGATGTGCCCTCAGAATTTATCAGTGTCGCTATGAGACAATTTATGGCTTAGTATTTGGGGAGACACCTGAATTCAATCAAAGCTCAAAGGCAAACTGAAAGACAAATCTGACTCTATTTAAAATAAGCGAGAGAAGCCATGGTGAAAGGAAGATAACAGCATTATCGTTACTCCGTATTTGTGTCGAGTTGAACACTGCAGCTTGTAATGTTGGGATCAAACATGGGTTAAATTATTAAAGCCATTCACAACAATCAGATACGAGCAGGAATTTGGAATTGACCATAAAAGCCATGTAATGTGATGCCCCCGTGTTCGCTCTGTGACGGCGTTCTCACCTGGGTCTCTGGGATGATGGGACTGTCCTCCGGGGAGGTCTTGTATAATGTGGAGAGGGGCGTGGCCAGGATGAGGGGGTTGGGTCTGAACAAGCCGGTCAGGTAGCAGCTGGGGATGTCGTTTTCTTCCCGCTTCATCACCACGGTGTCCATCACATGGAAAACGTTCCAGGGCAGCCACACTGTGCGGTGCAACGTGGGGAACGGGGCACGCTCGTAACTCAGTGTCAAAGAAGCACCGCCATTGGCCAGGAGGTCAAACCTTAAGGAATTATCATTAAATGGAAACATGCAAATACATTGTAAAACACAAAACAGTAAGTGACAGGATAAACAGTACATTCATGAACTATAAACATACTAGATTCGGATTTGCAGAAGCTGCCAGTCAATTAAAACTTACTTTCATAGTTTTGGCATGATGACATCACATACTCACTAAAGTAAATGTTGAGATCTGAGAACATGTCAACATCGTAAGATCAAAATCTGACTGGGCGAGATATACAAGCCGCCAGATGATCAGACACTGTGTAAACAAGTCAGTTCTTTCTATAAACCACTTTATCACTTATTGCACAAGAAATCAGTGTGTGCAAGACAAGAACAGTAGGTTAAAGGTGAAGAGGGTTTGTTTGAAGCCTGTATGACTGTACGAGTACTGCTGCTTCTCACCCCTCAGGACTTCTCTTTAGCAATCTTGACACATTTCCACATCTCAGCAATTAACTTGTTGTGTAAGATTTTATCATTATGGATTAAAATGATGGCCAAAACGTGGGCTGTTATAACTTTTTGTAATTTAACTTGAAGTGCCAAGAAGCAAAGTAAATATTTATGTCAAGACTAAGCCTGATAATACTTTTTCAATGGAAGAGAGAACTTTTCCCTTTCAAGTGAATTCCCTCCGTACAGCCTCCATATATTATTATCATTCACTGAGTCTAATTTATGACTTTTGTTTAACCAGGCATGGCGTAAGAAGACACTTTCTGGTTGAATATGGTTGGAGTCTTGAGTCCTGGGAGTTTCCTCTGGTGAACTGGTTTTAATTAGTACGACATTACTCAGGGAAAAGTTACTGATTTGGAAATGAAGGGCGAGTCTTTGAAGTGCTGCTCTATATATTCGACGAGCTCCACTACCCAGGGGGTAAAGCATCTGTGTGGTGACATTGCATGCATTCACATGCACAAAGACACACACCCTCACAGATTTGAATGCTTATGCACATCTCTCATGCATGAACCCACACCCAGGATGACACACACACACACGGATACACGCGCCAACAGCCAAGCTGTGCAGCTGACCTACAACAGCTTCCTTCTCGAGCTCTCTCCACTTTGGGCAGTGGGGAGCTCACAGCTGCAAGAGGCCAGGCTTTGATGCTGCCCCCCCCCTCCTTCTTAACATACTGAGCGGATCTGTTGGCTAACCAAGTGTGATTATCCCCGACCATTTATCACGCTCCTTGTCAGAAGAGTTACAGGGCAGAATATCTGAAGAAATCAGCTAATCCTCAGCTATCTGGGGACTCAAGGATTGTGCTTCATAACAACAGCTGTACAATTCTCTGCCACTCATAAGCCTTTTATTCCACACTGTCAACACATAAACATGGCCTCTGTCTGCTGAATTTGAATGACGACCTGGTTCACTATCTCTGGTGAGCATCTGCGAAATTAAGCTCCTACCTGAAGTGAACCTTTCCTGTAAAATATGTGACATACGTTTGTCTTGTATGTATTTGCACTCCTATTATTAAGGAGCTGCCTGTGGTAATAGCAGGAGAAGGTCAGATAGTAATCCCATGTTTTACTACACCATGGGCAGATTGATTCTACCCTTGCTGATTCAATGCATTTTAAACAGCCTGGTTCAAAATGGCCTCCACCACTGTGACATTTGCATGAGGAATTGTTCTGGGGCACAATGTGCTGCTGTTTCGATTTGTTTTGAATGCTTTCTGGATAACTGCCAGGACGACTCTCCCACTACTTGAACGCCTTCCTGTGTAATTTTTTTCCATACTGGTCTGGGGACAGCAGTGCATAGCACAGATAAATCACTGCGAGAGCAAAGGTGGAACCTAAAGGCTGAGCTGCCTGTGAGAGACTGCTCATGTTTATTTGGACATGTAAATCAGTGTTGGTAAATGTAGATGGATCACTGTCTACCTGCATGTGGCACCTATGGATGCGTGTGTGCATAGAGACTCCCTTACATGCCATCCTGCCGCGTGGTGGTGTAGCCGTACTCTGGATAGTGCAGAAAAGACACGTTGACTCCAATCAGCGGCGTCCCGTCTCCCGTGAGGACCTGACCCCGGATGACTGATGCCAGGCTGCGTGGGCAAACAAACACAGAAAGGGCTGAGTAAACAAACAATGCCAGTCGGCATCAACAAGCGGCCACGCCATCAGTTGCTAACAACAGTTATTCCTTTGCCAGCGGCATGAGCAGGGAGGTATGATTTACTGAGCCTTAGAAGCACACACATGTCAGTGTCTGTTATTCATGAAAATGCCACCTCACAGAGCACCTCTTTGTGTCTGTTTACTGCTTTTAGAAGCCCATAATTCAATAGGATGAGGGTTTCAAGACATCAAGGACTATAAAGATTTTTTCAGAATGTTGCACATGTATTGCAGCATTTATATTCCACGAGGACACAGAAATTGATGTAAATTTCTTCTCATGCTTAAGATCTATTTCTATTAAAAGCAATATTATGTGGAGACAGGATGCAACATACAAACATATAGCTCTTTAGGGCAATTCAGTCTGTGAGGCCAGCACAGAAAACAGTGGGCATCAAAGCTTTGAATGTAAAACACACATCTTATCTAGCCAACATGAAATATACACACAGTTAAATAATCAGCCTGTTAAACTCCACTTGGTAAATGAAGTGTACAATATATTCAGCAGTGGGCAAATCAAATGAAATTCGTGAGTGAAATATTCACAGTATTGTTATCGCGCTGACCTTGCTGAATTAAGAATTTACCCTAAATTGTATTTTCGAGACGATGCGATCAAAGCGTGATTATTCTTTGCAAGTACTTTTACTTTCAAAAATGAGTCTTTTGTCAGTGTCGTACCCAAGTCTTGTGCTTGCTAGCGTGATAAATGTCTGTGGTAATACTTGTGATGAAAGATAATATATCAACAAGAATTGTGTTAAAACGAGCTCTTCAGCTCGGTTACAGATATCCTCTTGATGTGAGAAGTTGCAAAGCTTGGCGCCTGATGTGTCAAGAGGCACTTTATAGGAATTCAGAACAACAAAATGCAATGCTGGAGGCAAACTGTCACACAGAAAAAAAAAAAAATGAAAAGGGGGTTTGACAAAAGAAGTGCAATGCTACAATACAAACGAATCGCCACAGCAGTTTAGAGAGGTGAAGTCATAAATAGTGCCGATGTGAAAAGGAAATGTAACTTGAACACAAAAAATACAAACTGTTGAGGAGTGAAATGTTAAAACATGAAGGTTTTTGTTAGTTTGAAGTCTATGGAGGAACAAATAAATAAATAAATGCAGGAAAGGTTTTCTGAACAAAGATCTTCTTTGCCACCTGTGTTTTTTTTTTCATACATTCATACCTGGTGGCTGCCTTATATAACCTACCTCCTACTACTGGCCAAAGAGCAGTGCCACCAGAGCAGGTGGGGAAGGTTAAATACTTCACTTAAGGCCACCTCTGTGGTACTTATTCTAGCATGGGAGAGAATTACTCATTCACTTTCCCCACCCACCCAGATTTTCCCTGCTGGCAAATGGATTTGCTTCTGGTCAAAAGGCTCTCCACCTCCAGCATCCCCTCCCTTGCTTTTACCAAAAAAAACTGTATTTTCTTTGACGTTTTTTGCTTCATAAATCACAGACACGGAAGGTTCATACATGATTAAAGCCTCAGATATCCTCTGTGATTATTCAACATGAGCGCTGGCCCTTCAGGTAAAACTTGGCCAACACTGCTTCTCTTTCCTATATTCTCAAGTGTGAAGTAATTTGTTAAGTCAGTCCTTTGTTTGAAAGTAAGTAGAGGAGACAATGCAATATTTCTCCATCAACATTTAATCATTCCCCACTTCTCAACCACAGAGCAGAATTTTAAAAGTGTTCCCTCTGCATTTGTCACTGGTGGGCAAAAGATGTCTCATTTTGCCACTTTATCTCTGGGTCATTACGTATATGAGACGGGGATGATCAACAGCTTTAGCCCCTCTTATTTCCCTCCCGCTCCACGCCTGGCACAACCGTCTCCCATCCTTTATTTACCGGTTCGGGGAACAAGGCCACTTAAGAGCCCCGGCGAAGGTTCACTCCTTCTTCCCTGTGTCTCTATTAATCTTTAGAGAGGCAGACAGATGCTACAAGAGCCGAATCCCCAAAACAAACGGCAACTCACACCACCTGCTGAGACCCCAGAAATGAATCATATAATACATTCATTCATATCTGTCACTGTCTCACACCGGCAGTAAAAAAAACACCATCTGAGAACCCATTGGGAGACTTGTGTTGGGACACGTGATACAGCTGGGGGACTGGTGGTGGTGGTGGTGGTGGCGGCGGCGGCAGGGAGCGTGGGTGGTGGGGCCGAAACCACAACACATGTTTTATTCTCTGTGCTGTACGAGGGACGAGTTCACTGCAGAGTTCTGAAACCCGACCACACACTGAAATCTGCTCCCTTTCTCTTTGCTTACACAATGCCTTCTTAAAAATGGAGGGAGAGGAATGACCTCTAACCGTTTCCCATCACTGTACTGTTAAGACATCAGATACTCCACGACTAGACATAACAGTCACCGCTGCTTTTGGAAGTCTTGATGCTCTGCTGGCATTGTTCAAGCGCGTCAGGGACTTTTTTATAATGTATACTCTGCAAAGGCTGTCAATAAATAATTCACTTTATAACCTCAAATGAATATTTGAAAAATATGGGTCTCCAAACAAACTCTGTCATGACTAAATTCGACTTCATTACGTGACTCTTCCCAAAAATTATTTCACACGTGTAATGTTTGTGCTGATAAGATACAATAAAAAAAAAAGGTAATTAATTTTGTCATATTTAGTCGTATGTATGTTTGCTGAGCTTCTAAAATGCACCATGATGTTTTGATTGTAAAACTAACTTCTACAAGGAGATAAAAAGGCAAATGAATATTTTGAGCAAGAGAGCTAATGCCACTGCCAGACATGAAATCGACAGTAAGCTGAAGACAATGAGGATGAGGATTACTGAGAACCCGGCTGGGGGGGAATTGCCTCATTCTATATTTTCAGTAAAGCATGCTATTTACATAAGGATTACTTTAAACTATTGGAGGAAATATTCCCAAAGCCTTCTGCACACAGTTGGCAATCATTTTCCTCTACATCAGTCACAAAATAAACTCTACTCTTGATTGTGAACAGATGTGTGCTCTTGGTGAAAAATATAACTATGTCTCCTCAGTTTGCATATTGATGTAGCCTGCTAGTCTATTACTGGGTGTTCTGTCCCTTGATATGAAACTTTTCAATCATTGTTTCTACCTTGGACAAACACCTTAAAACTTTAGTTTCTGGAACAAGCTGTAGAAAAATGTGCGGTCACTTAACAAGGTGTCATGGATGAAAACAGAGACCCAAAACTAGAAGGTCACAGGTTTAATACACTTTGTGAGTGATATGGAAAATAAATCCTACAACTAAAAGTAATGTGAGGGAAATGTCTATAGCCATGCTAGCTGGTCTGTGAGTCTGTTCAGACCCAGCAATGATTTCAGTTAACGTTAGCATGTTGATGTTTAGCAGGTATAATGGTTACCACGTTCTCTATCTTGTTCTTAACATGAAAGCATGCTGAGATTTGCTAATTAGCATTAAACACAAAGCACATGTAGACTTACAGGAATTTCAGTCACTTATAAAGGGGTTATTTTTAAGTTTTCTCTGCCGCTGAATGTGGTTTCTGGCCAGGAGCGGGTTGTGATAATTGTCACTTGACAAGAGCGTTAGCCATTGTTCCAATTACAGAAGAAGAAGTTATAACACGGTCTCTGAGCAGCGCTACATCTTCAGGGCAGATTGGAGGCTACAGTGAGTCGGACGGGCTGGGGCTAGCTGGTTAGCATGCTAACTTCAGTAGAAGAAAAGAGGTGGTAGAGACAAGCGTTAAGATTGGTATTGCTTTTTCCACAGCTGGAGACAGCTGATTTTTGATTTGTGTGATGGTGAACTCACAACGTTTCTTCTAGACTGATAAGTAAACAGCTGTTAATACCAACGCTGGCAATAGCAAAACTTACAAATAGCTCCTTCAAGGTCATAAACCAATTGGACAAATTAAAATTCTGAGCTGATGATGATGCTTGATTAAATGCTAAGAGATCACCAAAGAGGCTTCAATTCATCCTGAGGGGAATACGAGTGTTTGGACAAAATTTTAAGCCCATCCATACAGTAGTTACTGAGACACTTCAGACACTTGGAGCAAAGCGGTGGGCTAAACGACAGATCAACATTGCCATGCACAGTCATGCAACTAGCGTTGCTAAAAAGTAACACTATGTGCAACACTTAACAGTCCTCTGCCTCTAAAAGGCAACTTTATGAACTTGAAAAATGGAAAATGTAGCTAATTATGTATCAAATAATAGCCACAATATGTGTAATTTCTATAGATCTTGCACCCAATAATAATGTACAAAACAAAATATCCATTTCCTCTTGTCTGCTGTTACAGAGCACAAAAACAGCATTGACTTCTTGGCTCTTTGCAGACTCTCTGTTCATGCGGCTGATTTAATGTGATTCTCTGTTGGAGAGACAGTTTCTAGAAAGAAACCCTTTCTAGCTAATATCAAAGAGAAAGTCTATTTAAGTGGGCCAGCCTCAGATATTCAAATACACTGTGTGATGGCCAGCTTGTTGATGATTAAAAAAAAAATGGTTTCTGATAAAAGATATACATTCATGTGAAAACAGTCTCTTCAGAGAAATGTTTGCTGTGCTTTTCTTTCCAATTTGGAGGACCACATGTTGTTGTTGTTGTTACCTTGGTGTACGAAACCTTATCCTCGTGTTCTTACAGCCATCAAGGCTGTTTTTAGCAAGGAACAAGAGCTCTTGAGCTACTTAAGCTTCACTTGTTAAAAAAAAAAAAAAAAATGCTTGTGGCAGCGAGACCACTGTAAACACACTTGTCAGTGGGGCTGCACAGACAAAGAGATGTGAGATTCTTTGACGTTTCAGAGTGGCTGCACAAACACAGGTGCCTCTCCCCAACTGGTAATGAGACAGCAAACAGCTAACGTGATCCAAATCATTAAGGAGCTGTCAGTAATTCATTAAGCCGCTCACCTGCTGTTGAACGGGTTATCCCAGGGTATCACATGACTGCCGCTGGGACCAATCAAAAAACTGACACGGTCATAAAAGCCTTTCGATGTGGGCTGGGCGGCTGAACTCTGGCCCTGGCCTGCGATGGCAGTGGGGTCAGGTGAGCCACGACAGTAGGTCTGACCCTGGCAGGAGATTTGAGTGCAGCAGTCTGGGTCCATGCAGTCGATGAGCCCATCTGGAAAACAGGAGGGACAGTTGAGTCAGGGAGGGAAAGCCTTGTTGACCTGGATGTGTTAGGGCTTGACAAAGAAAACGTGAGCATCTCCATTACTTTGTTGAGCTCTGGTGCACACAGATGACTTCTAACATGAACTTAAGTTCATTAAAGTGACAGCAGAGATCCTGAGTTGACATTAAAGTATGAACTATTGAAAAGTGTGTCACCTAATATGAGCCTCAAAAGTTCTGGGCTTGTTGATCAGGCTGAGGAGCAGTTTATTAAAAATCCAGCTTGTGGGGTATTAATAGTAATTCTAGTCTCAACTACTTTTTATAAGTGATCCACTGTATATTTTAAAGCACGTTGTTGAACAATCTGCTCTGCTACAACATTTGCATATTCTTTCCAGTGAGAGTTTATGTATGATTGATTTGTTTTGTTTGTTTGCACTGTCACTGAGGAGCCACATCAAAGCCAATTTGCGGTCTGGCACAATAAGTGACACACACACATACACAAACACACACACACAAATACACACACATTTTTCTGAAGCTAAAAGACTATTTGTACGAGGCTTTTACTTCTTCCTACCTCCCTCATTATCCTTGCCATCTGAGCAGAGCGTTTCGGTCGCTACATCGCATCCCAGCCCTCTCCACCCTGACTGGCAGATGCAGTGCCAGACGTTTTGATCCAGGACGCACCTCCCGTTGTTGTTGCAGAGCCCGGGGCAGCCGTCTGTCAACACATCATGTATGTGTCAAACAGCCGAGCAAGTCAGAGCAAGAAAATCAGGAGTAGAAAAGGGAGGGTGGGGAGGGGGGGGGGAGAGAGACAAGAGCCAAGGGGTTGGGGGCATTTGAGTGGACAGAGGTAGAGGAGGGACAAAAATGATAAAAGACAGTATTGAGTGAACATACAGTACGATACACCTCTGACAGGACTGGGGATGTGGGGGAGGGTGTGTGGAGTTACAGTCGTTTCACATGAGTTTCAGGAGCAGGTTCAGCTGCGCTGAGAAGTGAAATGTATGGGATGAAAAAAGGGAGAAACCTGCTGAGCTGTTTATTTAACAGGCCAATGGGAGATACCAAAAATGCATGATGAGTCAAATCCTTGTGGCAGATGGAGTTTTTTATGTTTAAATCAAAGTTTGAATGGCTCTTATTGAGTTCAATTGCCTTCTATTTGGGTCCGTGAATTCTCTTAGTGTCATTTTCAAATCAAGGGCTGCACTGGAGTCAAATTCACATTTTTTTTTTTTTTTTTTTGTATTTGAATGCATATTTAAAACATTCTCTGTGAGTTCAAAGTTGCATAAATCCCATCTAAGAGGCTGAAATTCAGAGGAGTTCATTTCTTTTGCCTGAAAATAATGAACGTAGGAACAGCCCATTGCAGACGTTAGAAACACTCATGTGAAGTAACAGCAACATCAAAGGAGAGAGGGAAGTATATATGTAAATAGGAGAAGAAGTGTGGGAAGAAGAGGGAGGATCAAGAGTCTCTACATATACAGAAAACAGAGCACTTGCTGCCAGATCACATTCCTTCTAGTGGAGGGTGAAGACAGGGAGCCGGAAAATGACTAAACCACACCAGTTTGGGGCGTTTAATCTGGCAGACACAGGGAATTAAGACAGGGGGGTGTGGGGTGGGGAGAAGGGACCGTGGAGTCTGGTGTGAGACTGGTTAAGACGGACAGGAGATGAGGGGACATATCGGGGGGAGCAGGATCACAGCAGAAACATTATGATCGACTCGGACATAGAACAGGTGTATAAACGCCGTGCTAGGAAAGACAGAGAAAAGGGAGGGATTGTTTGTGACAATCTCCCTGGGGGGGTAGTGGTTCAATTTACCTTTATATCCTATCTTGACTGCTCCTATTACACGACCGAGGAAAGGGAAACATTTGGAGAAGAAAATTACTTATCTCTGAGGTGGCAGAGAGCTAAGACTGACAAACACATTTACTTATTGTAACTTACAGGGAGCACAAAAAGTGTAAATGGTTGCTGGCATAAAGCTGATGTACCTGCCAACTTTGTTTCAATATTTGGAAAAGAAGCTTTTGCAGGTAGTTTTTCCCGAAGATTATGGTTGCCTTTGCCACGTTTCAGCTTCTGCTCTAATTTCAATCTATCGACTGTGTATGTAAATCACAGTCGTTATGGTGATTGAGCTGAATAGCTAATACTAAGCATGAGTGACAGGATATGACTGAGCTGCGAGCTCACCCATTTATTTTTTTTTCTTTAAAAAAAACAAAAAAAACAAGAGTTTACATTTTTTTTTTCATAAGCAAAACATAGGTGTTCAGCTGGACCAGAAAAAAACATCTTGCATGAAGAATATAATTCTCAAGCAAAGTGAAAGTTTTTTTTACCTGATACTCTGGAATCCAGGGCTATACATGTAAGCCAAGAGGGAGTTGGAGAGAGACAGATAGGTAGGCAGACAGGCATACAGACATAAAATAGAGAAGAGAACGGATATAAGCAGAAGTTAGGTAAAGAAATGCAAACAGAGAAAACAAGTAGAAAATTGATTTGAGAGACAGAGAGAGACAAAAAAGACAGAAGCTGCAGATTTGGAAGATTAGATTCTTAGTTTAGCTTCAGTAAAAGGGGAAAAAATTCACTGTTTGACAAACTTAGAGTGTGGATGTTAATTAAAGCAGCAAGTGATTAATCAGAATAATAGATGCTTCCACGGTCAAAATCATCACTTTTTTCTGTAAAAGCGCCTTGGATGGTGATTATATTTCTCTCCATAGGAACAACATAAAAGAATTCAGCATCTTAAGCCTAGTAAAATATTCGTTGTTAACACTCTCCATCTGCTTAGCTTTTGCCAAAGCAAGACAGGCTAACACAAAGGGAACACACTGTTTCTCTAAATATCTGAGTGTTATAACACACTTTGTTTTCAGACTATATGAGCCAGTTTGATCTGGGCCTGCTTCAAAACATTTTCCTGTCTGCTTGTCAAGAGGTATGTAGTTTCGCCCGCACTCTAATATGAACGCATCATGAGGCAGAATAATAAACTTTTTCTTCTTTTTTTTTTTTTTTTTTTTCAATTTTGCCGTCATCTCCACTTCAGTGATTTCAACAACTGCACGGCAATGAAACAGCAGTACACTAAAACGAATCACAAACACCTTAGTGGTAAACTTCAGTGCTGAGAAAGCAGTGACAGTGGGTTAAGTCTTGCATATAAAACAGGATCTAGATACGTGTGACAGAAGAATGGCCAAGGAAGTCCTCTATTCATGCTCTGGCCATGTAATGTGATTAAAAGGCGCTTTGTGCAAATGGCAGTTATTCAGGGTTTGAAAGACAAAATAAGCTCCCGGTTCTCCAAGAAAAGGTAATGCATTGCCCATTCATCCCCTCTGCATCCAAAGCAAGGAGTTACTTTCCTGACGGGAGCCTTAAACAGGGGGAGAGAGAGAGAAAATGGACGGCTCACAGTCGGCCCCGAGGAGGGAAAAGATTAATACGATCAGGAATGTGACCCCTCCAACAACTCCCTCACTGCAATCCCCTCTCCCCCTCAGAGATGGAGCCTCGTTGTGGATCCATCTCTGTAAATACGTAATTAGAGTTCAACAGTTTGGAGAGTGCCAGATCTTTGTTTCTCAGGGAATTTGTCGTCACTGAGAGGTTGGAGATGACACTTGGGGGAATGCTGTTTGACGCGGCGTGTCAGGGTTTAACTACAGGACCTTTGACAGGGGGTAAGGTGTCAACGAAGTTTGAGTTAAAGGTCAATAGGAAGTGACATCTCAGAACTCATTATCCTCATTAATGCCAGGTGAAGCACTGCCATTCCAGAAAAATGATATTCTAAAGAGGCCTTCCCGTGGCTTTTCCGCTCCCTAAATACCTGCCCTTGACTTGCTAATACAAGAGCATCACTTCAGCAGTCTGAAAGGTGGAATATCTAAATGGGTGATAGAAAAATTACAAAGTTGATGTGAGGTGTTGCAAAAAAGAAAAGAGATTTCGAAAAAGAGTGAAAAGTGAAGTACGGAATAGATCACATTTTCTCATTTCTTTTGATTCTTTCTTTCTTTTGAAAGATGCTTGACAATCATTTAGATTCTCTCCATTGACAGAACTGAATGTTGGTTTTAACCCATTTAATTCAAACATTTACACATGCAACATTTTTGATGTTGATGAAGTGCATCTGCTAAAGATGGAGTTCAATTTAATTATGGTTTTATATTGTTTCTATTGCTTAATATAGTTAAATCTATAAAAAATGCAACATACAGTGGTAGTAGAAAGTAACATAAAATGGAAATACTCTTCATTAATTAATATCTCACAATTGTACTTAAGTGTAGTACTTAAGTAAATGTTCTCAGTCACTTTCCATCACTGACTGCGCCTGATCAATAATAAGAAAAACAATGAGCCCAATGATGGAGATTCTGGCCAGTGTTTGATACAGTTCCAGTTATCTCTGGAAAATAAACTGCAAGAAACACAGCAGTTTATTCATTTACCCACTGAAAACATCTATAGAAACCACTAGTCACTAGTTTGTCATGCAAAGCCGCATGCTTAGAGTCTGTAGGCAGCAACAGAACTGTGTCATGATCTGTGTCCTTCCAACAGATGCTTGAAACTGCATGGGATATACTGACATTCACACTCCAAAGTTGCCCTTTTAAGCCTGTCCATAAATGAATTTCCTGTAGTTCATGCCCTTCTGTCACGTGTGTGTAGGTGGACGGTGCTGTATGTGTCACCGTGGCTCACCGATGGTGCAGTGTTCACCCGTCCAGCCCTGGTGGCAGTCACACTTGCCCTCTCGGCAGACTCCGTGGTCGATGCAGCGTGGGTGACAGTCCCTCTGCTCACATTCTGGTCCTGTCCAGCCTTCCTCGCAGTGACACACGCCGCTGATGCACGAGCCGTGGGGACCGCAGTCCACCACACACACCTCTGTTGCAAAAAGAAAAAAAAGAGACAGGTAACTTATTTTCTGTGAAAAAGACACTTTTTTATTCTTCCGCTTTTTATATTCTGCATCTGCAACTGAAGAAAAACACTCTGTTGTTTGCTGAGGAGTGTTAGTTCCCTCAGTAAGAGAGGGCCAAAAGTTAAATTGTGAAGGGCCCATTTTTTAAAAACTGCTTGATAAAAAATTCTGGCATTATAAGGCAACTACTAATGTAAGATAGTATTTCGTCAAGAGGCTCAAAATTACTGCCTTCTATTAAAGGAGATCTTAAGAAGCATCATTTTACGTGGAAAATGTCAGGCCTTTACTGCCTCCTCTTGCTTGATGGATCTCAATGGACTTGCCGTGTACATAGTTCTTTTTTAAATCAGTGTGGAGCAGGATATGCAACTGACATACAAAAATGTCAGAGCATTGAAACTCCACTTTTATTCAGCTGCCACTTTGCGAAAATACACAATGAATAGTTTAGAAAAAAACAAAAAACAAAATAAAAAAACGAGGATAACGCTTCCTCTAAAAGGTATCACATTAATCTTGATATATAGTGTTATTACTTTTATGGGTTCAGGCGATAATAAAGTGCCTTAAATTCTTGGTGCTTGACATTTAATCTGTAAATTCTGTTTTCTATAATACAGACAGCAACAACGCAGTGCCCTCAGAGTGCATTAAACCAACCAGTGTGAAGGAGACTGTGTTGGAATGCGCGTTGAAGGGATTAAAGTTTAAACAGAGCATCAAAAAGAAACAAATTGTGCACTGATATGTGCTCTTATGAAGGCAGATGGATGATATCTGATTAGGTTTACATCTATTTTATGTAAAAAAAAAATAAAATAAAAAAAAATTCCTCAGCAGCAAATTCTGAAGGACTTTAATGTGCTTATCAACAAACAGGTCCAATCAGTGTAACAACCACTTTTTACCATCTGAAACGACTTCAAAGCTTATCACACAAAATGTAAGTATGCTCTGAATAATTAGCCTGGGATAATAGAGGCGGCCTTTTTTTTTCTGTGCACACGCACAGACAGGCAACACAGGCTATTATTGTCATTTTTGATTCTGCAGCCACTTTAACTAATCTTTATCAGAGTAATGTCAGAGGCCAATTTATTTCCTCACGAGTGCAGAAGGCTTAAAAATGAAACAAAACCTGTCATCACTCAAAAAGTCGAAATTCAGAGCAGAGGAACAATAAATCACTGCAATCACTGTTCATCTAAAAACCTCTAAAACAACTCATTTCCAGGTTTTACATATTCCGAAAGCTCATTTGCATGGAGTCTTGGCAAACTGAGGCGAGGATGGTGGATATGAGCAGGTTCTTATGTCTGGACTCTGGGAGATGTTAGATTAACAAGGTTTTTTCAAGTACAGAGCCTCGGAAACTGCAGAGCAGCTGTGAATCTGTGTTATCTTCAGAAAAAGTAAAATTCAAATGATTGAATCCATGGGTGGTAAGTAAATCAGTGTGTACCAGGGTAAAACTGATGCTCGACAAGCTGTGGCTGCTCTTGTGTGTGAATAAGAAATGTTCATTTACTGGAACCAAGAGCTTCTATCAAAGCTTCTGAACAGAAGAACCATAAAGCTTTCTGCTGTGACAATAGCCGTCAGTGTGCTGGAGGAAAGTAACTCAAGTATGTCCTCAAATTTTAAGTGACTAGATGCTCCAGGGAATATATATAGCCCCATAACCGAAAAGTTTGTGACTTTTTAACAAACTTGGTACAGCCTGCAGGAAAATCAAATTAGCCAAGAACCATGATTCTTCCACCTAAAATAACAAGTCATGGATAAAATATCTACTTATCTTTATTTTTGTATTATTGTTAATCCACTCCACTACTACTGCTTTACCCACACTCACCCCCTTTACTGAGGCTCTTTTAACTGTCTGTTTCCAGCTCTCTGAATAGAGTTTTTCTTCGATTGAGAGACCTTGGATGGTTCTGATTAAGTCGAGCCGACACTGTAGAATATTAAGCATGCCTCTGGAGGGGAGTCATTCGATTCCAAAGGGATACCTCCTTCCCATAGAATCTATGCAATCAATTTTTCATTAGTGCAAAAGTGTTTATCTGCCTTTAACATGCCCCTGACTCGAGCTGGATAGGGGTTGTGGGCGGTCGATCCATGCTATGCGCTTGTTAATTAAAGTTTATTTAATTGAAGAAGAACCGCAGCATTAATTAAGAAGGAATCCTCCACCCACCCAGGTGGGTAAACACCCCAACTTTTGGACTGCATCAAGGCCAGCCTTGTACGATCTGCTATTGACAGGCCTGAGATATCCTGCTGAGTGAGTGTCTGGATTTTCGAAAGCTTTAACTGAATAGCAAATTACCTCTCTTTAAAAAAAAAAAAAAAGAAAGAAAAAAAAGAGATAATAATGTGAGACACAAAAGAAAAAAAAAAGTCTGTTCACCAAAACAATCATTCTTTCTTCTTGGGCACCGACCAAACACACTGCATGGTGCTTCAAAAGGTCTGCGCACACATCTATCATCTCAAAAATACCATCCAGTCTACTTATTTTCAACTGAATTTCAGCCAAGAGAAATATATTCGACAGCCTTTTCACTGACAAAAACAACCACAGCTTCTGCTTTTAATTGTTTCATTCAGTTTGGCCATCGTGTCTCTCTCACAGAGAATGAGTCTATTCTGTGGGGGGAAACAGCCAATATATCACCTTAATCTCAGGCACTGATAACAGATTGGGAGGGGTCGGCCTTTGAACTAACATGTCATTAACCTGTGTCGAAAGGCAACAGCTCTGAATACAAAGCTGGTAGCAAATGAAGAGGCTCTGCGCAAAGCAGATGGGGATACACGAGTGTCTCTAAAAAAAACCAAAGATACGTGAAGATGCTATAAAATTTTGGCATTTTTGATAAAGGCTCTGAACAAATGTCTGCTTTGAAACAACACTGATTTTTAAAAAAAAAAAAAAGAGCATATGCCGGGTCACACAAGAGTAACATGTGGAGTCAAAGCTTTGTTGTGAACATATCCTCTATTTCAAACCAACACGTGCCACAAGTGTTGATTACAAAACTTTAAGGGTGTGATCACACCCACACTTTTATTTTTTTAGTCCAAAACACAATGAAGCGCATGTATTTTTGTTCACCCAGGTTCAAACTGCAAAACTACAAGAAAAGCAAATTGTGTCTCACAATTGTCACAGGGATTTGCACATTGCTTGATAACGGATGTCGAGTCTTGTCACTCAATTTAAGCAAAACCAGTTTTCTAATTGAGCTTTGAACACGCTGAAGTAAAAAAGAACACAGAATGTATGAACAGCAGCTCAGACTGATGTTTGCCACCAGTCATTTCTTTTGTGTTACAACACCTTCCAAGCATGAGTGACTCCTGGCTATCAGGTGTCAACATCTGTCTCCTCATCCCTGTGAAAGCTTTTTTTTGTTTTTTTTTGTTTCCTGTAGTCGGTTCAGATTACTTCCCTTCTCTTCCTTTGAAAAGAAATGAGACCTTTAGAGGCATCCTGGTGTGTTTGTGTTATATCAACAGACATTTAATGTTGTTTTCATGCAGATACATGAATCAAATTGTTTTAAAGTTCTAAATGCACTCGATGTGAACATGTCATCATCATCATCATCATAAAAATACTGTCTTATTATTGTAGCTTTCTTGTATTAGTGAAAATATATCATTGTCTCCTATAACTGCACTCCATCACACCAAAGCAAAACTTTACTGAATGTGATATAGGAGAGTTATAAAACACAGTGCTGACAGTAGTGGAACATACAGTGCATAGATCAGAGGATGAAAAACTCGGGTTCCCATTCATCATCTCTGGGGCATACCCACACTATGAATCAGCCGGACATCACATTATTAATAATTTTGTTTCCTTCATGTATCTATGGAAAAATGCTGAAAAACACTGATTTGGCTGTGTATATTATTCAGACAGTTTAATTCCAAATTGTGATTTAGGAAAACAAATTGTTCTCTAATGTTCAGTAAAAGATATTTCAAAATCAGAGATGATGAATTACCCAAAGTCTTTTTTTTTGGCAAATATTTAAAGATTATATTAAACATCACATATGTTTCCCTTGTATTTTGGGTTGTATTTGTATTAGAAAGTTAAAATAGTTATTCCTTAAGTGTCTTATTAAGACACCCACATGTAGACACGCTGTGCTGTATGAGACCGATAGGCTATTCTATGTCAACCTACAGCGTTAATAAAGCCGCATACATCTGTTGTTGAGGACATCTGGCGTCTGCAGTGTCTGTGCACAGCAAGGGGGAAGTTTGTTTGGAATAAATACAGAAAAAGTGATGCCAATTACTTGTTAGAGAAACTCAAACTTCATCCACAAAAACAGTGAAACAGACATTATAGAAGCGACTATACTGTTTGAAAGGATCTGTTGAAGCAGAGCAAATAATACTGCACTAATGGCATCAATATAAATGAACGAATGAAAGACATCAACGTTTACAGCTCTTAGTAACTTAATATGTCCTTTAATTCTTTTAAAGCCAATGTGTAATGTTTACATTTTCCAGCTTCACATTTTTTTTTTATTTTTATTTTTTACAAAAAATTAGTTGATTAATCGATTAGTCAGCTGAAAGAAAACCAATTAAGTGTTTGAATAATTTTTTTGAATTAAGAAGCCAAAGATGATCTATTTCCAGCCTCTTAATCGTGAGTAATTGTTGCATTTCTTTGTCATATGTGACTTTTAATTTAATACGCTATATAAACAAGACATTTGAAGATGTCCCCTGAGCTTTAGGAAAGTGTGATGGATATTTTCATTTCATTGACCAAATGATTAATAAAAAAAAAAAACAAACATTAGTTGCATCCCTAACTCACAGCAACAGTCTACACAGTAGCAGTAGTAGTTTTAAGTGATGAAAAGAAAAGTGACACGTGTTCTGACCTATGGAGCAGTCGGCCCCTGTCCAGTTGGCCTCACAGATGCAGGTTCCCGAGTCGGTGTTGAAGGTGCCGTGACTGGAGCACTGCTCTGGACAAGTGCTCTTCAGGATTTCGCAGCTGATCCCGCCCCAGCCCGGGTTACAGTGGCACTCACCATGATGACAGGCTCCGTGACCGGAGCACGCCGGGTCCACGCAATCCACTGAGGACACACAAGGAGGACGACACAGTTTACCCACTTCTAGACAGGATATCAAACCTACTTATTTACTCTGTTACCAGCCAAAAATCAGTTTTAGAGTGGAAGTGCTTCAGTGCCGGATGATGGCTGGTGACCCACAGCTGAAATTTTTGCAGTGTTTAGTGATGGCTGGTAGTAATTTCCTACCCTATGTTCAACTACCTCCTCTACGGTACATTATAGGGTACTTCCAATATACTGAAAGCATAATTATGCTCCATTATAGGCACTAGGAAAAGGAGTGCAATTAGTGTCTAGACAGATATAATTAATTACTATTAACAATTTGCAGATCAACCTGCTGATCTAGGTTAATAATTGGCAATTATGACCAACATAATCAACCCATTACTAACAAGGGATAATTTGCAACAACATCATTGTGCTTCCTCTGGAGCCGATAGCTGTGCGCATTTCCATATCTGCCTGGACACCGATATTGATTATTTACCTGAACCAATTAATCACATCAGAGCCCTTACATGCAAGCTTTGAACCACAAATTCAACGTCCTTGTGTCCATCTTTCCTTCCCAAATGGCTCTGCGTCAAAGAAAACTCCCATATATTCATTTAGTGAACTCAATATCTTTTTACATGTGAGATCAATGACCTGCACATGTAAATCTGAGCTGATAATTGCCTTTTGTCTGCACGGGGATCAATAAAGTTAAATGCACTGAGGTGAAGGGGGGAAGTGGAAGGGGTTGACAAAGAAAGAAGCAGCAGCAGCAGCAGCAGCAGCAGCAGCAGCAGCAGCAGCTCTCTCTCAATAAACCAAGGAACAGATGCCATTGACGGATCGATTTTAACAGGTGTCTTCAACTGTGGAGTATTCCAATAGGTGACTGTATCAACGGGCGCTGCACAATCTGTTCCAGTTTGTACCCTAATGTGGTCTAAACACTAAGAGGGAGTTAATTTACACATGGTATCAATAACAACATCCAAGGCATTATCTGCTTGGTGGAGTTGAAAACGCCAATTGTTTCGCCAATGGACTGTGTCGATTCCCCCTGAGCTCCACACAGGAGTATGTTGCATCTAACTGCTTCAAATCCCACGGAAAGAAGCTTCTTCTTTTCTCTTTACCTTGCTCACAGTTGGTCCCTTTGTGGCCAGAGTTGCACACACAGTTGCCCGCCACACAGTGTCCGTGTCCCCCGCACTGAGGGTCGATACACTGGGAGGCAGGAACGTCACACTCGGTGCCCTTCCAGCCACTGTAGCACTGGCAGCGCCCCCTGGTGTACTGGCCGTTACCGCTGCACAGGACTGGACAGGCGGCTGAGGAAAGACAACAAGTTTAATGAAGTTCAACCTACCTAATTAAATACCTTTTTAATAAAGAACTTTATGTTGGAAATAATGCAACTATGGTCCATTTTTAAAGGAATAATTCAACACTTGTTAGATATGCTTATTTGCTTTCTTGCCAAGAGTTAGATATGAAGATTGATTTGATACCACTCTCTCACCTGCCATCTATGGATTCTTTTTAAAAGGTCTTTTCACTCAAGTTATCTCTTATAGTATCTAACTATGCAGACAGCTGGGGTTCAGTTTGTCCAGACAATCTCCCAACTCCAATATAATGGAGATGAGGACTTTCTGAAAAGAGTTTAATTTTTATTCCTCAATGCATTTAAAAGCAATGACCCTTTTACCTTGAACAAAGTTTCAACAGTTGTCATAGAGACTTTTTTTTTTATTTAAAAGTAGTCTCAACAAAAAAAAAAAGAAAAAAGAAAGAAAAAAAAAAAACAGCTAGGTAAATTGTGAGAAGTAGTGTCTGACTGATACTGGGTTTTAAAGGATGATACAGATATTGACAGAGAGCTACAAAAATCTAATAACAATAAAACCTGCCAATATTCGGACTGCCCTGAGACCTATCAGTATATCTATCAGTACCAATTCATTCGTAATTAGGTAATATTGGCTGATATATACAGTCCAGACAATTTACTGGCCTAGCTCTACCAGATAGTGTTTGGAGGAAGTTTTATAACTTTATTCTTTATCTTCTTCAATGCTTCGAGGACGATTTACAAAATTCCACTCAATGTCATTGTGTTGGGGAGCAGCAAAAATCTAAAAACATGGGCATATAAAACCAACATGATCGTCACACCACTAAAGATTAAGGGAGGAAAAAAAGTTAAAGTAAAAAGTATTTTCAAAATTTGAGTCGTCTGATATTATAAATCATATACTGAATGAACAGAATAAAAGTAATGTATGAGCTTAATAATTACCTCTGGAACAGTATGGCCCTATGAATCCTGGGAAGCAGTGACACGATCCCGCCACACACTCTCCGTTCCCGTAACAGTTGTGTGTGCACTCCATGACAGAGTCTGTGGGTACAGTAGTGTGCAAGTCCAACTATTAATAACCCATCAGATTGTCATATTACAGCAAATCTGAAATTCCTCCTTAATAGAACATTTGACGACTGTACAGTTTGAGAAATACTGGCAGACAACCAAGATACCAACTTCTCTCTTTTTTTTTTTTCCCCCTCTCTGCATGAATCTAGACTTTCTAAGGATCCCTTATCTGCAGCACTCGTATCAGGCATGGCATACATTTACAGCTATTTGTCCATGTCCCACTAAGGTCTAAGCCTCCATAACATGTATGCTGCTGCCTGACTCTTCCCATCTAAGCCATGTTAAGTAAAAGCCACACAGGCATTTTAAATTAGACCAAATAATTCAATTTCCTTGACACATTTCCTTTCCTCTCGTCTCCTCTCCCGTCCCACCCACTCCCCACCCTCAAACCCCTTGAATGACTGATCATGCCCACACAAGCCATGCAATCTCCTGAGTGTTTACAGCTCAAATCCTCTCTGAGTTGAAGTTAATCTGACATATCCTACAGACAGATCTTGTGTTCATTCAACAGACCATTGCTCATAAAGGGCACCCCCAAAAGACTGGGGCCCTCATTTTGATCGGCATTAAGAGGGCAAACTTTTTTGTTATTACTCGGGCTTGTATTGGATGTTCTCTGAGCCAATGTTGGACCCAAGCAATTTTGACCTCACACATCGATACCTTCATATTTGTAGGGCCGGATCAATGGAACTCCCCAAAGGAAATAGAAAAAGAAAAACGTTAACTCAACCTTAGTGTTTCTCCTACCTCAAAACCCAGAAGGAAATTTCACAGACTTCAGAACACTGAAGAGGTTGTTAGGCAGGAAGGATCAATGCTGTGTATGGTCTTGTATTATAGTGTTGAGCACAATAATGCACTACCCTCCAATGAAAACCTAGATCTGCCTCCTCGGAGGCTCAAAGTTTGAAAAGCTCAGCTTGTTTGTCTGGCAGCCAAAAAATTTCCACCAACCTTCCTGTTTGTTTGTTCAGGCGCAGCTGTTTAAGGAAATTAAAGTTGTCCAAACATGTCATTACACATCACCCCAATCACACTCATCAGCCATCGCAGCAGATGTGTGACCTCGTACCCTGTATAATGGTGTTGTAGGACACTGCCTCCACGCTCCGTCCGTCATTATAAAACGCCAGGTGCCACACCCCTGAGTCCAGGTACTGGATGAATCCGGCTTGGTGGACGGCAACCGGATGATCCAGGCGGGACCTTGTCTCAGGTTCGCTCGGAGTCCGATGCTCTTTAGCGATAAGCCGGCTGCCATCCAATAGCTCCACAAAGTCATACTGCAAAACAACACCAAGAGCAGATTCCAGCAGATGTAGATGACTGTTATTTTAACGTCAGTGTAATTAAATCAGGCGAAAGAGTTCAAAAAGTTTATATTTTCCTCTACTGGATGCTTTGTATGCAGCTTCTCTTGTGATTTCCAAACAGTCTGAAAGGAACTCTTCAAAGTTGTAATTCAAGAAGCAGGTTTGTGTACACGGCAAATATTCGAGTATAATAAGTGTTGATTTTTCGGTGACAGTTATTTGGAGTTGATAGATGTTGTTTGGAGAGTTGTTTGTATACTGATAGAGCTGATATGGCTCTGGGGCAAATGCTCAAAAGTTTTCCAAAAATATATTGTTAACTCTGATGGGAGTGCACTTAAGGGCCTCTGGCAATGTGTTTATCATGATCTGATAAATTAACCCTGATAGTGTACTCTGCAGATGCAAATACTTAGAATTCAGTGTTGGTCTATCTGCAAAGAATACAAATATAGAGATAAACAAAGTAAAAAAACTTCTTCAGTCACATCTACAGTACTAATTTAATAAATCAATGGTACACTTGATGGACCATCTGTTAAAACTGTTACTTATGTTTGGTGTGTTTTAATTGTTTAATTATTTGTTTTCAATTGATATGTTTTCCATGAAAAACACATACTGAGTGGATCCTGGTAAAATCAAGTAAACCGAAATGAAAATACAAAGTCTATAACTGATTCAAAGCAAATATGCACTTGTTGGTAAGGTCCACATACACAGTGCATAAACATTACATACAAAACAAACTATATACTGCATGTCAGGCTGGTGTTCTTTTTAAAATATGCTGGGAATGCAGCATAACAGTCCTTCTAAATATATTTTTCAAAACAAACATTGATTAAAGGGGTAAACAAGGAGTAACGACTCATTCCTGCCAAGAGAAACAAGTAAAGCGGTGCATCTGCTCTCTCTGCACCTGCTCAACACCTGAACCTCATTTTGACTGAGGCTGTAGGGTACAGAGCAGTGCAGAAGACAGTGTAACACATACCAACAACCCCCCAAACAGGCTATATGCTGCAGAGGAGCACAGCAGATGCTGACAGATCCTCTGGCTAAAGCAGTTGTTAGCTCCACAGTTGTACTGAGCCTATAGTGAAGACTGAAACGAGTCTGTGAGCTGCTTAGGAGTGTGGTGCATAAAGATTGGCACCGTAGCTGGCTTTTCAAAAGAGTCTGGATTTAAATCCAGCAATGAGGCTGTTTGCAGAGCGCTTTGATGAACTGTTTAGGCATTGATTTTTGATTGACACACAGTTGAGATGTGACTTCATTTAAATTTTGGACTATTGAGTTTTTAAATAAGTAGCATTTCATGTCAATTTAGGAAATACCTTTTTCTTTTTTTTTTTTTTTTAAAAAAAAGCAGCAGTTAAAAGTGACTGTAATGTTCCTCTACAATAGAAAGTTTCCTACTTCAGGAGGATATATATACACTGCAGTTGACAGGGTGTTCTCATGGTAAGAACAGCTCTAAACATGTTTCCAGTAATAAAAAGTGCAGAGAGAGAAATGGGGAAAAGGCAAAAGGTATATTTTTGTTCTCTCTCAAAATAAAATATGGGAAAAAATACATGTAAATTTTTTTTTTTTAATATATAGTTTTGCCCAAATCAAATAGAAAATAACTAGCCAAGTAAATAAATCATAAAACTACCAAGAGAAATTTCATGTTATTTTTAAAAGCCGTCTTATTCAACATATTTTTTATATTGAAACTGAATCAAACAACTCTGTTTGAATTTTTACCTAAATCCAAAATTTTATCCCAAATATGTAGCTGATTGTTTTGGTTTTATGGCTCACACATTAAGTATCACAACTCTCATCTACATAATTTCTGGCAGTAGCAGCTGTTTTCAGCATAAAAAAAAACAAAACAAAACTCTTATAAACCCACTGCATGCTACCTGTCCACCCAGCACCAGACAGCAGACAGACAAAGTTAACAACTAGCTGGTACCTTCTAGCCAGTAAAGAGCCACAAGTGGCTGGACACCAAACCAGTGCTACAGAAATATTGGACTTGCATATATCAACTCAAAATGGATGCTGGTAACTGGTTTAACAGTTATAAGCTGGGTCATATGTCAGTTCTTTTGTCCCCTAGTGGCGCTATATCAATTAATGTAGCTCTAAATCAGCATGTGTACAACATCCAGCCTCAGAGAAACCCAGTGGATTATAAAATTGTTGAAAGAACTAGACAAAAATACATTAAAATAGGATTTTGTTCTTTGGAATGTGACAAATGTGGACCCAAGCAATCTTTCAGTTGACTTGCAAACAACAGGAAAGAGAGCATTAAGCGAGGGGAAGGTAAAGTCAACACGGTGATTTAAACCCCTTTGAGTCGAGCAGGGGGCAGGGGAGGGATATTAACCTGGCGGAAGTTGACTTCTTTGTGTTGCCGGCTTGAGGGGGAAGTAATAAAACAGTTCGTCCCACAAGCCCTGAACCTCTTGGCCAAGTGCATACATCTCGATTAGCTGGTGTGAAAGCCCCCATCCCCTAACTCATCTCAATCCAACAATACCGTTGAATAACAGGCAGGAGACCAAGCATAGAGAAACCATCGGATGCCCCATGGACGGAGGAGGAACACTCAGAGCCTGTAAATTCTTCAGTTAGATTGAATGAACTTAGTCTGATACTTGATAACAACTGAGAACAAATTCCAGAGGAAAAAAAAACTACAAAAGTTTGCTTTCTAACTTGTTTGGTTTGTATCAGCAGAGACAGACATTCAATAGCAGATGGAGGAAGTCTATATTTGAGAAAGGTGGAAAGGCTGTTGTCTTGTCTTCCAAGCTGTGAATAAGACGAACAGTCAATATCTCTCATTGGGGTCTTTCATGCTCAGTTAAGTAAATGCATTGATTTGTGCCCCCAGTACCTGAACAGAATGTAATTTAGAGGTGGCCACAATGGAAAGGGTGTCCAGCATTGACAAGCTTGAGTGTCTGTGCAACAATTGCTGAAGACATAAAAGTAGTGTCTTGTTAATTAGTACCCTTTGGTCTTTGATTTTGTTGGGCTTCCTTTTTTCACCTTGAAAGTGCAATCCAACTCACTTGTTGTCACTTGCATCGGACTTTCTTCCATCAAAGAGTGGCCCTAACCGTCTACACTTGAGTGAAGCCCATCTTTACAAAGAGAGAATGTCAAGAAGGTGAAGCTAAGAGCTTTTGCAGTCAAGTGTGGTGGAAAATAGCCATTGTCTGAGTGCTTCCATCACCATCACCAGACATCGGACATTCGGATCCCCAGAAATGTCATTCAAGTGACACATCAGACATTTTGGAAACACTTCAATTTGCAAATGGCAGACATTTAGTGGGATGGAAAAGACGTACGTGCCCACACACAGGCAAATTGAAGCTGAGGGGAGAAAACTGAAACTAAACTAGTGCCCAGTTCCAATGCATACATGTCAGGAATCATCAGGACTATTTTTGTTTTTTACTTTATTGTACAGCTTTGATTCTGCTTAGAAACAAGCCTCTTTAGGACACAGTGAAAATGGCCTCTTCTCATGCTTCAAGCTGCTACAATCAATTTCATATGTCAACAGTTGGTCACATGGCTATGTTTAATGTGAAGCTAGTGATGAAAGTAGTGATGCAGTGATGAACCCACAGAGAATTATCATTAACTCTTCAGTTCCCCTCGAATCTACGGAGCGCTTCACCCTCTCTTAGGTTTTGGTTTCACAGCCTGCAGCTTTACTCTTTTGGTTCGGTCTCATTGCTCTCACCAGGTTCATTTCCACTTCTGCACTTTTTTTTGGTTTGTTTTGCATATTTTCTACATCAGTGTGTTTTCCTGTTGTTAGTGATAACATGGTCGGATTTAGAAGCTAAAGAGACAGATATTTCACTCAGGAGTTGGTGGAAACCAAAACGGAGCTAAAAAGAAAAGTCAATATTGTACTTAAACATGACACCACCACCAGCACATCTTCATAAGGTGATAAATATGTCAATGTTGTGTTTACTGCTTTTTAGCATCCCCAGGTAACCAAAGAAATACATAAACAATGCATGTTTATTGACACCATATTTACCTCCGTAATACAATGTAATTCCTGTTTAAAAAGTTTGTTGGGCAAGACATAATGCAGGTAGAAATCATTGCACACCCATGTGGAAAAGTATCTTAAGACAAAAGCTGTTAAATTTCATAGGAGAGGGTGGGTGGAATTAACATAAAAATAATGAATGCTTTTATCGGTTAGATTTTATGTTAGATTTTATACTCTCTAGTGCTGGATGAGGTTACCATAAAAGCAAGACCATGTAACTTCTCTAAACAACTGAGACAATGAATTTTCCATTATCTCTTAAAATATGTGTTTTTACTTTGGTGATAAAACCACTGAAATGTAACATAGCGTTAAACAGTAGCACAAGTAGAGAAAGGTCTTAAAAGCAGCTTAGCTATATATATATGTGTGTACACACACACACACACACACACACACACACACACACCTGCTAATTTTAGTTAACATTAGCTACCACCATGAGCTACTGGTCATACCAGACCAGGTAAGGCTGTAGCTGAAAAACCTGTCGCACTTTAAAGAGCCATCGTGTGTCCATGTCATAGTGTCTTTAATCTCACAGAGATTAACCAGTTTTAAAAAGATTTTTAAAAAGTCTTTACCTGCGTGTGAGATGGCGCAAGACCCTTTCGTCCATAGACTCCAATCAGTGCGTTCTTCTGTACCGAGATATTGAACTTGAGGAAGCGTGGTTGGTCCATGCTTAGTTGAGAACGCCAGAACACACCAGGTGGGACGCTCTGACCCACCCTCTTCCCTACGTCGACTTGTCCGGTATCGATTGAGTTGTTCTCCTGATGGAGCACACTAGTCCTCCCTAGAAGACAGAAACACAGCCCCATCCAGATTATGTAAGGTGTTAACAGAACCAGAACAACACAGTTCAGGTGATATGGTGCAAATCAGTCATCACAGAGCCTTTCATGGCACCTTCACACTTACATCTGAAATACAATCTTGGTTTTTGTGCAAGTCTTTGATCTTTGGATATCAGTAAATGCTGCATTCTATCTTTTTCTTTTCAGTGTAATCTTATTCCTTTAGTCAAGCAGGGACCTAACAATAAGATAGTCATATTTTTTCCAAATGAGCAGTGGCCAAGCAAGACAGGATTAAAAGTAATGGTTCCCTGTGGTCCATGATGCACTGCTCACCGAAAAAAAATGACCAGATATAATTGGCTTTTTATAAGACTCAAACAGGCCACATCTCCCATCTTTTCTCTGGTCGTGGTGACTCATAGAGCAGGGCTTCATATCAGATAAGGTCTAAATGGAATCTGTCAGATGTACTGTGCTACCTTGCCAGAGCAATAACAGCAAATCAAAACAATTTGGCGAATGATGTCCTTAAACTGTGTCCTTACAGCACCAAAGAGATGGAGGGATGGCCACTGTTAATATGACTCATGCTCACATGAAAAACTGTAGTCTGCGAGGTGTTATTACAAGAGCAGATTTTATTGTTAAGAAGAAAAATCTGGAAAGCATTTTGCAGTCATTGCCGTCTAAAGCTCTACTGTAGAAGGAGCGCAGCTGTGCTCCTTAATTTACTGCGGCAATGACTTTTAACTTGTTAGTTGGATGGTGCAGCGTCGTCCTGCAACATAATAACAACTCAACCTTTGCTCCTGCATCTTGTAAGAGGTATTTCAGTGTGTGGGCCTGTTTATACTGTAGCTGTGAGTGTATCTGTTTGTGCCAGGCCTCCATTATTTACATGCCTCGGTGTTGTGTGTGTAATGAGGCCATTGCCTGTCGCTTTAGCTTCAGTCAAAGTGAAGACTGGAAGCCAAGTTTACCTCTGGGGAGAATAATAGCCAGCTATTGATTGCCTTTAAACAGTCCAAAACCTGCCTCATGCTATCTTAATTAGCAGTACTTATGAGGATTTAAATCTAGCCGAGTTTAAACAATTGAGCTTTTGCCTGGCCTGCTCAACTCAATTAATGCTTTCGTGGCCGTGCATTCTAAATACCGCAGTGTGCTTAAAGATTAATTTGGTGGCTTTTGCTGTAAAGGTGAACTGAGATGGCCTGGCTGCTTGTTGTTGAATACACAATGGTCCAAAATTATGATTAGGCAGTACAAAGCTGTCTGGAATCAGTCGATTAATATTCAGAAGGTGAAAGATCTCAATAAACTCCAAAGGCTGACTGAGCATCGAACATCGTCATTCTGTCATTCAGGAGGCCAAATGGTTTGCTGTTGCAGTTTGTCTTTCATAATAGTCATTTGAACCTTTATTTGACTTAATTAGTTTGTATTGTGATGCTTTTAAGGTCAGCTGACCTTTTTTTGTTTTGTTTTATCTCAGCATTTAATTTCAAAAAGCAGTATTAACATAAATACATTCTTTTTCTTCTTTTCTGGCAGCCTGAGAGTATTTGCATATTTAATCCTTACGCTCTACTTTTCACTATTAAGTTGTTTAGTTTATTATTTTAATTTCTGAAAAGAACTTGACCCTGATGGCAAAATATATCCTCAAAAAGAAATGCCAAAAACCTTGACCAAAATATATCGCTAAGAAGGAAAGCCAACAAAAGACTAAACAGTATTAATCTGGAGCATTCATACAGTAAAAGTTGATTTAATCTTGACTAGTGATTTATTCAGATGTGAGTTTTTTTAATTCCTCACCGTCAGCAGCCAGAGCTGTCACTATGCTCGACTGAGTGGGCCCTGTCTTCCCAACTCCTCCGTTTTCAAAAGCCGGCTGGTTGTCCAACTCTTGGAGCTGCCAATTGAGGCCGAAAAGGTGCATTGCTGTGAAATACACAAAAAAGCTGCGTGGGCTTGTTGAAATGGATAAACAAATAAGCAAATAGTCGCACAAAAACAATCAAGCCACTTAAGCTCAAAAGACCCGTGGGAGAGCACGATGGATGGATCCAATGCAGAAGAAAAAAAACTGTTTAAACTTCCAACATTTCACTTCACATTTAGCTTTTTTTGCAGCTACTCTGCCATGGGTGGCTTTTGCGTAAACACAGCACTGATAGAGGCCAGCCAAAGTCACTTCAATCAATACTTAGGAACCCTGTTGCTCTAGCATGTTTCCTTGGGGAGTGCTGTTCATTAACGCGCCGCACAAACAGCAACTGTATCAAAGAGAGCAGCAGGCAGAATTTCTATTTTGACACAAAGCTTTCACTTCAGACAAGCAGAGGATGCGCCGAAAAAGCCTTAAACTCTCCAAGTCTAATACAAAGCAGGAAGGACACAGATACACAGCTACATGTGTGTGGAAAAGTAAGCGAGAAAGAGACAGAAAGTGAGAGACTTTTAAGAAAGTGTAAGGCAGTGTATTGAGACAGACAGTCGCAGCGGGGGGGGGGAAGTGAGAGGGTAGGATGCTGCAACACTCCTCTAGTTCTCTTACATAACTAAACTGTGTGCAGCTTTCATTCAGCAAACCTGCTTTATTGTCACAGTATTGGATCCAATCAAACTGTGTTCTTGTTGTTTTGGGAAACTGAGGTGCTTCTGTGAACGCAGCGAGAGGGCCAATCTCCTTCAAAGTCGCCAGCCAGGGAACATGCTGAGGAAGCATCTTGATTTCCGACCATTTGATCTGCGGGAGAAACTTTTCTCTAACACCCGTTGCTCACTGGGAAGATGGATATCGACTGCAGCAAATAACTTGAGAGGTGTATGTGGAGCCGTGGAGAATATTAAATGTGAAGGAGGCCAAAAGAAAGATGGAAAACTAGCATGGACAGTGCATCAGTAGGTACTTTGTTAAGAAATAAGGCTTGTGTTTTGTTTAAAGCCTGTGGATGAAGATATTTGGCATCAGTTTAGTGACAGCACTATCCTTGGTAGATCGGATGAACAGGTGCTCCATAACCTTGAATTCCAATTAAATAACGCAGGTGTAACATTGAGTGACAATGGTTGGCTACCCGGTAAGTTCATCCAGCATCACCCTCAGCATCAGAATCAATTTTCTTTCCTGGTGAAGCAAAAACCAGCAACATCCCCAGCAGCAGAAATGAATGCTGACTGATCCATCAATATTTTTGACAAGTCTGTCTTTTCTAAACACCCTGAACGGACTCATCTAACAGAGCCTTTAAATGTGAAAACCAGCAAGATCTGTGCACCTTTGTCTCTTTTTTCTTTCGTGTATTTTCTGCATCAATGGGTTTTCCTGTTGTTATTGACAGCGTGGTCAAAAAAAATAAAAAACTCTTCTGAATCTTCACCAGATACAGATAATTCTCAGTACAGATCTACTAATGTACTGGCAACACAAACAGACACAGACAAAACTATGCAGTTTAATGTAATTGGCCCAGAATCAGACCTTCAGATCAGATTATCTATAATATTTTCTTTTGCCTTCTAACACTGAAGCACACTGTATATTCTCCTTGGCCTCGTTAAACTGCAAAAGTCCTACTTTGTAAGTACCAACTTTTTCAAACAGCACCTTGTGGTAAATACCTCCAGTTCTTAGACTAACATGTCGATGGCTTTTAACTGAGTGAGAGTCCTGAAAAAACACCGTGTGCTGAGCTGGAGCCTAAATTGAGAGGATAAACTGAGGACATCGAGCATGAACCCGAAGTGAAACATCCTCTCCACGGAAAAAAAAGAAGAAGAAAAACAAAAAAAAAAAAGAAGTGACACCTACTCTTGCAAAACGATTGACAGCATAAAATTGAAAGCAGGTTAAAGTATTACTTAAAAAATAAAATGTAGCATAATCTTTCATATGACAAAACCTGTATTTTGAAAATTAGCATTAAGTATTTTAGAAAATGAACCTTTTTAATGCTGAAAGAGAAATCTGTCTCTAAGCTGACTAACAGAACACAGGACACCAAGCTTTATCAACACTCACGCACGCTGTTATGGGTAAAAGGATGGATGAGATAAATGAGTAATATTTACCAGGTTGACCATATTAGTTTAGCCTGTAAGCATGCTAACATTTACTAATTAGTGTTCACACATATAGTCATACAAATTAAATTATAACTTTAACCCAATGACTAGATGAAAAGTCAGGGGATCACCAAAGTTACAAGAATTTATCCTCTGGAGACCTTGAATGTCTGATTTTCCAGATATTTCACTCTGAACCAAAAGCCAAAAAAAGAAAGAAAAAAGAGAAAGCGTCCTTGTCTAAAAAACTGCTTTTTTGTAGACTAGTTAATTTAAGATGATAAGGTCAGAGACTCCCCTCAGCTTAATATTGGTCACTCCTGACTTTCCCAACTTTCCAGGCCACAGCAGTGGGCTCTTGTAAATCTGAAACACCACACAACCACAGAGAGCCATCCCCTCTTCACTGTTCTTGGTACAGCGGCTCATCAACAAACTTCTTTGAGGTGAATAGCCCTCCATTTATAAATTTGCATAAGTTATTCCTGCAGCCTAGGCCAGTTCAAATTAATATTTATGGGCCATGAGCAATTCTCTTCTTAGGCAAGTTGCTGAAAACGTTGGCCTCCAAACTCTGATGTCAAAATCTGCCCCGGTGGGCATCACCACTGACGATGAATTGGAGGTTGAATTTGTAAGTTCACAACATGTTAGTTTGAGATCTGACATCCATGTGGTATCTAGTGTACAGAGGCATGAATACTTCTGCCTGAGCAAATTCCCCCATCTTGTTCACATCATTTTTGGTGGTGTTGTTAACCTGGAAAACACTGTGCTAATTATGGTACAGATGAAATTTGCACCTCTTCTTTATAGTAAAAATAAGAATTATTCGGCTAAGCTAACTAACTTGAAAACATAAATGGGTAGAAAGTGAAAAAAAAAAAAAAGGTTTCTTGTTAAAATATGCAGATGACACTATTCTGATGACCACCGTCACCAAGAATAATTAGTCCATTTAACAGTGAGAGAGGTGGCCCATCTGGAGTCCCGGTGTGCCAAAAACAACTTGGAGCTCTACAGCTTTAAAATTATTGAGATAAACATTGTTTTATGCTGGAACCTGCCTGCACATCTCTCCAGAAACTTCCCCGGGGGACTCCTGGAAATAAGCCGCACAGATCAGAGCACGGCTAAAATGTTTCTGTTCTGTGGGATGGTATCTGTATCAAATGGAGTAACAGCATCTGTACCATAAGATTGACCAAGACAGGGTTTGCTCATCTTGTCCTTTAGTTGGGTGAAGGAACCCCCCCCCCCAAAAAAAAAAACAAAAAAACAAACACTCATCATTGCTGAGTGGAGCCACCTGTATCATCTACTCTTCTCTGGTAACTGGTAGGGCCATTTTTACATCACCATGCCCACCATGTCAACAGTTCATTGCAATCACTTTAATCAACAAGCCTTCACTGAAAAACACATCAATAACCCAAAATTGACTGATTGCCTGATATTTATTTAGTTTTTGATAAAAAGTCTCAGGGAAATTTATTTCATCCTAAATTAGAAATCTGTGAAATGCACTTTTACAGAAAAACAGGTGATTCATGCTTCGTTTAAACCACATTTTTAATTAAAACATTCCTTATATCTGTCTGACATTTTTGAAGGCAAATGTCAGACAAAGAGAGTCTGTCATCTTCTACTTAGAAATATTTTTGATCAGACATATTCACTGAGGACATTGTTCACACTCACTTTTGTTTGTCCGGTTCAATTTAAAGTGCATTTCCAAAAATCCACATGCTATTTCTGCATCCAGTCGGAGCATCAAAGCTGGACTCGGTCCTGATTGGCCTCCCTATATCTGAACAATCGCTGAAATCCTTCCAATCAGGCAGTTTGCAGAAGTGGAGCTGGAAAGCCTCACCTCAGCAGGTTTGCCTCATTTGAATTACAGGAGCTGCTATTGTCAGTCAGCCACGGTCCAGTTCTGCGAGTGTTATGTGCGCTATTCTTTAGATTTATTTGATAAGAAAAAACAAAAAAAAAACAAAAAAAAAAAAACATTTTATCTGATCTATTTGTTTATAGAATATCAGGAGGTATATTCATCTTACCCTGAGCTGCTACAGAACAAAACAAAAATGGAGTTATATGGTACAGTAAACTTCAAGCACAATACCATTTTGGTACTGGTCTGCCTGTATTTGTCTTTGAGTTTGTCTTGGTACTAATGGGATTATGCGAGCTGACAGTAGGAAAGTATTAAAGTATGAGTGCGCGTTGTAGCTCCTTGAGTCATTGCACCTGGCAGGTAAATTGGCGGCGAATGAAAGAGAGAGGAGGTGGTTGAAATACACTCCTGAGGCAAGTGGCAGAGGGCTGCATCTGTTAAACTCTCTCACTCACACACACACACACACACACACACACATATATACACAGCAAGAGAGAGAGAGAGCTTAAGCACCGGGGCGCATTCTGGAATCAGGCCAAAAATACAATTCCCAAACATCCGACAGGTCTACAATTAAACAAGTTGGTGATTGTTGGGATGAAAATGTTGTAAATGAATCCAATCTGCTAGAACTGTAGTGACAACAGCTGAACAAATGACTTGTTTCTGCTTGTTTTCTCTGTGTAAACCGAGCATATCTGTCATGAGCAGAAGCACAAATAAAAATAGCAACTGATTCCTACACACAGAGGAGCAGTTAAGTTATAAAATGTATGTATATATCCATACTAATTTTATGATATGAGATCATGAACGACAACAAGCAACAAAAACAGTTAAGTCAATAAAGGGATTGTGAATATTGATAGTGATACAGCCCATTTATGACCTCTCCTCCAAGAGAGCACTCCCCTCTCTATTCAGCAATAAAACACTGGTTATAGGATCTTCCCAACAACGCCATATTTCTCCTTATACAACTGTGTCACATTTCCCCTGCCTCCAAGCTGCATGAATACTTATATATCCGCTCAGGGAGAAAGGTTCAGTGTAAAGATTAAGGGCTTGGATGACAAGGGAGGGCATAAGGAGAGATGAATCTGTAACGGGTTTATTGCTGTGGTCAAGATTCTAAAGGTTAGCAAGAAGTCAGCTTTGACACACGCTGTAAAAAATGTTCGAAAGCTCTCTCATAGGAAATAATGCCCAAAGGAGGAGGCAGGGAGAGGATGAGCATTAGTTTATCTTCCTGGCTGAGATAAAAGCATTTCCTGTTTGACAGAATGAGCAAGTTTTGGTTCAAGTACAACAAAGGCGGTGTGGACCAAGGTCTTCTTTAAAGTTCAAGTGCTTGGGACGGTTTCCTTTGTTACGAGTTCAGCTCCTCAACTTGTGTTTCATTTTGACGTTGCCATCTGTGCTGGCCATTTGAACCTCGCTGTCTGTGTTTTAACAGGAGCCCCCAAGGACGTGAATTGGCTGTCGTACTGTGAACTGTGATCAGAAGTGCGGGGATGATGCACAGCCGCTGTCAAAGGGAAACAGAAAGGAATGCCTTGTTGGAAACTGTACCGGGGCCATGTCTGCATATCTGACTGGGAGCTTAGTCAGACAGACGCTACTGAATCATATCAGGACATCTGCAATTTCTGCAAAAAGGAAAAGGCAGTGAAATAGAAATACTCCTGGCGGAGATCAAACTTCATACAGATTAAGAGGTATGCTGGCTCCATTCACTCCAGGCAGCTTGTCTATCATCTGTTTTGTTTGACCAAATGACATGTCTAAAGATTGTCTAATGCCACCACAGATAATGGAGTCATGTTTTCTCTGACTAAAACTGAAAGAAATAGGTTGCTTCTGGCAGAGAAACTACTGGTTTTCATGTACTCGCCTGACAGCTTGTTCTGCACCTCCATGTTAGGCAATAACAGTAAGTATTAGGTGGCAATATTTATGTCAAAGCCTGAAAGTATAGTTAATATTGTCAGGCTAGGTGGTTGATTTCTTTCAAACTTACAATAATAACATGTCCCCAGAAAAAAAAAAGTCTGGTCATGCCAGACCAAATTGCAAACTGCCCCTCCAGAGAATCAGAGGGGAAGCTCTGGTCTAAGCCCACAGCCAGTACAGATGTTCAGCCTAGAATATCTGGTAACGTGAGACAAGATTTTCACCTTCTGAACTTTTTCCAGATACAATCACAGACTGAACCTTCTAAGAGTGAGGCTTTGAACTGATGAGTTAAATGTGTTTTCATATGTACAGATGAAAAACCAAGAAAGCAAAGAGATGAGAGGAAAATCCTGGTGTCTGTCAATGATTGAGAGAAAAACATGAACAGATCTGTGGGTCCAAATCAAACCTCGACTCCTTCTCTGCAAGTCCACGTCAAGTTATATGATTTCATAAGCAAGTTGCAACTCAAGATGCAACATTTTCACATCAGAATGTTGCCCTGGATAAATGGCTGTTTTAAACTGTGTTTTTTTTTCCACAGGACATTACAATATCACAATATAACCCAGTCCTACATTTTGAATGCTTTTGAGTCTCAGGTAAGGTTAAGTCTCAGGTAAGTCCAGACTCAAGCAGTCAAGTAAAATGCTAAATGAACTGCACTTTTCTAGTCTTATTGACCAGTCAAAATGCTTTACAAAACTAGCCACATTCACATAGTCAGTCATGCATCACACCCATACACACACTTATACACTGATGAAACAGCTGTCACACAATTTGGGGTTAGGTATATTGCCCAAAGACACTTCGACATGAGGACCGGAGGACCACACCACCTGATTAGTGAACAACCCGCTTTTGAGTCACAGCTGCCCCCAAGTCTCACATCCCAATTATTTGTCACCTACTACACAGTAAGTCTGACTCTGGAGATGTGTGTGTTTAAAAGACACAAAACTAGGTTGTGTAATTCTCATTAAAGTGATAATCTTAATAAATTCTCATGCGCCTTATCTTGTTACATGGCTGTGTTGGTGATTTGAGAAAAGATAAATCAGTGAAAACCACATTCCAAAAGCTTGCATAGTCTAAAAGCCAGCCTTACCTATGCAGTAGCAGAGAATGATGGACAGCACCACGGCTATGCCAACAGCGATCAGGGCGGTGCACTTCCAGGAGCAGTGTTTAGGTGACTTCTTGAACTTGAAAGCCCCTCTGGACAGGCTGTTTCTGGGCAGAGGGCGTGCCGGTGTGGAGTAAACCGTCCCCGTTGCCATGGTGTAACCAGGGGCTGCTGCGCCAAAGAAAGGTGTCGTTCCTGTGCCCGTTTTAAAAAGAAAGTGCCTGCAGAGGGGGAAAAAAAGAGATAGGAGAACAGCGTATTAAACAAATGGCTATAAAAAGAGTGATGGTTGAAAACAGCATCTGTCAGATGTCTGATCTCTGAAACTGCCAAAGCAGCCCTGTCTCCTAGAAATTACATTTCTGTACAACTTATCTGCAACAGGAAATTGAGAGCAGATTACAATTTCTATCAACCTAATGAGGAAATTTTGGTAATTTCAATATTTGATAAATCACAAATATGTTGAATGAGTTGAATGAATTTATCAGTAAAGTGTTCCCAGAAAATGTTTTTTTCTCCCCAAAACATCTGATCTTGCAGCATAATGTGCAATTGTAGTGACTCACAGCACCTGGTTAAAGTTAGTGAAAGATCGGGGTCCGGTTTAATACAGAAAAAGTTCACAGTGACAAACCATATGATCGTGTAACTCCTGTGTGTATTAGACTGCAAGAGACACTGGGTTATATTCTAATATCCAGTGTAATCCTGACATTGGAAAAGGTTAACAAAAAGTACCTCATAAAAACAATCATCTCCCACTTGCCCTTTTACAACTGGGCCTTTGCTAATAGCCCATTATACCTGGGGTAATTAAGAGGGTTTAATCAAATGCACTATGGAGTGATCGTCCTATTAACTTTTAAACCCCACGTGAAAAGCTCTTAAGTAAATGAATTAAGCCTTGTTGCCACTCTTGCCACTACTTAGAGATTAATACCCAAATGCCTCCAGGCTTATGGGGACGGCCAGGGAAATTGGACAGACTGACCATGCATTGCAAATGCTCTTTCAATCTAGAACTGTAGAATGTCATTGCTGACACTTTGTACATTTTTGATAAAAAATAAAATTATTATAAATAATAAAACTATATTGTAGATTACCGTTAAGTACTCTTTCTGTATGTGTGGGTGTGTGTGTGTGTGTATGTGTGTGTATTTGACTTTTTTTCTTTTTCAGATGATGGATAACTCTAAATTAAATTAAAGCTAAATTAAATTCTTAATCAGGAATGCTTTGGCCATAAAATAAGGTGTGTGCTAATTATTAACACTAATAAAAAAGAATAGAGCAAACTAATTGTATAACCTAAGCTGTATTACTCAGCTCATGGTTGCTCTGCATGAACATTCTCCTTCACACTCACTGTTACACATACAAATTATACCCAAGAGTATCTCCCCAGTGCTGACACTGTCATATCTTTATAACTGGAGCAGTTCAGGGTTGAATGTCTTGCTGAAGAGCACTTCAATCGAGGGTAAATAAAGTCAGTCAAGTGCTACAAATTCACTTGCCAGTCCAGGTTTACGCCCCAGTGATCTGCTGTTAACAAAATAAAAGTTAAAAATGCTTTATAAACTGGGTGAGGTTTATAAAGAGGTGAGGTCAACCACTAACACAATAAAACAAACATTTACAAAGTAATCCAGGAATAAAAAACAGACTCTCAAAGCAGCAAATACTTGAGTAAGAGTGGAAATACAATTAAATGTCACGATAGGTGCACAAGATCATGAAAACCTTTTTTTTTTTTTGAGAGAGGAAGGACCAGAGAAAGCACAGTCCTCCCCTCCTGCTCTGGCATCCCCCAGTTTCTGTAACAACTCTCACACAACGTTTTAAACAAGTTATGTTTTATATGTTCTGTAGATCTCAGGGGGAGTGGGTTGCTATGGTAACTGCTAATTTAAATATACCAATAAACTGATAATGCAGTGTTGGCTCATCAATTATTTGTACGGCATCTGTGAAGTCTCCATGTAAGTTTTGTAAAGGCTTTTTTAATCCCGACTGTGAATCTCTACTAAAAGAGCCTGAGAACGGCTAATTAGTGTAATAAGAACATAATCTAAAGCTGAGCAGTCAAGGACTGAAAATCCATGCAGTTCCCTGGTTATGTGGTTGGAGCGGTGGGTCAACAAGCTTCAGGAAAGCTGTGAATGGACCTAAAAACAGTTTCACCAACCTATGATATTCTTTCATTCAAACAAAATTTTTGGTAAGTGAAGGTAATCATGTATTAGCTGAATACAGTTTCAACAGATGTCAAAGGGGGTCATTGCTCGGATTTCAGTCCCGCCGCTGATATTTCAGCTCCTTCCATCTCCTGAGAGGATATCTTAGAGCTAAAACCCCCTCTGATCAATTCTTGACTAAAAGAACAAATGTCAGATTTGGATCGTCTGGCTCCTTGATGCCCCGATTGACACATGCTGTCATGGACAGACAGGGACTCCATTTAAAGGTTACGGTGTGTCACCGCTGGAATGACAATGTTCCGGGCGTCTGCAACCTGAAGAAGTTCAGATTTCTCAATCTGGAACAATCTGTACTGTAGCTGCGGCAGACTCTGTAATATGCAGTTGGGTATGAATTGAGGTCAAAACGTGCACAACGTTGGAGGCGGCAGACGTGTAGTCAGACACACAGGCAAATAGACACTACTATCTGGGGAGTTAAGTGTAAGTGGATGCAATCTGATGAGGCAGACAGGAAGGGACGAGGACGTGTGTGTTTGTGTATGCGTGCGTCGGGAGGGGTTTGCACTCTATTTGAGGAAGGTGAATAGCTATTGCGAGTTGCGGAGATGATCTGGAGGCAGTTTTGCCAGTAAATAAATGTCTCAAATATACCTGTACTCTAATTTATGCAAAGACATGACTGCATAACGCTCTCATAGGCCTCCAAGTCAAAGACGCCTGAACTAAAAACACATAAAGGCACATGTGTAGAACTGCAGTGCAACAGAAAACTTAGTAGTACTGAAAATAACATAAACAGCAACATAACGTTAAAAAAAGAAAGAAAAAAAAAAAAAAAAATCAAGGAAAAAATATATCAATAAATATTTACATACATAAACGAATCATAGAAGAGTGTTTCTTGGTACGATGTAGCTGATTAAACAATCCGAATGCACATATAATTACTGGAAACATATGGCACGCAATGGGTGGTTCAAAGCAAGATAGTCAGTTATATTCCAGTCATTTCTATCCAGTCTGCTTTGTACAAATCTCAAGTGAAACTAAAAGTCAGAACCTGTGTGTACCAGCGTCAGACACAAATTCCTACACTGGACATTTATTGCTCGGCTTTAAAGTAATTCTGGTGCTGATGTTTTTCATGTCGCCCCCTCCTCTCCACCCTTTTTTTTTTTCCTCTAAAGAGCAGACTGAAGGGGTCTAAAGATGAAATGCTGTTGGACATGATTAACAAACAGCAGACCAGTGTAAATGTCTGCGGCTATACACATTGGATGACCGGCTGTAATTGATTACAGCCAGTGTGATGCAACAAGGCACATTACTATGCTAATCCAGCCAGCCCTAGTGATAGCAATGTATGCTGTGAGAGAGAGGGAGAGAGAGAGACAGAGAGAGAGAGACAGAGAGAGAGAGAGAGAGAGACAGAGAGAGAGAGACAGAGAGAGAGGGGGAGAGAGAGAAAGGGAGAAGAAGAGACAATCAAGAGAGTGTGAGACGAAAGCGAGCAAATGAATGGCTACGTGTCAGTGTGATCGCAGTGTGTTTGTGTGCACGCCTGTCTGTCCCATTGAGAAGCCCGTAACACAAAAGCAGCAGCCAGCCCGGTCTCCTCTGCTCTCACAACATTGCTTGTCATCAGGATGACATTTGAAAACATCCTCACAGAGGACAAAAGACTAAACAGTGAGTGGGTGGATTTGTCTACGGCTAAGCTCCAGCTGGAGGGGCAAGGGAGCACACTAGAAACAATGCAAATCGCAGCCCTCAGAATACGTAATCTGCCTATTAGCTGCTGTTCTGTGTTAGCATTAGCATTTCAAGGTGAGAGCTGGAATAATCAGACCGCTTTAATCCACGGTCTGAAAAAAGAAAGAAAAAAAAAAAAGACTACAGATGTTGTGTGGCATCACAGTGGCTGGTTTTCACACTCGCTGCCATCGCCGTCGCTCTCCCCCAGATCACCACCTGCCCTCACGACAGGGGGCCTGTTAGCAGGTGCTATTCTGGTACAGCTAGATCGGTACTTGTGTGATGGTATTTCGGCACCGACGCTCTTATTCGTGCCGTCCTGCCCACAATGATCAGCATGGTGCCATCTTGAGTCACTCCCTCCGAGTGCTTAGAATATTTGCACGTGGAATCGATTATATTTAACGGATTTGATTGGGGTTTGGCATAAGAAGAGCTCAGCCGTTATGTAAACACGTTTAAGATGCGGCTATGGAGTCTAACTCTAGGCCTGAGACAGGAGCGAAATCTTGAGGGACAGTTCAGGTGAGGACATGTTCCACTACAAGCTGAATGCTGGTGTATTTTAGTTGCCGCAGGTTAAACGTGTGATGTATTTTTTTATATGAATTACTCTTCACTATCTATACTCTGTTCATGAAAGCGTTTTCATTCGCTGGCAAAAATCATCTGGAACAGATGCACTTCATGTTGCCAGCAGCAGCAGCAGCAGCAGCAGCAACAGTTTATACAGTAGTCTAAAATAAGAGAAAAATATTACAGGACTCTGGAATCATCACAGAAATGTGTGCCTGGCATGAAAGATGTTGGCAAAATAAACAAAAAGGAAAACACATGAGAAAGAGAAAAAAAAACACGTCTTGAGGATTACCACTTTGTCTACACCACCATCCACTTTGGCAGGTAACCAGCCATCACTGGAAGCTCCTTTCTTTTCCAAAAGGCTAGTTGGCTGGCGCCTTACACATGACTAATCAGTCCTGGTGCGATCCTGAAACTGCGGCTGGTGCACAAAAAAAAAGTTCAATTTTCCTCCTCTGATGGGAAGCATGACTGTCTGACTCATGATTTACATGCACATCCCGCACAAACAACTCCCCCCACACACACACACCTCTCACACACTCACACTCACACTCACACACACACACACACACACACACACACACACACCTCTCACACACACACACACACACACACACACACACACACACACACACACACACACACACACACACAGACCAAATCCTACTTGGATTACCTCTGCTATTCTTTTTTGCCCCCGAGAACAATTCTAACACATTTTCCATCAGGAAAATGTACTGTCTGTGGGACACTGTACCACATGATGATTTTAGAGCTGAGACATAATTTCATTTCACCAAAGGACTCCCTTGACACATGAATCCAATGAGGATTGACAGTACATTTATAACTGCAACGTGTGGCTGGGCAGGCCTTCAAGAGACTCATTCTCAAATGTCATAACGGCTGTGCTAGCTGAACCTCACTGAGTGAAAAAAAAAAAAAAAAAAAAAAAGTGCTGAAGTGGGCGCCAAAGGACATACATATGTAAGACCAGACACCTACCTGTATCGTATCCCGTGGAGCACTTATAGAGCTTATAGCAATATACACATTTCACACATACTGATGTAGTCTTTCTTAAACAAAGGATTAAGTACCGCTTGAGAATAATTACCGTATATGTGCAAATGGTCTCTTAAGGGACATGGCGGTTCATTTTATAATGAAATTGAATGGAATATTTTTAATTGAAAATTTCACCAAATACTCTTCGAGAGGAGCCAAGTGGTTAGTGAGGGAACCCTGAGGGATTTATTAAAAGTACTCCACACACTTTAAAAGATCTAAATGTCTCCTGCACTTCTGAATAGCAACGAACAGCAGGCAGCCTCACTGCTCTGTTTCCAACTAATTGAGCCCTTTAAATGGAGTGATCTTAGTAGCATAAAGCACAACAAAAGCTGAAGGAGGTTGATTTCATAGGTTTATCTTCAATGGAAAACCTGCACCGTGAAACTAGACTGTTCAGTGGACAACTCCCAGTAAAGAGTCATGTCATGTCATGGCATCAGATGGTCGCCGATCCTGTCCGCCATCATCTCACTGAAGTTTGTGTTTCTGTTAATTAGAGATCAAGTATAAATGTCAATGGCACCAATAGATATGGATGACTTTTTACACTGTATTTGTGTAGTTGTAATACTGCCTAATGTCACTCTCATTTCTCTGATCTTCTGAAGGAGGCTTCACTTATCTGACGCTTATGTTTGATGCTTTTAAACTGCGGGAGTAAATGAGCTGAAATCAAATTTGATGTCTTAACACAGCTCTGACAGCACGATCACAGTGGGATCAGTGACTTTACTCACTTGCCGTGTTACAGTGAGCAGTAGTTACACTAGTAGTGACCGAGTGCAGCACTTCACTCATTTAGAAGAACACTGAAAGCTATTCACTGTGAAAGCTAGTTGGTACCAAGTCAAATTAGCACACTCGCGCTTTGAAGACCAACACTTTTATGGGAGGTTACACACACATTATTCATTACTGCTAATTGCTGTAAAAGTAGCTAATGCTGTCAAATGAGTGCTTTATTTTCAAGGAGGCCATGTCAGAGGAAATATATTAAGCAAGATCATAACATTGTGATTTATATTTGACACTTTTTTAATCAACTGCCTTGTACAGAATAATTTACTGTCTGCACATGTGACCACGTCTGATGTGCTGCATGAGGAATAAAGTGCATGTTGATGTTGAGAATTCAAGAGAGATTCACACCCCTGCTGAACCTGAGGCCTCTTGCATATGTGCTGTGCCAGGACTTTGCTCGCCCAAAACCCCCTGAAGGCAGCATAATAAATACTTTCTGGAGCTTCTGTTTACATTTCCCAACCTGGTGGTTTTCTTGACATGTGCAATTATGTGGTGAACTGGGTCTTCCCTTTTGGCCCCGTTGGTTCACAGCAGCCCTCTGTTCCCACCCACTGACAAGCACTTGATTTAGAGTCCACTGTGCTGATAGTGATTTATGCCTCACTTGATGATAGGTGTGCCCATATTGTTTTGTCGATACGGCTAAGACAGCTCAAGGTCATGGCGCGGTTAGTATTCAATCACCGCATCTTCCAGAGAAAGTGAAACTGTCACCACATATCCCAATTGATTCAGTCAGATCATAAGAGGCTGTTACTTCATGCTGCCACGGACAAAATTCAAAGTTTACATTCATCTAGGGCTCAGGAAGGGTACGCCGTGCCAGGGAAATATCAGGCGAGAACGCAATCATTTACTCGAGGCCATTTCTGAGTCGGAGCGCAATGTACCACACTTCATTAGCCAGGATATTTTGAGCTCACTGATTAAGAAAGATGTAACTGATGTTTCAGGAGGGAAACTTGGCAGTGGCTCTTATGACAAAGTGGTATCTTGCACAGCAAATTTTGATATAACACACACTCTGCTTCCCAAGTTTCTTCTGAAGTTATAGCCTGTCTGATTTGAACTGGTGAGATCTCTGATATTCACATAGTTCACTCTAATCATGCACTCTCCTTCTGAGTGTAGGTCTGTCTAATTTAGTAATCAGCTCCTAATTGTAGGTGCATACAAGAAGCGAAAAAAAAGTTAAAAAAAAAAAAAAAGTTTAAAAAAAAAGAGCACTTAGCAAAATTATTCTCAAAATAGGAGAAACTAATGCTTTTATCAAACTCAGTGGTAACTATATTATTGCATGCAAAAACTATGGCATAATAGTTGAGCCTGATGAGATGTAGTCCTTAAAATGGACCTAATAAAGAGACACTCTTAAATATTGTTATTATCCAGCTGTGTTTGGTGGACTAGAGCTAAACTTATTAACAAATTCATCAGGTTTTAAGAATTATTAGTATAGTAAGTAAGTAAGTAAGTTTAATTCCCAGTATGTTCCACAGCCTCCCTAGTTGTTGGCAGCACCACTGTTGTCTTGGGGAAGGTGGAGACTTCCATGAGACAACCATCAACCAGGAGACTACCAAGCCCCCAGCTCTGTCTTTTACCACTGAACTTCAAACCTGCCTACATGGGTGATACTTACTGCGCACTTCCCTGACACTTTAGCTCATAGTTTGTGGTGGAGCCACAAAAGCACAAATATTAATCAATGCTTCAAATTCATGTTTCTAAACAAAAACAAAACCCAAACTGCTGGTTCAGTCATGACTGAGTGAGTCACTGAGCTAATGAGTTATAAAATGAAAACTTGTTAAAAAAAAAAAAAAATTAAGATACCGTATTTAGTGTTCAGTTTAGTTTAGTGTATTACATTGTATAAAATTTTGGCATATGCAAATTCTTGGAATCAAAATTTTCATTATTTCATTAAACTTAACTGAAATTTCTTAAAGGCCCCCGCTCATTTGTTTCACATCATTTTGCTTTCTGAGTCAGTGAAGATGGCGTCATGACAACGCCTGAATTTCCCAGTTCTGTTGTAGGTCATTGTGGGTCACTCACCTGCTCTCCAGGGCAACATTGCTGCCCAGGACCCAGCTGTCCTGCAGCTGGACGCATTCTGCCGTACTCTGCAAGTCGGCCGCCAGGCCGGCTGTGGGCGGCGGGCTCGGGCTCCTCTGATTGGCCAGTGAGCTGCGGCTCAGGGACGTGATGGACGGATGCTGCTTGTGTGGGGGCGGGGCTGGTGGGAGAGGTGGTGGGCCTTGCTGACTAGACAGATGATCACCTGAAGAGAGGCAAAGGGGAAGAAATATCAGAATGTTATTCTTAATAGTGGCAAAATCAAAATGCAGTAATCTATTCTGCTGATTCAAAGTACACCCAGAGATAAGAGACTGGATTGCTAAAAGACAGCAGATGGGTAATATTATGCACCTGTATGCAAGATATGACAGCATACAGACACCTAACAGACCCAGAAAAGTAAATACAACCAAGAGCAAGACATTAAAATGAGATGCAACCACTGCAAAAAGAAGGGAAATAAGAGCTGCTTTTATGGCGACACACATAATAATTGTCGCAAAACGCCACGCGCCTGACAGTTGGGTTCTCTTAAACAGAAGGTCACTTAGAGAGGCAGCTGTTCCTTTATGGGCGCTTAACGCGATGTTTCACGTTTGATTACAGCCGGAGAAGACTCTCAAATAACTAATGACCAGAACATCCATTAGAGCTCTGAGAGAACAGGTTTTCCAATTTCACACAAAGCTGTGTAATTGGCCCCCAGAATGGCATGTGGTGATTATCTATCCATCTTCCCCTTTTAAAAAGGTAAAAACCCACAGTGCTGACAATTCTGATTTGCTCCAATGAGCCCCAAATGGGTATCGTCTTTCTTTCCTCACAGAGGCTTAGAGAAGATTGAGAAAGCTGGGAGATGCGTCTTTTAGGAGCTGTTGTTGTTTTTGCATTGACAGCATGAATTTTTATAAAGCCTAAAGGAGTTAAATTTAGAGCATATGAACGCTGAAGGTTGGATCAGGTGCATGATATAACCTTTGTTTTCCCAACCATGCATAAAGACCTTGTCGCCACGGAACAAAACCTGCTCTATGCTATTGGCTGGGCAGAGCAACTTTATTGAAAGGACGTTAGTCATTGTTTGGAAAAGAGCCTTTAATGACCAAGCAATTTTTGTCCTTCACTATGTGCTTCTACTTTTCAGTGTGCCCTTCAATGCATAAAGCAAGCTGTTTGATGTAGACAAATGAGCCTTGACTCTGGTTCCACAGTGGTAGGAGGAAACATCTATGCCATTCAAAGCCACAACATCATTTCCAACGCTTTGAGGTAAAAACCTTAAGGCTACTGCACATGCAGGCTATTGGTACAACTGAAGATCACCTCTCTCATATTCAAACTAGGAATATATCAGAAATATATATTGTAAGAAATACTGTGAGACTTAAACTGCTCTCCGCTGGTTGTACCAATCGTTTTTGTGACTGATTACTTGCATTTTTTTCAATAACAGAATACTTTAGACAAATACACATTGATACTGTTGACATATAAGGGTGAATAGTGGAGCATGGTCAAGAGAGTCAAGGGTGCTCAGTACTTGTGCAGAAGACCAGACTAAGATTAATTGATTCCTGACTGCAATTATACAGCAACAGCATGGCTATAAATACAATAAAAGCAAAATCATCAGGAGCAGATGAAGGTTGTTTTTTCCTCCCTTTTTTTGTGGACTGTGATTAGACTTGGATCAAACCCAATCAAATATGATCCCTTCATAACCCCAAACCACCTTGTGCGAAGTCAACTCGGAGTCCTCACACATGAATTACCCGAGATCAACTGTGGTATTGGCATTTGAAAAATATAAGGCAGCCATGACTTAGTGATAATGAATACAAGACATCCCACTCATCTCTTGGGCTAGACTGTGAGCCCTATTAGAAAAGTGCTAAGTAGGCTAATAGAAATGTGGATTATCTACCAACACTGGCTGGTTTTACATCACCTCTGGGCTTTATTCCACTGTATGAGCCTGCAGCAGCCACGAGCTCCACTTCACTTTCCCGCAGAAGTATTTTTCATATAATCAGCGCACACTCGCGTAACAGCACAATGTCAATGAGTGACGGAAGGGAAGGGTTCGGAAAAACAGAAAATGATCTAACATGGAGGGAAGTGGAATGAATACAACACATTATCTTCAGAGGTCAATGTTTTGAGTTTTTTTTTTTTTTTTCCAAATCACTTATGAAGAAATGATCAAAAATTTGCTAAATGTCCATTTCAAGTGAAATAAATGCAGCATCATCTTTAAAACACAATTAACGCCCACCTTTTGTATAAACACATAAAAGCTGTTGTATTTGCTCTCCTGTATCAACATCACCTAATTATCACGCCCACATATGACACAGTCTATCCCTGTAAACAATCCGCCCTCCTATTACGCATTACAAATAAAGATACATGACAGATATTGCAGAAATTTGTATCCATTTATCTTCATGTCTGCATATTGATCTATTGGCATAAAGTGCAAGTCAACATCTTGATTGCCCTTGTTTGGCTCGCTGCTGCTACTGCTGCTCATACTCAAGAGTTAGAAATTGCAGCATAGACTAAACTCCAACCCATAAAAACAGTGCAGGTGCATTATGGTTGATGGGAATAGTGTGGGCACAGCAAGCAACAGAGATGAGTCACAAGTCTGAACTCCCTCACCATCACAACTTTATGGTCAATCCTGAATCAATTTCAGACGAATCAACGTGTTGAAGGCATGACTGAACTGTGACATGAAATGAACCGTGTTTTTAGGTGAAAACACTTGCTGAGCATAAGGTTCTCAAAACACAAAATCCCAAAACCTTCAAAGGAGTGGGATTTGACATGCAGCAAATCTGTCTGCATAATCCCACAATGGACTAAGGGAACATAAAATCCCATGAACTGAATTAAACCTACTGTATGCATGCTTTGCAAAAACGCGCACAAAGCTTTCGGGTATAAATAAGGCCTTGCACTTGAAATGCTGTGTTTCAGTTAGCTGCAAAGGGATGAGATGAAACGGTGGATCAGTTCTGTTTTCGAAAAAGTTAAAGAGGCAAAACAAGTCTAAACTAAGTCTGAGATAAAAATGTTTTCCTGAACAAAAGTGGGCAAAACATGAATCCAAACTGCAGTGCAGTGCTTCCCAGACTGCAGCAAGGTCGCTATGTGACTATTAACTGGTTTCAGCTGGAATGAGATGACAAAAATCAATTATCGCTTGTGTCACTGTTAATATAATTGCCATACAATGACACCAAACTTCAGCAATTGGACTAAATTCACCATATCATACTGAGGAAGAAGCAACAGCTGTGAGAACTAATCTAAAATGGCTTTTCCTTTACCTTAATCCACCTTTCAGTTCCACAAATATACCCGCACTCCTCCTAATATATCAGCACACACACACACACACACACATATATATATATATATAAATCTGAGGACTAACTGCCCCAGTCACCTAAGCCTGTGAGATATTACTCAACACAGAGTTATGCCCTTTTAAGCGTTTAGATCTGAGACCTGACTCTGTGTGGACTTTGAGTGATTAATTATGCAAACATTTTTCTAAGTTAAAGGGTTTTTCCTCATCCCCTTAATCTTTATCTTTTTGACTTCAAGATCAAATGGTGCAGTGGTTGATTTTTTTTTTCTCTTTTTTTTTCTTTTTTTTTTATGAGACTTGTTTACAATTTTTCTGTGCAACAAGCAACCTAGTTAACATGTATGTAATTTAATATCAGAATCAACATTCTAATTGCATGGATTGCAGTGTTTCAATTCGGATGATTCTGGGATGTATGCTGGTCATTTTCAAAAAGGTATGAACCCCTAAAAATATCTGACACCATTTGTTTTTCCAGTCACTCAATTTCACTGCACACAGTAGGTGTCAGTTTGTCTGAGTGTTGTAAGGCGCAGTGGGTTCTGGTCTCCAATTTGAAACGTGGGTTTGAATCCAATTTCTGACAAACAGTTTTACACTCAGGACAGGGTCTCTCAATGATGAAAAGCCATAAGTGATAACCTCAATGTGATTCTGTGTAATGTAGCACTGGCAGTGCAGCGTGCATTCTCTGTGTACTTGAGGTTTGAAAGCCACTGGGGCAAACCAAGTTGAAATATGGACATTTGGCACAGTAGCACTTTGAATTAGATTATCCACTGCACCGCATATGTTGGATTGTGTGTGATTGTGTGTGTGTGTGTGTGTGTGTGTGTGTGTGTGTGTGTGTGTGTGTGTGTGTGACTTCTTTTCTTTTTTTTCTTTTTTTTTTTTAATAAGCACACTAAACAATGAGCCTTTAAGAAAGCCTGGCATTGTCTTCCATCAAGACACACAGGGAATTAAGCTGGCCTTTAAAGTGCAGGCTCAGTGACTGGGAAGGCAGATGAAACAGCTGTGTGGTTTATGAGGCTTTGCTTTGAAATCAGATCAAGACGGATGCCTCCTTTGCATAATTCCTCAACGTCAGCTTGTCATCATCTCCATCAGCAACATGCTTTAAAAGGACCTTTGTGATTAATACTGCATGCAAGCACAAAAAAATGACAGACTCATTCCCTTCTTAATGATGCTTGCAATATCTATCAAATCTGTCAAAGCCTCTGTATTTTAACACAAACACTTCATGGAGTACATCTTTGTTTTAGTTGCTCTTAACACTTAACAGGTTTCTCTTTACAAGAGACAAGTGTGTCGGACTGTATGAGTGAACCAAAATGATCCATGAGCCGGAAAATACCTACAATATGTGTTTTTGATATAGCAAACGATATCTGAAATGGTTTGGGTTTGTATTACACTTTATTCCATTTTATAATAAGTGTGTCAGAGGTTACGGCTGCGAATTCAAATTTCACCACATTTCTCTTGAACCTTTGATGCCTCTTCTTGATACTTGGATGTTTAGGTCTATTAGGTTCCTATAGTGTGTGCTCCTTTGAAAATATCTTTTTTTGATTAAAGCACTGATAGGCCTTGAATACTTCACATAATGTTCCACACTGAGCCGGGACACAATTAAAAGCCGTTTTGCACTCACTAAGCTTGGCAAGCTCGATGAAAGCCTTTTCATATTCATTGTGTAAGTACTACTGCAAAAGGTCTTGTGCCATTTTACTCTCCATTAAGAGAGTGATGCAACTGCTAATGGAATTGAAAGGGCACTTGCTTTGACTGGCTTGCCCTTCATCAATAGGAAA